GGGCCTTACTCCGCAATGTCGCACAAGAAGATTACCACCACCCAAGCCTTCGAAGCGAGTGGTGGTGCAAAGGGTTTGTCGGCGTCATGTCCCACGTCTACACCAAATCCTCGGCGCTTGTGATCGTTTCGTCTTGGTACCATTTACACAGCCTATGAAATACACGTAAGACTTAAGACATACTTGTTAAGGAGAAGTAATTGGACAGATTGATTAATGATGAGGAGACTTGGCACGCTGTACTTCTCTCTCACCGCTAGAACATCGTGTCCTGCGGCGCTCGCACTGCAGAGACGACTCGACGAGACCATCGACTCGCTCATCTTCTCTCCCACACTAACCTCCAGCGTCACCGCCTCCTACGCGTCGCGATCGCCCTCTTCTGGGGCTGTACATGACCAGATATCTTTTTTTGTCGTCTTACATCGTCGCGACGTGTACAGCGTAGTGCCTTAAGGCCGCCTCGAACGGGAAATTTTAGTCGGCAAGACACAGCCCCTACCGGTCGCCTTGTTACCGACCTTAGCTTAAGGTTCTGCTGGAAGGATCGGGTCATCATCCATCGCATCGGCATCCCCATGTCTCATTGCCTACAACGGTGCTACGGTAGGTGTTCGATGCAGATTCCATGTTCCCTGACTCTTTTCTGCCCCACGGCGGAATTTGAGGCGGTGCTTCGACGTGGCGATAACCGTTGGACCAGGCTGATCGACGAGCCTAATGATCCTCAGCGTGCAGCTTTCGGCCCCTGGGCTAGAACTTGAACCCCGCGGGCTGTGCTGCCCGTATTATCTGAAACAGACGGGAAGAGTGTCGTCGCGCCGTCAAGTTCTTGGGCAAATTGACGCGAGGCGTTAGAATTCTAACTTTAGACTCTATAGGTTGGTTGGACACGAAGGGAGGGCCTCAAAAAGCTTAATTGGTCACGACCCCTCATGCCTGTGGCTCATTGTGGGGGCTAGGGTTGCAACACGACAGAGTGTGACCGAAAATGTACAACGCTGAACCAGTATAGAAAAAAGCGAAAAATAAGCTCATGCGAGGACCCAATTGGGGGCTTGTCTTTTACGAGTGCTTGAGCGCTTGCGTATTGCCTACTGCGGCTGTTCCGAGCAGTGTCCCACTACCAGGGGTCCAGCTTCTTCTAGCGCTCTCATCGAGTGTGGCAAGAAAGAGGGAAAATACGGATGGACGGGGGTCTCCGACTTCTCATCTGGGATCGCCAATATTGAAGCTGATGCTGTGATGGCGACGCTGCCGAATGAGAGCTCCACGGTGGAGTCGTGCCCAGGCGCCCAGCGGCTTACTCACTCGGAGCGACCACACGTTGCAAGGCTATCGGCAAGCACTGGATGCATAGTTCGGGTGCATGTCGCGAGGCCGGCCGAGGCGTGAAGTGAGGCTCGCGACGCGGGCGTCCCATCTGTTTTTGAATTCACTCTCCGAGCGTTGACCGGCTGAGGACTGGGTCTAGAACGGCGGACAGGCAGCCGATTGCCGCGGTCAAGGCTGCATCTTAGCGACGGCCGGGACGGGAGAGCTGGGCCCGAAACGGCTACCTCGTGCGGCAGCCGAGGTCTTGGTGCGGAAGTAAGCTGACCAAAGAGTGAGAAGCCGCTGTGGCCGGTGGAACCCGTTTCCAATTGCTCTTTTTCCGCGCTGCCCCGACTGCCGCAGCCTCGCCGACCGCTGCACCTCTGCAACACCATGGTTTCTTCTGCTGAGGCATTCAGGTCGTTCGCCAGCATCGCATCACGTCACGCTGCCTCAGGAATACAGTGCTTGGCGCGACGACCACATCTCGAAAACCTGCTCCACTCTGCCACGACGGGATCGTCGACTTAAGTTTTACCGCTGGGCAATTCCTAGCGCTCTGCATGGGTGGCCCAGCCCTGCCACGCCGAGACCACCTCGACCCCGACCACCCCACCACTGACATGTCAGATTCCCTTGGGTTCATCTGGGTCTATCTGCCGGATCCTGGCACCCGTCGGGACATATGGCATGCTTGCAGCGCAAGCAACTCCGAGCACCCTTCTGGACGGCGCGCAGACGCCATTCAAATCATTTTAAGTTTGGTCCGTGATGCTGGGTCGCTTTGGGCCACGAACTTCCTGAACAGTGAATGGTGCCGCCACACGAGCGCTTCGGGTACACGAGGACGATGACGGCATTTGCTGCTGATAGCCGGAGGCCCGCAGCAGCGCAGTTAGTATTCACGGTGCCATAATATTAGCTAATCGGCATACTAAGATGGATCGTCAATGCAACGACACATCGACGACAATCGACGACACATCGACGACACACCAACGACACATCAACGTTGGAGCGTTTTGTCGTAAGACCAGAGCCGGATTTGTGTGCGCTGGACTCAGTGTAGACTGGAGCCCCGCCATGCCCCTCACCGGTGCTCCCAAAACGTGAGCACCTCCCCAGCTGCCATGCACGAGAGCGCACCAGCCACCAATACTTCCCACAGTAGTCTGCAGGATCGTCCTGCGCGCCCAGGAGCGAGGGCAGACATTGACGTCTTGCATTGGCGAGAAGCTGTCCCCGCGGCCTCTTATCGCGCAAGAAGACGTTGCTATCGTCGCCTGGAGAAGCCGGTGGGGAACCGGCCATCGCTCGAAACCTTCAACTGTTGGACATCGCGAGGTTCACCAGAGGGCAGCTGAGGGTGGAGCAGAGGGTGGAAGCAACAAGCATCTCCGCCTCCACTCCTCCGCTCCCCTCCGTCGCGCCCGCGGCATGCACTGGCGACGATCTGAACTACGATTCAGTCCCAGGCAGTTCAGGCAGCCCGGTCAGGACGATCGCGGGTATTTGCGTGCGTCGTGCAGGCGTCTTAAGCATTTTGGCAATGGTAGAAGAGCTAGCCCCGCTTTGTGCCTTATCTAGTAATTATCTTTGATGAGTTGTCGCCCTCCTGTGGTGCACTCACACTGTCCTCTGCATCTGCCGTCCTCATCACCATGCTTCTCTGGAAGCACCTCCTGCAGACCCTGCAGCTCAGATGCATTCACTGACGCCATATCGGGCCTGTGGCGGTGCAACGCCAATCGCCGACACTCGACAAACATACCTCGATCGAGACCTGCGGGTCCAGTGCCGACATGTCACTGGTACATACATCAACCACATCAGTCTGCACTCTGCAGCAAGATTGCGTGGTATAATCGGCATGCTTTGTCCTCTATCTTCCGGAGTCCCAATCTATCCTCCTGCGTTCCCCAGCTGGCCAGAAAACCGCCATGCAGATTTGGGTGGAGACTCAGGAAGGTACTGTCCACAATTCACCTGTGGGTGGAGACTCAGGTAGGTATCCTCCACCATTCATCTCGTGGCTTTGTTGGTTTTGGCCGTGACTACCGGCTGCGTGCGAGGCGTGCGAAGGCGAAGCTGCAGACGCGAGAATCGTCTGATTCCGGCATGAGTAGCCCTTTCGTTCCTCCTCTCTCTATCTCTTTCATATCCTCTTTCCTCTCTTGTTACGGTCGGTAGGATCGCAAGCAGGACCGAACGAGGCACGTCCAGTCTCGCGTCGTTCAGGCGGCGGGATTTGTTTCAACCCCCATGGACAGGGATATCGGGATCTTTGACTTGAAACACAAACAGCCGGAGCGCTCCATGGATGCGCGTGGCGCTCAAGCACAGTGCGCAGAGAGACGTGCCTCGTTTAAGGCCTGCGCGATTTCGGCATGATCCTGGGTGATTCTCGGGCTTTGATACAGCGGTCAATGTAGGAGCTGCTGCTTTGGGAGCGCTGACGAGGACATGCGAAATTGAGGGTAAGAGCGTATTCGCGTACGCGGAGGAGTGCGAGAGCGTGTTTCCAGGCGCAAAGAAGCGAGAAGTGCGAAAAGTGCGTGAAAGAGCGCGAGGGAGCTTCCCTCGTCCAGGGAGCTTACGAGGCGGATCGCGGAACGCAATGTGCAGTCTCACAGCTCACATCTAACACGAGTCAGGCTAGGCCTGCCGCGATTGATGAAGACACACCAGCAGATGGCGCGCCAGGAAGATGTCATGCATGACGAGGACACGCTGGCTCTGATGTGTTTGAAGGCACTCGGCATTTCGACTGGCGACGAAGTCACTGTACAAGCGTGGAGATGCCCAGGAGTCACTCCGTAGCCGGTTCGGTCACACTCACGGCGCCGGGGGCCCACGATTAGGGGCGGGAGAGGGCCGAATGGGGAAATCGGATCGACATCATGGTTTGCTGCAAGCGAGGCGATCAGACTCGTAGCGCTCCCAGTACAGCGTGGACAGGCATTCAGGTGTGCGACTAGGCGGTATCGGGCTGCCCAGACGACTCGCGGCGGATCAGATTGCAACTCGCGCTGCTGCTTTGGGACTGCTGCTCATCCACGCCAGGATCAAACGGCACGACCCCGGCCCGCCTTCTGCGGAGCGGTCAGGACGGCCTGCCCAGCACGTCCGTATGGAAGCCGACGGCCGTGGCTCTGTCGGCGCGATCGCCCGTTGATCATCATGTCCACAGCACTGGAGGCTGCCTGAGTACGAGTGACGGCGAGACGGCGTGCCAGCGTTGTCACATCGCTTGCCCAGCGTCTGCTCGGAACGACAGCAGCGGCCGTGCGGGCTGGGCGAACAGTGAGCCGTGGCCCGCGCCGGGCGCCACCTGGGCACGTCAGCCGAACCGTGGACGGCCGTCAGGACAGCGCGCTGCCAGTTGCTGCGGTCGGCGTTGGAGCGCGCGCGATCTCAGGCGGATGGGCTTGGCGCAGATTGGTGGAGGGATGGAGGATGGAGGGATGCGGCGGTGGAGGAGCGTGGAGGCTGTTGGAGGATGCTCCCCCCAGCAGCGGTGGAGCGCAAGGCTGATGGGCGCGAAAGTCTCCGAGCCGCTTGCAAAAGCTTGGGCGACGATCGTATCCGCGTCGGGGGCGCTGTTATTTTTAGCCGTCTTGGGAGCCAGTGACGCATGCCACGCGAGCTAGCCGGGCCTACGCTGGCCCCAGCGCGCGTGAGACAGTCTATCGAATTCTCCATCCCTGAGCGCCCACTGCTCCCGCAGACACCACCGCAGCCCCCAAGGCCCCAGCAGCAGCCCCAGCTCCAGCGAACGGCGCAGCCCTGGGCGAATCGCGCGCCCTGGAGCACCGCCAGCGCCAGTCCAAAGCAGTCGCAGCAGTCCACGGCCAGACACCCACGCAAGGCCCCGGTGCCTCTCCATGCGCCCCGTATGCCCTACGCTGCCCCTGTCCTGGCGCTGCGGCGGCGTGCCTCTCACCAAAAGGCCCAGCGCCGCCTCGGTCGGCCAGTCCACTGCGGTGCCCTCTCCGGCGTGCCGTCGTGACTGCAGCGAGCCGTGGACGCTGGCCCCAGCCGCCGCCGTCGTGGGAGGTGGCCCCCGCCGTGCAACGCGCTGCCGCAGCGTCGTGTGTTCTCCGGCGTCCAGCAAATCTCAGGGCATGCCAGGGCGCGGCGGAGTGCTGGGAGCTGTGGGCGGGCGGACGGCGGGCGGGAGACAGCAGGCAGACGACGGCAGAGGCAGAGGCAGACGCGGTGAACTCAGTGCCTCAATCCCCAATGCGTCGCCCTCGCTCAGGGTTGTTCCGCGACCCGCCGGGCGCCCTGGTTGGGCCGGCGAATCGATTGATCATCACAGAGTGTTGACGCTTTCCATTTGCGGCGCTGCAGGGCTCTCTAAGACAGGGTGGCAGGGGCGGCTTGTCCGCGGGCGATCGTTGTCGAGTAGGTACGAACCATGTACTCCTTATCGTTGCTCTTGACCGCAGCAGGTAAGCCATGGAGCGAGCCATGCCACGGCCATAACCAGCGGAGCACATGCTTCCCAAGCGCCTGGCGCCGCAGACCACGGGAGGCACCATCGAACTCGAACAGCCCAGCGTCTGTTTCTTGATTATGCACCGCGGGCAACCAAGCTTAGCTCCTGGCCGTAGCAAAGTCTCAGCACTGCTGCCACCTCGCACCTCTCTCAGGATCCTATGCCATACTACTGCCATTGAGACGAAAGCTCAGCTCTCCGACGTGTAAGCTCACAGCCCGCCGCCAGCGTCCACCCCAGGACCCACCCCATATAACCTATTCCAAACCAGCCCACGGCCCAAGCGTTTCCCCTCTCCACCTCTCCTCCATGCCACCACCGCCTTGAAACGACCTAACTCTCCCCAAGATTTTCTTTGAAACTTCCCTTGCAACACACGTCCGGCCAGTTTCCTGTATATCTGCCACCGCCTGTGCTGCCGCCAGCTCCCACCGTCCGCACCACTTTCGTTTTCTGTCGCCATCATGGTGTTCTGCACATACTGCGGCCAGTCGTTTACGAGAGACGAGCACCTCGAGAGGCATATCCTCACCCGTACGTCCACCACCCTCCCCACTGATCCAATTCTTTGAAAGTAGCCAGCTGACGAGCGTGTCTCGTCCAGACACTAATGTAAAACCGTACAAATGCTTTACTTGCCATATGTCGTTTGCCCGCCGGTAGGTTGTCTTCCATTGCAAGGCTGGCTGTTCCAACATCCGCGCACGGCTTTCTCGCAGTTTATCCAACACTTCCTTGACTTGCTGACACGCAATCAGTGACCTGCTCCAGCGTCACTACACCGTCCATGGCCGGGACGCTAATAATCAGGAAGGCTTACCGCCAAATTCTGGAATAATACCCAAATCCGCCGGCAGAACGCCCATTGCCTGCAGTAACTGTGCAAAGACCAAGACCAAGTGCGACAAGAAGTTTCCCTGCAGTCGCTGCGCGAGTAGAAACCTCCGCTGCACCCTCCGGCCAACTCGTCGGGCTTCGAAGAACGTTAATCGTGTGCTACCGCCAGGTGAAAGTGCGGGAAGCGGCAGTTCGTCCGAGCATGGCAACAATGGCAGTCCCAACGGCTCGAATCGCAACTCTCCTCTCGCCCAGACCCAGACTCTGCCTGAATCGCAACCACAGTCCACTCCACAGATCCAGCCACAGCTCCTCCAGAACCCCACGCCCGAGGAAGAGAAGCCACCCACCATGGAAGGACCTACGCCGTTTTTCGAGCATAGTCCCCCGAACGGGCAAACAGCGGTGCTCCCGTCTGTCCTCTCACCGCTCCCGACTCCCGTTAACGGCTTCATTGCACAAACGCCAATGTCTGGGTATGACGACTTCCTCCGTGCAGGTAGAGACAGCTCGGAGAACAACTCCAGTCCACGATTTCTTATGGACTGGGCACATGTGCAGGTTGCTCCAGAGTACGACCCAATGGGCAGGATAGACCCTTCGATGATGATGGCCACCATGGGAATGGAAATGAACCATATGCAGCAGCACGCTGACGGCCTCTTGGGCATGATTCCGGAGATGCAGACTCCACACGGGTTTCCCGTCCAAACACCTAGCCATACACCGCGGATGGACGAGACCTTCTCAGACCTCCAAATTGGCAGCTCCGCTTCTATGTTCTACACCTCTCACAGTCGTCAGCACTCGATTACTGATTCCGGAGTTGCGGACCTCGGCGCCATCATTGCCGCTCAGGACGGGTGGACCGTTTTCAGGTGCACCCCTCCCATCCCGTCTAGCTCGTGTCCACGGACGGCGAAGCTTAACCTGGAACGACTCGAGCAAACTCTCCGTAATCACGAGGGATGGAGCCAATGGAGGCCACTTTGGGATGAAGCTGACTTCGCTTCGGGAGAGCAATTGTCCGTTACGCCCATGCGTGAAAGCACCCGCGACAAACTGCTGGCCATTACGCAGATGTTCCTGCACAAGGCGCTTGATATACACAAGGACGGCATGAGCAGCTCACCAGGCAGTGGCGAGTCGCCCAGCTCTACAGGATCCAACTTTGTACTCCTCCCACCAGCGACGGTGCTGGACTCTTTCCTTCGTTCTTACGCCAACTCGTTCGAGCGGTACTATCCAATGACGTCGCGAGGTGTGCTCGACTCGAATGAGCTAATGCAGTTCTATAATGATAAAGCCTCGACTTTACTAATTTTAATGATGATTGCACAGGGAGCGATGGTGATTCCGTCGGTCGAGGCGCGATGGTTGACGGGCGGTCTCACGGAGGCGTGCCGCATCTCTCTCTTCGACCTGATCGAGAAAAACATCATCATGTCAGGAGACCCGATTGTGTTACGCTCGGCGTTGCTCTTCACAGTACAGGCGGCGTGGAGTGGCGACAAGTGGCAGATGGACATTGCCATGGGCCAGCGCGGCATGTACTTTGCAATGCTGCGGCACTCGGGGGTGCTCGAGCCCGCACACGCTACGCCGACTCCTAGACTGAACTCGAGGGGTACAACGGAGACGTTGTGGAGCGACTGGATTACGATGGAAAGCCGGAGCAGGTATGTTGCAGAATTTTGACGTTGGCGCATCACGTGCTCACCGCCCGCTAGGTTGATCTACTCGTGGGTGATGGTCGATCAAGATCTGTCGCTGTTTCACGATACAGCACCGCTGTTCTCAGTGACTGAATTTGGTGCGCCCATGCCCGATGCCGACCGGCTGTGGCAGGCGAAGACCTCGCAAGAATGGTCTGAAGTCTTCAACCAAGTACACGAGTTCAGCGGTGGCTACTCCTCCGTGGGCTCGGGCGCCCGTCCGTTGTCGCTGCGTGATCTGTTCCGTCTGTTCCTCGATGACGAGATAGTGCCTCAGAACATTGCCCTGACGGCGCTGCATCTGCGGCTGCTACTCCACCCACTCCAATCTCTTGTTTGTCAGTATTGCCAGCTGTTGAGCTGCTTCTCTGACACCATGGCCTCACGCAACCGGTCCCGCGCCGTCACGGCAGCTTCTACCCGCGTGCGCCTCGAGGAGGTGCAAGCTCTTCTTCAGCGCTGGTATGACCTCGCGGACCGCTATGTCAAGGCAAACCCCATGTGCGCCATGATGCAGGCCAATCTCGTCCTGTTCCACCTCATTTCCCTCAACGCCGTAACAAACTTCCCGGAGATCGAGCGGCTCGCCCGCCGCGAGGGATTCGACGGCACTTACCAGCAGCTGCTATGGATCCACAAGCGCTGCATCGCCGACGTCGAGGAGGCCATCTTCCACTGTGGCCAGGTGCTCCGGCTCATTCGGTCCATGCCTCGGGGGATCCGTCCTCCATGGTGGCCTGGAGCAGTTTACCGTGTCGCTCTGATCATGTGGACCGACAGCTTGACGCACAACGAGAGCGTGAGCCCATCCAACGGCCTCTTCCCTCCAACTGGAATGTCCTTTGCGGTCGACGGTTTGCCAGCCGAGCATCCTCTCATCGTCCGCTACCTTAGCAAGCGGGAGGGCGTCCCAACACTGACGAAGCGCGACGGCTCCCAACTGCCCATGCACCATGCCTACACGGTACTCTCTCACTGCATCGATGTCGTCGATGAGGGCCTCGCAACACGCTTTTCCGACGGGATCCGGGGTAAACTGGAGAAGCTGGCGCGGAGTCCTTGAGTCCAGTCCAGCTTTCCGGGTTCCTTCTCTTCACCTCCTCCCATCCCATCGCTGCGGTCATCCCTTCCATCTCTTCCTCCGCCTTTCACATGTGGTCAGCCGAAGAACGAGCGGGGCGTTCCACGCCCTATATACCGTCCACCCACCCCATGTGCAAATCCCCCTCAAGCCTCGGCTTGCGATCGACGTCGATACGGGGTCCGGGGATGATCGCACGCGTGCTCGCGCGCATGGCAATACTGTCCTATTTCTGCTTCCTTCTCTTTTCCCTCCTCTCCGTCGGTAGCATCTGGTTCTCCCCCGGCTTCCCCTCTCGGATTATCGGTCCGCCTCCATCACAACGTCGTCCAGCTCCACCACACCCCAGCATGTGGCACGCGGCCCCCCTAATGTATTATACGCCTGTCCTCGCCTCTCCCGCGCGAGCTTATCGATGATGGATCCGAATCCGTGGTGGTGGAATGATGTTCTTATTCGCTATTCGCGCCTTTGCCGCTTCCGGCCATGATCCTCGGGCGATCTTGCCCGCCGTTTGAAAAAGTGCTTTTACGCATTCGTCTGGCCATGTTCCTATCGGGCGTTTTTGGTTGCGGTTCTTCATCTCTTTCTGTCTTGCGAGTTCTGCTCTTAATCTCGTTTTGGGTCGGGGGTGTGTGTGGGTGAGAAAGGTCATCAGACCTCGACCCGCCACACCCGCTTAGTCTCTAGGGCTTTTGGGATCTGGGATAGATCACACACAACTTACGTGATGAATGCGTTTTGCGCCACTCGGTCGGTCGGCTCGCTCCGCTTTTTTTTCGCGTAATGAACGAATCGTTAACGACTTTCCTTTTTGTTTTTGCTTGCCTTTTTTTTTCCTGCTCATGTCTTGTCTCTTCGCTTTCGTTTGATGTGCGTGCGGGCTCGGTGAACATAGAGCGATGGAGTTTTTGTTCTTTTTACTTCTTTTTCGCTGGGATAGACCGGACCGGGACTGGGTCAGGAAATGGGAATAGTGCATCTGGTATCGGTAATTTGGTAATGCGTTTTGTGCGTCGCTTGGCCCTCAGCTAGTGTTCTGGTATTCATGGGTATCTGGAACGGATAAAGGGGAGCGAGGTAGACAATGGTATTGTGGGGGATTCTATAGTCTAATGAGCGAGTCTTTTTCGGTATGCGTGTCTTTGAGTGTGGTGTTGTGTGATGTGATGTGGAGTGGTGGGGGTGCTAACTGCTTGTAGGCTTGACTGCTTGATAAGGTGATGGGGGTGTGAAGGGGAAGGGGGGGTTCCCTTTCCGTGAAGGGAGATGAAGGGGCTCGGCGAGGGGTTATGGGAGAAGGGAGAGCAAGTGATCCCCTCGTCCCAACTTACTCCCCCTTCTCCAAACCTTGGGATGTGTTGAAGTGATGCGAAGTGGAAGGGTGCTAGCCTTGACGATAAAGTGAAGGGAGGCTAACGAAAGTGGAGTTTCCCTTTCCGTGAAGGAATATGAAGGAGATCCGTAAGGGGTTATATGGGAGAAGAGAGAGTCAGGAATCCCCTCGTCCCATCCTCGGTATGTGTTGAAGTGACATGAGGTGATTGATATATGCCTCTCCCGGGAGAGAGGTGACGGAGTGAGGGGTAGGGCGACGAAGTGACAATGCCGTCACATCCCTCGTCCACGCTGAAAGTGAAGGCCCAGTCCCTAGCGGGAAGGGAAGATGAGGGGTATCGGAAAAAGGAAAAGGAAAAGGAAGAGGAAGAGGAAGAGGAAGAGGAGAGGGGACACCAGCCTTTGCTATATACAAGTCAAGTTTTTCCTACCGCTTATTTCATGCACCTCAGCGGCTTGGCTCAATACCTCGCCCGTCTTTCTATTTCTTCAGCTCCCGCAATTGTCCGGGGACCGTCGCAACCGCGTAAACGGCCATGCACTGCCTGTCCTGTCCTGTCCCTGCTCCTTACGAGCCCCGTGGTGGTGCAGTGGCATTGTGGCGTTAGGGCTTGCAGTCCGAAAGACGGTACGGCAAACACCAAGCCATGTCGTGGCCTAACGCAGCAGGCCGTGCCCGCGGCGTCAGTCCAGAAAGGACAAAAGACTCGCCGTAGCCAGTCACGGTGACGGTAGAAGGAAAAGGTGCACGCCTGCTTACGCGGCCGCCAGAGCGGGTAGCAGGTATCAAGGGTGGGTGGGTGGTGGGATATGGGGGGGAAAGAGACACGAGGCGGACCAGGACAATCCCAATCCCTCAAGTACAAGTTCCCCATGTCTCCATATATTCCTGCTGGTACAGGGCCTTTTGTACGGTACTGGTACCGTCCCCAGCCCGCACAACCCCGGCGCCGCTCCAAGGAATACGTTCTCGCGTATACCAACCGTGCCCCAGAAAAGAATGCTGGCCGCCATTCCATCATCGCCATCGCGCTGGCGAAGGACAGGCAAGATCATCATGTCCCCAGTGTTAGCATTTTCCGTAGCCCTTCCGGCTGCCCTTCGTACTTGGTACGCCTTGCCCCTTCGGGGAGGCTGGGGGCAACGGGTTGTTGGCGGGATCGGGGAGGCACGCAACCGGCAGTGCGTGCACACGGCGGCGAATCAGGGTCAGAAGAAGGGCTAAACTTGGTTATGAAACGGGCCCGTTGGCTTTCTGGGCAACGGTTTTCTGCCATTTTGGGCGTGCAGCAGGGCGGAGAGGTGGCGATTGGGGAGGTGGAGGGGCGATGGGCAGAAAATGCCACTTGCGATGCCCGACGTACTAGCCCGGCATGCCACTCGCATGAGGTGGACTGGGATGCGGATGTCTGCGTAGGGGTGGTTTTTCGGCGAATGAGGGAGGGGAGGCGTAAGTTGGGGCCGGGGCGAGCGATGGGAATGGATGGGGTGGTAGAGAGGGTTGGGGAGAGGGAAGAATGGGTGTTAGGTAGGTCAGGTTGGTGACATGTGGGAGCGTTGAGTGAGCTGTAGGTTGTGCGATTTGACGTGCGTGACAGGCACAGGAACAGGAACAGAAAGGGACACGTTATGGGACTGGGGTAGAAGCACTGCAGGACAGGGCATGTATGGTAGACAGGGTTGCGGTTCGGTATGGGGAGTGCGAGATTGTACGTGGTACGTGCTGGAGATGCTAGATACCTCTGTGCGGTCAACGTGCGGTGACGGCACCGACGGGCAGTCCGGGTGAAAGGGTCTGAGTTCTCCAGGTATGGCGACGGATAGAAACGATGACGGCACGCTGGATGGTCTCATGCTAGGTTGGCGAAGTGGCATTCCGTGATAGCCAAGCGGTCAAGATATAAAAAGCTCGGGGTAACATGGTAGACATGGTGGGTATCTTGAAAAGCTTCTTTCTGCGGCATCTTGACCTGTATATTTGTATATTTTTCTACTGTGCTCATGGTTGATATCGAAGTCACCGACGATACTCTTACCGCAGATTGAGCGCTGCAGGCAACTCGCTCTCAACATGTCACTGCCGGCATCCTGTCGGCTGGGGGCACATCCGCCTGTCAATCCTTCGACCACCTAGCACGCACCACGGAGGGTCTCTGCCAGCCAGAGGCCACGGCGATTTCGCTCTCCATGGGCCACTCACAGACACGAGGCCCACTGGTCGACCTGACTGAGGAACATCACGACGGCCTTCAAAGTGGCAGGATGCAGGCAGCGAAGCCTGACAAAGCGTCCCTAACGCGTGCAATGCTTGGAAGTCTGGTAGGCTAAATCGACAACGTTGCGCGAGAGAGTCAGTACTGCGGCGTAGGTGGCTGCGGACCGCCGAGGTGCTTGCTGGGTGCAGTACGGATCGTCTGGGCAGGGCCTGTCGCAACGATGAGCGTTCTAGCGGTGCAGATGGAAGGGGGAATTGCTTGACACGCAGCGAATATAGATAGACTCGTGATGGGCGCAGACGTGGTGGTTGGGGGCAGCGTGTCGTCGCGATGCTGGCCTGGAGTGCGGAGCCGAAGCCGTAACGGCATGCCACAAGCTTGTCCGCCGCCGGGCCTCCTCTTCTTCGCCGCAGGATGGCGATGGGGAGCCCTCAGGCCCAATCCGACGCCGTGCCGGCCGCAGCTTGGGGCAACAGGCGGCGCAGGAGCGCGGCGTGGAGGCTGCGAGGACGAGGCTGCGAGGCAATGCGGCAGCGATGGGTCGTGGTGATCGTGAGGGCCCCGTCTGCCTCAATTCTAACGCTGACAAGTGGAAAACTGCCTGGCGATCGCGCTCCACGCGGCTCACACGGCGACTCCTGCAGAACTGACCGGATGACGCGCAACAGTGGGTGCGAGCAGCAGCCCAGCAGTTCATAAGAGCGCGAGGGCGTCGTCTTGTCTGTGTTCTGGCTGCTGGCTGCTGTCTGACCTTTCTCGCTCCCAGGCGCTCCGCGCTCACCAGGCCACCAGGCCCCTCTCTCCGCCACGCCCCTCCCCTCCGCTTGCAGCCGGGCCAGTCGCCGGGCCGCATGCGATGCCAACTCTAGCTGCTTAGCCTCCGCGCCGCCTGCCTTCTCAGGCACGCGCAGTTGATTCGGCCTCGCAGTCGTGACGCTCGCTCCCCTGTCGCACTCGCTTCCCGTGCCTGATGGGCGACAGCGTCCTCTCAATCTGATACCGCGACGACTGCTGCGCCCGGCCCCGCCCAAGCCGACACGCTGCCTCGCACAATGCCCCGCAGTCCACTGCAAACGCTGTGTGCGGATGCCCGCGCTGCCAGGCACGGCGGGAGAGGCTGATGGGGGGCCCTGACGGTGTCAGTTGGGGATGCGGCGGGCTCTAACGCTGGCTGTTGGGGATGCGGCCGCACACGTACCGTTGTTTACATGTATTCTCCGGCCATGCTTCCTTCCGTATATAGAGGCTTCCAGCAATCAATTCCAGTCTCTTCCACCTCACTCCGCTCAACTTTCCCCCGCATCACCAACCAGTCTTCCAGCAATCAACTCCCAACCACTTCCTTCTCACTCAACTGAACCTCCAACCCACAACTTCCCCCCCAAACCATCCAAACATCACAATGGCTGTTGGAAACGGAAGCACCGCGTCCGAGATCCCCACATGGAGCCTTGAGGGCAAGGTCGCCGTTGTCACCGGCTCAGGTGAGACATCGTGGTATCAAGCGCGCCTTTCTCGAGACTGACAGAACCGCAGGCCGTGGCATCGGAAAGGCAATGGCTCTGGAGCTCGCCAAGCGCGGCGCCAAGGTTGTCGTAAACTACGCCAACGCCATCGAGGGCGCTGAGGAGACCGTCAAGGAGATCAAGAAGCTCGGATCCGACGCCATTGCCATCAAGGCCAACGTCGCCAACGTCCAGGAGACCACCAAGCTCATGGATGAGACCGTCAAGCACTTTGGCAAGCTCGACATCTGCTGCTCCAACTCCGGCGTTGTGTCCTTCGGCCATCTCAAGGATGTCACAGAGGAGGAGTACGACCGCGTCATGAGCATCAACACCCGTGGCCAGTTCTTCGTTGCCCGCGAGGCCTACAAGCACATGGAAGTCGGCGGCCGCATCATCCTCATGGGCTCCATCACTGGCCAGGCCAAGGGCGTGCCCAAGCACACTCTGTACTCCGGCAGCAAGGGCACGATTGAGACCTTCGTCCGCTGCATGGCTATCGGTACGCTCCTCACTATACACCAAACCCTGAACTCTAGACTAACATATTCCAGACTGCGGCGACAAGAAGATCACCGTCAACTGCGTCGCCCCCGGCGGCATCAAGACCGACATGTACCACGCCGTGTGCAAGGAGTACATTCCGGGAGGAGACAAGATGAACAACGACGAAGTCGACGAGTACGCCGCCACCTGGTCGCCGATGAACCGCGTTGGCCAGCCCATCGACATTGCGCGCGTCGTCGCCTTCCTCGCCTCCCAGGACGGCGAGTGGGTCAACGGCAAGGTCATCGGCATCGATGGCGCTGCTTGCATGTAAATGCACAACAACCCTCTCACGACTATCACGACAACCCCCACATCCTCGTCGCTGCTTCTCCCCCGGCGACTCAGGAATTTCTCGACTCTCACCACGAACTCCAGAAGGGTACCCTCAATTGCCCTTTGGTCTTCCCGGCCTGAAGCTCGCGCTTTGATTAGCACGGGCGTGGCCCTGCATGCTATTACTGATCTGAAGGAATGTCTGGGAGACTTCCGTGCAGCACTAGTGGGCGTTTGATTTTATGCTCTATACATGGCTTTAGATAGGTCGATGGTTGAAATGAAAGAGAACTATAATACCCCAGTTCTGTCGTCGCTTGTTTCTGCTGAAGACGTGAGCGTGACCATGGATTCTCTGTGGAGTCTAGTGAGATTAGCTTCAGGGGTAGGAAACTGGTTCAATGTGGTATGCACTACGAACTATAGAGGCCGAGAAGCTTACTACTGCTCCACATATCTTCATATGGGCTATAGGGTACTCAACCGTGGTAGCCAGCCACCCTTCTATTGACAACTAGGCCCATGGCTCTCGCCTTCTTCGAAGACTACTTCGACCCCACTTTCGAACGCCCTTCTGACCATATTAGCCCGATCGCAAACTACGGTAAGCTAGGTGCTCGCTAACTCAAACCACACCTCTCACTGAACCACTTTACGCAAACTACGCTTCCACCAACACACGTCTAGAGCTCGAGTAGTACCGTGTCATCTACAGAAGTATTCGGTGCGACACTATTCCAAGATATCGATAGGCTATGTGAACTTTAGCTCGACCACATGTTGATGGTTTTGAAATGGTATTCGGGGGTCGAACTGCGGATAGGAGGTTAGTCGCCAATCTTCCCCATCAGATCCTAACACCCCCGCTAACATCGTAACCTGCATTTTCCCGCTCTATCAAGACACTTCGGACGGTACTAACGATCCCTTAAATATGTAGCGCACCTCAGACAGCACAATCACGTGTCAACAGCTCTGGAAAACCAAGGTCGCATGTCGCACTCACGAGTTTACCCCCCAACTCCCGTAGGATTTCGCCAACTCGCTGCACACTTACACGCCCTTGTGTGCCGGCTTCGAATAGCTGTCCCACCCCTCGAATCGAAGCCCAGCTCAGCACGTGTGATCCTTGACATCTTGCTGTTCATTTTTTGACCCTTTCAAGATCCTGCAGACGATACCAAACACCTCCTACACCCAGTCCGTTCACGTGCCTGGTCTTGCTACGCGGGTATTCCCATCGGAGGGACTTGCTAGCGAGGGGACTCTTGACGGTGGTGTTGAGTAGGTACATATGAAGCCTGAGTAGAGTGATGTCGGTGTTTTCATCCTTTTGTTCGTGCAGCGGAGATCGGACTACTTTTTGACTGGGAAGTGACTGACTCGCGAGGGGACTCCTGGCGGAGCTATCGAGCGAGCAGAAGCGGAGTTCGAGCAGTGAGGTATTCATGTACTCATTCATTTCTCCATGCGGTGGATATCGAACTACCCTTTGACTGGAGAGTGACCTGCTACTGGGGGGTCTCCCGACAGTGGTGTCGTGCGAGCAAGATTGAGGCCTAAGTAGAGCGATGTTCGCGTACTCATCCGTTTTATCAGAGGCCAGTTTCATAAGGTTTGGGCCAGTGTGTCACAAAGTTGAACTTGAAATGAAACATCCATGCTTAATGGAAGTGTGAAGATTGGTATTAGAGGTACGTGATGCTTTCTACGTCTGGTTATCTCCGGGTGCTCTTTTAGTTTATGACGGCTGTCGTAAGTAAACTCGGAGAGATCTAAGGTGAGATGATTTGTCTCTTAGTGTCCTCTAGTACTCTAACACGAGTTTGTGCACTCCTTACATCTACTTGGGGCATCCCGACAGGCTTTTGAACTCTAGACACGATGTGAAACTCCACGCAGGGGAAATTCATGTACCGTTTGACTGGCCGAGGATACGCTAGCTGGGATACTCCTTACAGTGGCACCTGGACAGCAAGAGAGGAACCTGAATGCATTCATTTATCGATAATAGTTTTATAAACTCGGAGAACAATAGAAATGTTAATGCATTAGGAGTTGGACTACCCTCTAACCACCCGGGTATCTGTTAGCTACAGTACTCCTCACAGTGCTGTCAAGCGAGCAAGAGTCGAGTCCGAGCAGTGAGATGTCCGTGTGCCCTGACTTATGACCCAGTACTGTATATCCTCTCATACCCTGTCCGATTTGCAAAAGATAATCGAAGCAATATTGTCGGCTAACATTCCACATGGCTGAGCTTGTGACGCGCCTCCGACCTTGTTACCCAGGTTGGCCTCTCTATTCCTTTGGCTCCCACTTCTTGTTTGAGACTGAGATGATTCGCTGCGCAAGGGTGGCATCCTGCGACTTTCGAAGGTCGTATGGGCGACTTTGGTATACTTCGAGTGGTCTAGGGGGGTGTTCGTCGTCCTCAGCGCGCCCTTGCAGCCAGTCAAGGTAGTCAAGTTCGACTTGACACCATTTGAGCCGTGCTGTTAAGTGGTGGCAAACTAAAATGTAGATCTGAAACTGTTAGAACTAAGAAAGCGACTCAATGCAGCATGCTCTTATTACAATAACATGCCATAAGTCTATGCACACTCGGTTGCCACTACTGGGAGTGTCCCCATGGGGTATCCAGAACGTAGGTGCCATGCCAAGTTTTACACAGCGGAACTTGAGCTGCCTCTTGACTAACAGATTTCTCGGCAATGGGGCTGCTCCTGATAGTGGCAACCAGCTTTCAAAAGTGGCACTCAAGCAGTGGTATCTGTGTGCTTAGACTAATGGCCCAGTACTGTAGAAGTCGAAAATATACATTACTTACCATAGGCAGCGGTTGAGTATTATCCGCAGCGCCCCGTGGCTGTTTGGGGCGTCGATTCCGGTATTCGATTGCTACTCCAAGGATATGACTGACTTGCTGCGCAAGATTTCTCTCCTTACTTCGCCCGTTCCTCAAACGTTTGTTCCATTTGTCTTGTGAGTACCGTTATGACGTCTCCATATACCTTGCTGACGCTGTCTGGGGCAGCCTCGCGAGCTTACTAGTTGTCAAAATACCAAACTTATCCTTCTTTCGGAATGCTGAAGAAGCTACGAGGCCCCTCATGCAGCGGCGAACGAGTGTACCCGATATCTGTGACTTACCTCTGAGACTAGGAATCTGTTTTTGTTCATGATCTGTAGGCCCACATCGGAGATCGTCCCGCAGGTTCTTGTACCCCAGAGAATAGTTCGGCGAACGTTCCATTCAACAGCGTACTTATTTTGACTATGTTCCTGACACGCCGATTTGATCATATCGAAGAACGCATCTACCATGTGATCCACGTATATCTCCAGATTGTCTTTCTGCGGATCTTCGTCCGAGTCATAGTAGCTTTCCGAAGGTTGATAGGTAGAATCGGAGTCGTCGCTTGATGAGTTCGACAGTCTGGTAGACTCTTGCGAAGCATTAGCGGTAGGACTTGATGGCACACCTTCAGCGGTAGTTGCTATGTATGTTGAAGGTGTTTTCGATGGGCTTGTATTAGGAGATCCACTCAGTGGTGAGCTGTCGGCAGGTCCATATGAAAAGAGATTGTCCGGACCTCGATGCAACACTGACATCTGTTCAAAGAGTTTTCCTCTCTTGCCTGGGAGGGAATCATCGCCTTTCTTGATGGTTATCACGATATTCCAATGATCGATTAACCAACCAGCTATGGTGTCCCATATTGCCTGGAGGACGAGGCTCTCGGTATCTGCATGCCATTCATCCCTCTCGACGAAAAGCTTTACCCATAACCATTGTAGCTCCGGCAAGGCCCAATCTGACCCCGATTTACCGCGTGCTTCCATCGGATTAGTTGCGTCAGGCTGTCGTCGGTGCTCGCCGAGGAGCTTGAACGACGGCATGGTTGAGCCGATGGTGTAGCAGGCGTGGAGGAGCCTGTGCCTCCACAAGAAGAATTTGGGAAGTCATGTTAGCAGAAATTTCCTGAAAATCAGTGAATGACCGGCCCTGTTGTGCAAGAGGAGTGTGGATCACTGCCGGTAGCAAACAGGGTGCTTTCATGTACATAATGTCGCGTCCTACCAATGTTCAGATGCTACGGCCTGCAAATCAACATCATGTACGGCTTTTGATATCACGCGTCGTCGCGACCACTTATCCTCAGACGCTCGACAGTGAATTTTGTGGCGGTTGCATAACTCAGCACCCTCCCCCCTCCCTGCAACCCCCAATTTTTTTCTGTAGAGCGTCTGAGCTCAAATAGCGTGTTTAGTCGGAGCAGTTTAGAATTCAACAGGCTCATTTTCTTCAGTGGACGAACAAAGGGTATTACCCAGCAGTTATATCACAATTGTTGATGCAATTAAATGGGGGGTTAGTAAACAAACACCCCCTATTTGGTAGACACACACCCCTGTTTTGGTAAACCCACACCCCCTCTCCCCTGTCGTTTCACCGCCTTCCTATTACCTTGGAGGGCTCGGAGGGCTCGGAGGAAGCTCCGGGCATTCACCCTTATGTCTATTCACACGTGTATCTCTTCTGTACGTATATGAGGCCGTATATAATGCGGCACGGCTATATAGCCTCTCTGTTCTACGGAGCAGCCTGTCTGATTTATGCAGCTGTATATATAGCTATATATATTAGACAGGCTGCTTACATGGCTATACAAATTGGAAAGGCTATATAGCTGTGCCGCATTATGTACCGCATCATGTACGGCCTTATATACGTGTAAGTGAATTGGAAAGAATAACACGTGTAGGTACACGTGAAAATAGAGCTCCGGATAAAGCTCCGCGCCGCTCCAACCAATTAGAAGATCGGACGAGGGGGAGGGTGTGGGTTTACCAAAAAAGGGGTGTGTGTCTACCAAAAAGGGGGGGTGTGTTTACTAACCCCCTTGAAACAAGAGAGTTCTATTTTAGAACCGGTTAGTGAGGATGGGGATGGAGGAGAAACAATGCATTGAATGAGGTAAGTGATGTATTGGATCAGCATCTATCTAGGCTACGTACGCCGTATATATACTCCGTGTGTGTGGAGGCTTACGTAGCCGTACCGTAGAACTGTGAGGGCTAAGTATAGGAACCGTTCTATATCAAGGTAGCCGAGCTAACCGTACCATGCTCCGTAGGCTAGCTGGCTAAGAATACGTACTCCGTCAGTTAGGCTCACTTTCTTCTTTTACTCCAAGAGCCTAGGAGCTGCTTTCTTATACTCTTAAGAAGTAGCCCTAGGTTCTTAGAGTAAAAGAAGTTGTAGTGGTGGAATGCAACCATGAAAGCTTCAAAAAACCCGTCCTTACTGACTGCGATCATTTTCCCTCAGACCCTCACGTGCACGGGCATACACTCACTACAACGTTCACTACCGCAGGACGGGTAAGGCAATTCCACGTATATAAGCGACGACCTATCTCTGCCAACTCCCGACTTTCGACAACGCCTCACTTGCACCCCACACACTCTTCAAGATGAGTTGTTGCACAACAACTGATGAGTTCTTGGTCGACGTATGTTCAAGCCATCCCAGATCACTCGGGTTGCAGCACTACAACCTAGGGTCAGCAACTCATATGCAGTAACGTATCAGGATAGCATGCTGATACAGGAGGAAGTAACAGGTAGTGCAACAGCAGTGCTGCAGCACGGTATCAGTACTGTATCAGGAAACAGGATGAATCAAGTAACGCGTCAGGAAGAGATACCACGTTATGCCCCCGGGGCTGGCCCCCCTCCTTCCCCTAGTATATAAACAACGAGCTAGACACCCATAGAAATCAGAGTTCACATCAATTTCAACCTGAGTAGATCGCGGTCCGCAAAGTTTGTGCAAGAAGCCATTAGTGAAGGAAACACATTCCGCGCAGTCATGTCATGCCTGGAGGAGCTCGAACTTGAATGGTCATGCGACGGTGAATGGAGCAATTATGTGAAGTTCCGCGTAAGTACTGATGTTCCACATTCTGATCTTTCACTAATTAGTCCCAGAATGACCCGTTTCGCGACGTTGTCAGGCTTGCCTTACAAAAACCAATCCCGCACCACAACTTCGCATCTTTTGTTCAGAGCCTAACTCCCTAGGAGGATGGAGATGCAGAAAAGGCGAGGGGCCTCGTCTCCGTGCTAACTACCGACGATCGGCGTGTCTTCGATCTTCGTGACACGACGGGACTACAGTCCTTCGTGTCCTACCTCGCGATCTTGAAAAACACTCTATCTTCTCCTACCGGCACCTTGCGCCCGCCACGGCTATCTGATGAAGCTCTGCTAGATCAGTTGGAATCAGAAGATTTCTCGAATCCCTATTTCCTAGAGGCGAGACAAGACATCCGTAGAGGGGCATTGTCCGATGCGGTCATCAACTTTACCAAGCCATTCTGTCTAGGCGCTGATATAAACTTTCGCAGGGACGGGGTCTTGAAATTCAAGGTATGTCACCTGACAACTGTGTGTTAGGATGACGCAGCTCGAACTAATTTCTTACAGCAACGCGGTCTCCGGTCAACTACGATACTGCGTCTAGACTATAGTGTAGTACGGAATGATGGACCTCCGGCATACTCCTCAGTCGTTCTGCTTCGCGGAATGTGGGAAGAAGAGTATGTGTTTGGCAGTAGGACGGACGATGCCATGGTCCAGGACTACCCCAGGGACGGAGAGTTTCGATCGCATAATCTCCACGAGAGTGATATTGCTTTTGACTTGTCCCAGACAGGTTCAGCATTCAGTCTTCTCAGAGCTCTACTCCATCGCCGTGACAGGCGGCTCCAGGCTAGAATGTCACCACATACCGAAGGCCCAAAGCTCTTGCCACATCAGGCTCGCAAGGACGCATCCATCTCAGCCCAGAGCGCTTCGCCGAAACCCCAAGGAGTATTGAAACTTCGGGCGAAAGAGAAGCCGAAGCCGCTGGCGATGAAGGCAATAATAAACCAAGCGGTATGTATGTCTCTCCATTCAATTGAGTTTCCTCGTAATGCTAAAAAACGTTTTAGAGCAAAGCAGTCACTTCCCCAATCCCCACTTCACAGGGAAAACCTAGCACGGGCATCGACTATAGCTAGAGATATGACGACCAGGAAGTACTACTTGCGAGAAACCCTTGCTCGATATACTAAAGATGCCTAACTATGCTATCGACATTTTCGGTGGCATCTCCTCAACAACTCTGGCGATAGAAACAACTCGGATTGTCTTGCAACTGCTGAACATCCATGCTTGCTCGCTAAAGATCTGGGTGGGATTTGGAATGGATGCCGCCAACCTTCATCAGCATAGATTCACGGTTGCTAAGGGCATTGGGGGCGGCGTATCAGAAAGCATGTGAGATACTACTACAATAGCATAAGGGCTTGCGAAAAGGCTGGATAGGCTCATTATGTGGCGGAGGTGAAGTGAGTTGCTTTGTTTATTCTAGTCTATGTTGAATTGGCCGTTTCAGGGGGAATCTCCCAATATAAACCTCCTTGGAGAATAGCGTGCTCTCTTCTTCAGATTCTAACTCTTGTTCGTCTAAGCTAATTAGTTCTAGAAGAAGGGGAGCGCTACTCGTACAACCCCTTTTCACTACACATACGCTCCTCTCCCCGTCACTTCACCACCTTTTGATTGGCTCAGAGCAGCGCGGAGCTTCCTCCAGGAATTCACTCTTATTTCTCTCTACACGTGATGTTATACGTGAGGCCGTACGTAAGCTTGGACGTAAGGCTATACATAATGCGGCACGGCTATATAGCCTCTCCGTTTTACGGCGCATCTTTTCCAATTTGTGTAGCCATATATATAGTCTTATGTAAGGCCGTACATGAGGCTGTACGTGATGCTATATGAGAGGACGTACATTCTACCTGCCGTGCCTACGCTAAAACTATCAAAACCTCACCTTATGGAGGCTTCTTTCCATCAAGCCTGGCCCGCCTGCATCGCCGCCTGCATCGCTGCATGCGCTCAAATTCACTTCCAAGAAAATGCACGAAAGGAAGCTCCGAGGAGTCGGCCCGGCCGCTCCAGCCAATTAGGAGATTGGACGAAAGTGGGGGTGTACGTGTAGTGAAAAGGGGGCAAACGTCTAGCGAAAAGGGCGTGTACGAGTAGCGCTCCCCTAGAAGAGTCCTATCAAGTCGAAACGTTTGATGATGCTCATCATCATCGAAGTCCTTGAGTGACGGAGCGCACCTGGGATACTGCGATGTCTCGATATTCGGTAGGTTCTCGCTTTAAAGTATTAGATATGAGGTGTCAGGACGTCGAACTGGCAGATGTGTTTCGAGAATTCTCAGTGTCGCGTCGTATTCTTGAGTGTGCGCGATGTGTCGTAGGCCAGAGGTGAAGTGAAATCCCCAACTCAAACTTAGTTTCACCACACGGCGACTCCAGCCTTGGTATTCAACTCAGTGAAACAATACCTCGACAATAAAGCCTCAACAATAGAGTCCCCGGCACAGTCTCCAACAGTTTTATAAAAGACACGATTGCCCATAAGTCTTCCACTTACCTCTATAGCTTCCTTCAATCTTCTCATCCTCATTCTTGACGTACTATCTCTGACATTCTGATCTGTGACGAACGTAACTCTCTGAAGCCCTTTAAACCATCAGCACCGTCTCCAAACCGAATCAAGATGTTTTCCGATTCCGATTCCGTTATTTGCAATTGGGATACAGACCCCCGAGACGAGCTTCCTAGTCCACCTAACATGACGAAGCGTCCCGAATCAGCCCTTCCTCCGCTCGATCGTGAACGAACTCAACGGCAGTCGAAGTTGCCTCATACTACCAGCCCTGACGAAAATTCTGAAAGCATTTGGCTGGCCAACTGCGATGTCTGGAACCGGCGAGCACAAACGCATCGCATTTCAAGTAAGTGATCCCATACACTATACCACATCATTGCTAATTAGCACAAGGGTTGTTTGCTGGAGACAGTCCAGATCCTCCACCGAGGGCGCCCCAGCATGGGCCATAGAGGAGTTACGATCTTGACGGAGGACGCGCGAATCCAATGCGATGTCGGCAAGAAAGAAGGGAGGTACCAATTCCTCGCCTTCCTCGTGAACCATGAGGCGGCAGAGCGTAAATTGGCCAAAGAGAAGAAGGATATGTTCCGCGAGGTTGAGGAGGGCCTCAAGAAGTGGACAGTCTGGAAAGAAGCGCGGAAGTACCCTGGCAAATTGCGACCGAGTCGCTGTCGACGAACCCGAGCAACCCATTATGTGATCTAAGAAGCAGAACGTTTGACCGCTGCACCGCGCCGTCAGGAGGCCCTGCCTCAGTTCAATCCATAGGCAACTTTCCAGCCGACTAAGCTCTCGTTTTGTGAGACCAATCTAGATATCATTGACCAAGCCACCGAAACCAGCCCTCCACGCAACACTTCTCCCTCAAAGCCTCCAAATTAGACCACTTTTACATCTGCTCTGCAAAGCTCCTCTAAGAGGTCGAAGATTCCCTCAAAGCATCATCACCGTCCTCAAAACTGCAGGATCGAGAAGCCAAATCGCAACCGCCTGACGAAGACATCCCGTTCTGAGCCAATTCGAGACTCCATTTTGAGAGACGTTGCAAACTGGACTCCACACACCGATGAGCTGATCCGGCCGCTCAAACCAGCCCCTCCTGCTCAAGAGCTCTGCGGCCCTCGATATCACCGGCAGACCCCCCTGGCGCATTTAGAACTCTCAAGAAGGCGATGTCAAATTTCAGAATGCATATATTAGAGCCAAGATTCATAGCTACCATATACACATCATACATGCGCTTGACTAGTTCCCACTCCTCATTGCCGCCGTGCAAACCACCTCTTAAACCTCCTGCTTCGCGCTCTCCTCAACAGCCTCCTTCAAACTTCCCAAAAACCTCCACCGACCATCCACCTTAACCGACCCGCTCTTCCACTCATTGAGGGCCTTCGGAAAGACGTCCATAATGCCCGCAAGCGTGTCGTCGTGCGCAATAACGACTAATATATCGTCGCTAGCGTCAAAAGCCTCCAGGCCGCGGATACTCTCTCGTGTCAGCTTCAAGTCCTCATGCACGCCCTCTAACACATCGAAGAACGGCTCCGTGGCCGATTTGCTCGGATGTAGTGCTTGGAAGAGCGAACCGGGGCACACGCTGTGCGGTTCGTGCGGCGTGAGGGGCGAGGGTTGGAAAGATTCCGGGAGCGGGAGGTAGGGCGTTGGGCGGAACTCGCCCGGTTCGTGGCAGCAATCGCCGCCGAGGAGGACGAAAGAGGAGGACGTGGTGCGGGCGAGGGCGCACATGTGGCCGATGGCGTGGCCGGGGCTGGACAGGAGGTAGAAGGAGCCGTCGCCGAAGAAGTCGTAGGCTGCGAATGGGCCGATTTTGAGGGGAGTGTCGAAGGGGACTTCGGCCATGGTGCGGCCGGTGTAGTCGGTTTCGCGGATGGGTGACTCGGGGTTGGAGGGGTAGCCGGGCATAATGGGAGATGATGTGAGGCCGGGGCCGACGAGGAGGGAGGTTGTTGAGGGGAATGTGGTTATGTCGCCGATGCTGTTTGAAGAAATGTTAGTAAGTGGAGTCTTTTGAATTCGAAGCCGAGTATGTTATGCTATAGTAGTAGGCCGTAAGTCTGGACACACGTATTTACCACTGCTTGGGGTTCAATCTTGCTCACTCGATACCACTGTGAGGAGTGGCCTAGCCAACGAGTCGCCGGTCGGTCAAAAGGCAGCCTGATTCCCCCTGCATTGACTTTCAGCTCGTGACCACGGATCTAGGTCTGCACAACTGCACACTTGCTCACTAAATACTACTGTGAGGAGTAGCTCACATAGGACGTGACCGGCCAGGCAAGAGGCAGCGTAATATTCAATGCCTTAGCCTTTAAATCGAGTCTCCAATATCCCGCTGATCAGACACTCCTCTTGCTCACTTGATACTACTGTGAAGAGTGGCTCAGCTGGCAGAGAGCCGATCGGCCAAGAGGCAGCCTAATTTCTACTGCATTGACCTTGACAATGCGCCCGGATTCTGAGCACCTATAGGAGTACCCCAAGCAGCGACGGATCGATGCGCACAGACCTGTGGCCTAATACTGTGTGCTAAAAAGAGTTTGCTTACTGGTCCCAGTGCCAGTGGCTCCAGATGACAGATTCGATCTCTGATGGGTTGATCCCGTTCTCGGACAAGACGTCGGATACGTTCTTCCCGGCTGCGATCGTTGCTCCTATCTGTTGGTTCATTGCGAGAATGAAAGGTGCTAGATTTTCCCAGTCTTTTCGAACGCCTAGATCGAATAGAAGCTTGCGCCCGGATGGATGCTCGATCAAGGTCGAGTAGGAGGGAGCGGAGAGTCTGTCTTTGCCCTTGAACACGGGGGTCAAGAAGAGGCCGAAGGGTAGTGATATTCGGGTGTTTCTGTACATAGCGGGTTGGAAATTTAGTTTTTTTACTCATAATAGCAAATATGAGAAGAGTAAAACGGTGCCTTTGATAGAGATGAAACGTACGTATCTATCACCGAAACCTTGACTGTGCTTGACGAAGACGGGGTCTGAAGATTAGGAGCTGGCTTTGGCGTAGCTAGGCAACCGTGGGACGACATGATGAGGGCAGTGGTAAAGGTCTACGAAGAATGTAAGGGATGTAGGAATTGTGCTTTTGTTGATGCTGAATTTTGTTCATACGCTTCCCTCTGTGTCTATTTGACTTAGTTGATAGGCAACCATTTCTACGACAAGAATCCTCTTCATACTTATACTAATTTGCTCTAGGTTGATTTCTAATGTGTCTATCATCCATGTGCACATTGTTAGCCCCTAACATACCCGGAGTCAAACGAGCAGGGCAGGGCTGCGGAGTTCCACTGTGGAGATGATTTTTTCTCCGGCAAACTCTGGTGGACTTCCACCTCGATAGAATCTTACGTGTTACGGCCACAGACTCGTGCCAATAACGCTCTCGGGCAGACTGTTGTGGAATTCCACCTGCATAAGATATTACGTGTTGCGATCACAAGCTTATGCCGATAGCACAGCAATTAGGCCAGCCATGTCACCCCTCAGACATAAGGCTTTCCGCTCTTGAGACTACAACAAGTATCCGGATTTATTCTGTGGCCTATTCAATGACGAAGGATCGCGTTTGCGTATATACAAACATGTGAATGATTACGTAAGCACGAACACTTCATGCCTTAAAAGTTATTCAAGCCGAACGCGATCATAGATAGGAGGACAACTTGACTGGGCCTGGCATGCTTGTAATGGAAGCTCACTCCATTAAGAGCAATACATTAGACATATATACCATACATCCAAAAGATGCCTGCATGACGACGAACATCGATTATCATAAAAGGGTGCTAAAGCACCAATGAGTTAACCTTACATCAAATCGTATCAACATGAACCTCGAACATGCGCAGTAAGAAACTTACAGAAACCAGCCAGTCGCTCAATCGCGCATGTTCTACATCATGCTCCTTGTAGCGACGCCTATTAGCAAGAAGTCCCAAATGTGACCGCGACGTAGATCACTCCTGTGTATTCTCTTCCATCTCTCCCTGTAAGACCTCAACTCCTTCAGTCTTCTGCTCCCTTTCTACTAGCTTCTTCTCTTTTATTCCAACTGCTCGATCGACCCACCCTTCGCCTCTTAACATACCTAGCCCTTTCCTCACTACGCCCCCGTTGACTGCTTTTGGGTCGACCTCATAGACCGTGTTGATCAACGCCAAGCTCATGACGACGAGTAGCACGTCCCCATTCTTGATTCCTCTCCACCACCCGTGCTTGACCCCTACTTTCCATAGAGAATCGATGCTAAGGCGGGCTGAGTACATGAAGTTACTGCGGCCAGACTTTCGTTCCAAGAACGCCCAGAGCCCTCCTAGGAAACCACCAAGGAACCAGCGCTGAGTGGGTAAGAAGGCTCGCGGGAGGATGTTTTGGAATAGACATATGCTACCCCAGCTAGTACCAATCGCACCAGTAATGAACAAACTCATACGGAGAATGGATTTCGCTAGGCGGTTGAGTGCGGAGATTGGCGAGTCAAGGAAGGCTTTGTAGCGAGTGACGCTCAGTGCCGTGAAAATTATAGTGAAGAAACGAGCCACAGTCGGAAAGGCACGGATGTAATAAGATACGTAAGTTCGGAGGCAGGACGGGTCGTTAGGGTGAAGAAGAGCACACGAGAGAGACTTGATGGCCGGATGTGCAGGAGAAGTAATTGGCGAGATGTTTCGCAGGGTAATTGGTAGAGTCTGTGTTTCCGGGAAGAGAATAGGGGAAGTAAATACTCTATGATGAGTTAGCTGGAAAGCCTCAATCAGCCTAAGAGGGAGAGATACATACGGCCACTTCAATCGGGATACTTTAGCAAGACTATCCACGATCTCGTACCTATCAGGCCACTTCATGTGTTTCGAGTAACCAGCTGGCCTTTTCTGGATATACTCTGGAGAGTTGCCCAGTATGAACTTGCCATAGGACTCCGGAAAGCAGTCTCTATCAAAGACGAATGCATGCAGAAGCTGGCCACTTGCCACGGGCATCAGTAACCATGACCCGAACCACCAAGGCTTATTTTCAAAATATCCACGATCTTCCAGGCGGTTATATAGGAATTCTAGTGCTCGTGTAAAAGCATAGATTGCGATTGTAACTCGTAGTTGATCCGCGGGGTACACAGCAAGGAAGAAACCAGCCATACTGGCTCCAATGGCGGGGGCAAGGCGAGATGTGAGGGATTTCGAGACGCGCGGATTGCGCTTGCGGAATGGTTTTGCCTCGTCTGTGAGCAGGCTTTCACGGAGGCGCGTGAAGAATCGAAATAGGAGCCTGTGGAAGAGGAGGATAAGAGAAAGGGAGCATGGTAGTCGAATGTTTGTTGACTTCCAGAATGCCGTCTTTCCCTTTGGTCTACCATTCATTAGCCGTCACTCGGCACGTCTCAAAGGGACTACCTACGGCAACGCTTTCCCACGCGCAAGGACCTTGGTCGTAATGAACTCCCATGCTTTCAAAGCCGCAAATGTCGACACTCCAAGGCGTAATGAAGCGCGGATAGCCGCCGCATTGTAGTCGTCCGAGGTCTTTACGATGGCATCATATCTGGGCGGAGGGGGCGTTCTCTTCCGCACCGCAGGCGCACGAGATATCAAGTACTGATGAAGCAGTCGGTATTCCTTTGCGCTCACGGTGTAGCGGAGCGCATTGCGGAGTACGGGGTCGATCTTGTCGGGCCTACTCGACGACGAGGATGAGCTGGCTTGCGACATTGTTGCATCGCCCTGGCACAGTTGACATGGAAGGCGTCGAAGAAGCGTAGAGGAGGCCAGGGGACACAGGAGAATACATCGGGTGTTGTCGTGCGCTGGTCGTTGAACGGGGATGCCCTGCGCGATGTTCAATACCTCGGCCTCCAAGCTGGAGTCTCATGCAAGTCCCCAGTACGGTCACGTGCGATTCGTATGCCGTATATTGGCCCCTTGCAGAAACCCATACAAAATTTAGGTCCCGACTATCTACCTTTGCCCAATCACCTGGTCACTAGGTGCAGTTAGGTCGCGTGGATGTCACTCTTCTTCAGATACCCTAAGATCTTACCTGTCGTTCCAAAAGATTTTTTTTCATCTACTCTATTGACTCTCTCCAACTCATAACTTCGGCATACCGATAACCTTGAGCTATAGGGCTCATACCCCGCTGTGCAAACAAATGACCGATAAAAATTATTCGGTACCTTGACTTTCCTGTGCGCATCTTTGTCGCATAAGCTTCCCCAACGACGGAGATAATAAGCTTTCATGCGACTACCATCCTGAGGAAATGATCAAGAAAGCAACTTGTGTAGATGGACGTAACCTCTGACCTTGATGTCCCATAGCTCAGACAGTCGCCCAACGCAATGCTAGCCTCTGCAACAGCAAGCATGTTCCGCTCCTTCTCTCGCCGGGTTTTCCATAAAGATTTGAGCATTGAAGCATCGTGCCGTTGATTTCTCTTACCCGTCCCCTCTCAGTCCTCGTTCCGCTCCCGTCTCGCTCCCGTCTAGTAGTTTTGTTGTTGGCATAGGGATACTCAGGCCAACGCGTCTCGTAAAACACAGCAAGGGCAAGGCCGATAGCAATGAGAGTCAGACCCCAGAGAAGCTTGACACAGTCAGGAAAGAAGTCCTCATCGATATCCATTTGTTATGGGAAGTTATGCCGTCCTAGTTCTGGTTGGAATAGAAATCTCGATTGGTGAGAGAGGGCTTTCGTGCGCTGCGTGGTGAATTTGTACGGTTAGCTCATCCTTCATCTTGCTTAGACATCATCCTTAAATATGGAGACTCTACCATGCGCAGTTTCATGATCAAACTCGCGATGGTTTTTAGAATAAACGTGTATCTCGAATAAGGGTGACTTCGGTTTAATATATCACGTGACGTAAAGCTGCTTAATCAAGCAACAGCTATCGACCAATAGATCGATCTAAATTGAGAAAGTAACAAGGAGAAGACCTAGCTATTCGGACAATAGTACGCCGTTATTCATCACAATAGCACGAACTGAAATGGGAGAATTAGCACCGCGGTTGATCCGCGATTTTAGCGGGACCGTCTCAACACCAACGACCGACGTTGAACATGCGCCACGAAACATCGCGAACCCTGTCGTCTTTTACTCCACCCCTCCAGACCAAGCCATCCCTATCTACTCACCCTTCGGGAAGCTTGTTGTACAGGCTCACAAGCACGCGTCCAAGATGGTGGTGAAGAAATCAGGGAAAGCCCTTCTAAGGGAAGAAGGTTGGGGTAGCTTCACGTTTGTCACAGCATTGCCCGCTAACAACCACATAGGGCTGGAAAGGACGGACAATGACCTAGACCTTACTTCGTGGCCTCAAGTGAACATGATCAATCAAAAAAACTATTATACGTGAGTGGTACCTTGTGCCTGCTCTTTTTCTCTCTCTCTACAGTTATCACAGCTTCTGACATTGCCTCGTCCGCAGTGAGTTCCTTAAGAGAGACGACCAATTCCTTGCATATCGCAGCCAAAACGAAGAGGCTAGAAGTCGGATGATTAAGGAGGCTAGGGACAAAGATCGTGCACTTGCGCAGTCGAGCCGCGTGGGCGAGGATGGAGCAGTGGACGCAGTGGACGACCCATCAACAGAAGAAGCCATAGCTGCACTGGGGTCCAAGGAAGCATACGCCTCGAAGCTGATAGTCCTACATGTGGGTAGCCAGAACCTACGGATAGGCCTGGGGACCGATGCGCTGCCCAAGACGATGCCCATGGTGATTGCGAGGAAATGGAGGGAGAATGAATCAGAAGAGAACGGCGGGGAGCCCAAACCTAAGCGACTAAAGAGAGACGAAGACTATACACATGAAGATTCGGACAAAGTTTACGACAATTGGTTCGGGGAAGATGTAAGCCCTCTCCGGTATATAGCATCGGGACCAGCTTCTAATCATTCCAAACAGTTTGACAGCCAATATGCCACCATGGCTTCCGAATTGAGAGTGCGAATGCGAAATAACAAACGGCGAGTATTACCGAACTCGAGGGAAGTGATTGCCAATTTCAACCGCAAATCATTCCCGGACACAATAACAGAACACAACGATCCAGACCGCGTGGACTGGACAGAGATCCCGCGAAATCCCAAAGAAGCGCCTGATTTCGTGACAGGCGAAGCCGCTCTTCGTATTCCCGAGAAGTCGATACCACGCTACAAACTATTCTGGCCCATACAATACGGCTGGTTCAACGAAGAGGACTACACTAGCAGGAATCAGCTTTACCACGATATTTCCCGCATCTTCGAAGAAGCCTTCAGGTCACAACTCGGTATTAAGGACCTTAAGGAACTGGCAAATTACAACTGTGTATTCATAATACCCGACTTGTACGAGCGAACTTATGTCACCATGATGCTCGACATCCTAATGCGTGATCTTGGACTAGGCAAGGTCTGCCTACAACAGGAAAGCCTTTCGGCGACTTTTGGAGCTGGCTACTCGATATCTTGCATTGTCGACATTGGGGCTCAGAAGACCACCGTGTGCTGCGTCGACGAGGGATTGTGTCTGGAGGAGTCTAGAGTAAATGTCAAGTACGGCGGGGCCGACGTGTCTGAGACGTTTATGAGGATGTTGCTTCACGACAATTTTCCTTATTCCGACATAAACCTAAAACGGAGGTATGATTGGATATTGGCAGAAGAGCTAAAGCGCAAGTTTGTCTCCATCAAGGACTCAGACGTTGTGGTGAGGACTTGGGAGTTCCATCTACGAGCGTCAGGTCAAGATACGAGGAAATACGTATTTAAAACCTACGATGCAACAGCTCTGGCGCCCATGGTAAGCAAATCCAACCTTTTCAACCTTCCTTCCTAAACTAAGTCATTTGCAGGGATACTTCAAGCCCTCAATATTCGATCATTCTCAGAAGCTGAATAGCCGACGCAATTTTATTCCTCGGTCCGTAGACCTGTACGATGGATCACCGAATGATCCAATATCAATTGCCCAGATCGAAGTCATCGATTTCGCTGCGGGGAAGTCAGCCACGGAAAACGGTGCTCTACCTGACATCGCCAATACTGCACAAATCAACTCCACGCCCAGCAAAGAAAGGCCATTCAGCCTTCTAAGTCGCTTGAATGACGTAGAGCTAACCCCAAGATCCTCGGTTGCGGGATCACCCGGACCTGAAGGCACTCCGAATCCTGATAGGGACACACCTGCCGCTGGAGATCTCGACAAGCCGTCAATATTCCATGATCCTGTCTTCGAGAAGACCAAGATCGCCGAGGAGCGCGACAAGGTTCTACCGATTATGCCTCTCGACCTTGCCATCATGACGTCCATCTCGCAGGGCGCACGCGGTGACGATCGGAAGATGAGAGATTTCTTTGGTGGAATCATGCTGATCGGAGGAGGCAGCAAGGTCCCTGGTGTGGGCGAGTTCCTCGAGGAGCGCCTGAGGGAGCTGAAGCCCGGTTTCCAGAAGGAGATACTTGTCGGTCGCCCACCGAGGGAGATCGACGAACAGGTGCTGATCTGGAAGGGCGGGAGCGTCTTCGGAAAGTTGTCGTCAAGCGGCAACGACAGCTGGATCAGCCGTGGGGAATACGACATGCTAGGTTCGAGGCTACTGGTGAACAAATGCATGTTTGCATGGTAGTCTTAGATGGTCTATCGGCATATGAGCCATTTGTAGGAGATCATCCTAAGAGATACGATTTATTGGATATCTCAACTATTGAATGAATGTATGGCAGTCAGACCTCCTCTTCTGCTTTTGATGTGATCCAGAGACGCCTTCTACTACGTATACCGCTACACAGACTATCGCAACTAACCGAACAGAATCGAACTCCCGCATAAAAAGCTGAACTATCTCGAGCAGAAAGGCGGGTAAAGCACACGTGACTAGAAACCACCGAAGTCGACCCGCTAGAACGGCAACCGCAGTCTTTCACCAAACGACGCGCCATTTGACTTTCCAAAAAGATTCCGACAACCAACCACACTGCCAACCTTTCAAACCCTCATCCACCACCATGGCGAACTCATCCAGTCGCCCGACTTACCATCAAGACTACATTGCGCGCATCCGATATTCCAACGCCCTGCCTCCTCCACCATGCCCTCCGAAGCTCCTCGAGATCCCCAACACTGGCCTTGCGAGCGGACAATACACATCAGCCGGCTTTGGGTCCCGCTTAGCACGAGAGCAGCCACTGAACATTGAAGCAGATGCGGAGCTTGGTATGCCCATAGACCTCGTCGGTCTGCCGGGTGTCTTCGATGGAAATGAGAGCGGTTTGTGACCTCTAACTCCTAGCTGCAATGTCATGAAACTGACGATATGCTAGCAATCCACTTCCTGGACGCTCCAATAGCCCATCACCCCCACGACAAAGCCCTGCTCCGTCCTCTGGCCTCACTAGGGAAGCCCGCGTCGGGCGCAACAGGCGTCAGTTTCCTCCGACGAACCGAGTACATCACTTCCGCTGCGGGGGGGGGATCGCGCTTTGAGTCCAGCAGCTCGAGCAACACGGTACGCGCGCGCAGCACCAAGCGGCGGCGGGCCGACATGTCCAAGGACGACCCCATCCACATCATTCGGTCGATCGCCAAGGGCTTCGATCTCGCGTACCCCCAAGACGCCTACCTGGGCCCAGACTCCAGCACCAACATCCGCGCCGCAGAAATCACACCAGAGGAGCGCAAGGCGTGGAAGCAGCCCGTGCATCCGATCCGGAGCGACGTCAAGCTTCTCGACAGCTACCCCATCCTCCCAGACCTCAACGCGATTCCAGACGGCGGCGCGTACGTGATCGTCAAGTTCAACGCCTGCCCCGTGAAACCATCAGACAAGTACGACGAGCGCATCGACGTCGGCGTTCTGCGGCCCCTAGACCCGACCCCCGAGCTGCTCGAGCGCCTCAAAGCCCAGCAGGCCGAAGCCGAGGCCGATCCCTCGAAGCCGCCGCCGGAGGTCGAGCGCGACTACGAGTTCTTCCTCCCCGCCAACGCGGACAAGGTGCGCGGCATCAAGCGCAACTTCGGCGTGCTGGACCCCGACAACGTCGAGTTCGACAACGACGACGAGCCGCCCACGTTCCGGTACGACCGTGTGCGGGCGTTCGAAACCCACAAGCAGAGCGGCGACGCGAACGATGCCTACGGCGAGCAGGTCGCGCTTGTGCTGCATGATCCGGATGCGCAGGCGCCGCAGCGCACCGAGCCGCTGCAGAAGGCTGCTTACTACTATCCGATCCGCATGCGGACGCTCATTCGGCCACAGCGTCCGGGCATCGGGGGCAGGCTGCAGCAGAGCCAGGCGAGCCAGGCTGCTGGCGAGGTTGAGGAGAAGGTTGATCAGCTCTTGGTCCGGGGGATGTCGCCTGCGGCGGAGAATGCGGAGGCGAGGGCAGAGTTTGTAGCGAAGTACGATATGCAAGTTCCAGTTGAGGGCTGAGGTGCGAAGTCTTAGCGGTCGAATTGTTCCCTTTTGCTGTTGAGCCTCCATCTTGGTGCATTGCGTTGGCGTAGGAATCTGGAAACGGGTCAAACTGTCTGAGCTTTTACTCTACTTGAATGATACCACTTTCAGCCATCAAAGCTCTGGATATACAAGCTGCTGCGAGTAGTGCTGAGAAAAGCACGAGAGTTTGAGTTTGTGCTCCACGCGTGCAGTCGTGAATGCCTTGACATGTTGTGAATTTCCATGTTATCACCTCAATGCGCACAGTGACCACCCCCCGCCGCTCACGTGACTCTACGCCGCTGTAGCTGAGTCCGGCTCAAGCCTCCTCACCCTTGCTCACCGCCTGCGGCGCAGTCTCAGATGTACCCACTAGAAATTGTCAAGTTTTAGCAAAGGGCCTTAAATTTATCCCAGGTTATGAATTTAGGACCTTCTATCTATCAAGGTGTCTAGAAGAAAAATTTATACTTAATGTAAATCTTAGATTAGAGTGCATAGTAATCGCTTGTTCTTTCTAGAGCTTTCAGAACATCTAAAATAAAAACATCCCGTTTCTCTCAAACCCCGGCCATATCTCAACTACCCCTCTCCCTCTCCCTAGTCCCCCAAATCGCCACCACCTATATCTATACCACTCCCATTACTACCATCTAACCCCCGCAAGCCCTCCAACGCCTAGCCCTCCTAAATACCTGGTTCCCACACTGCATCCCCCCGGAACCCGCATCCTCAAGATCGGCTACGGCCAAGGCGATACTACCGCCACGCTAGCCCATATTGTTAGGTCTACAGGCTATATTACAGCACTCAACCCAGCCTCACTAGACTACGGCGCGCCATTCACACTCGGCCAAGTCCAATGCCACATCTCTAGGAGCAAGTATAGCGTGCGTATTACGTGAGTGCAGCTAGATCTGGTCGATTATTTAGAAAAGCTGGAACAGCAGAAGGGAGAGGGGGAGCAGGAGGACCTGTAGGAGTTTAATACAGTTATGCTGGCGCATCCAATCTAGTAGATGGCGGGCCAAAACATCTTGGGCGAGAGTTTTAAGCAGTTAAAGGGGAGGGCGAAGAGGGCGGGCGTGCGGAATAGAGTCTTCAGGTGTTGCTCCTAGCGCAAGCTGCCGCATATCTTTACAGCGCTGGCACGGGCGGCTTTAGAGGCGCAGAGAGAAGTTTTAGAGGAAAATGTGCAAAGTCCGCCGGGGGCGATTTATAAGGTTGCGGAGGCAAATAGGTAGAGCACTGGGGGAGAGAGTATAATAACGCTTGTGGAGGGGCTAGAGCATAGGGAATAGGAGGTTAGGACAGTAAAGGGCTGAAGGTTTTCTGCTTAATGTAAAGAGGAAGGTTAGAGATAAAAGGGTAAGGGAAGTAGTGTTGGGTTTAAGGGCGACAATAATAGGGACGTTGCGGGTGGTATTAGATGGAGGAGTTAGGAGTATGGGTCCCGAAGACTGTGGATTCAATGTGTTGCCTCCGAAAGGCATTTACGACCGCAATGCTCATTCTACACCCTCTCCCGACGCTATTAACATCGCAGCAGCATGCTAGCATTGTGTTAATAGCGTCGGGAGAGGGTGTAGAATGAGCATTGCGGTCGTAAATGCCTTTCGGAGGCAACACATTGAATCCACAGTCTTCGGAACCCTGCCTGGCGCGGTAAGGTAGGGCGTAGTTTGAACAATAAGGTTTCTCGGATGTGCGTTTTTTTTCTTTTTTCTTGAAAACGCCTAGGCGTAACCTGCGCCCAGGGGCGCTGCCACAGTAGGCGAAGTTAGTCGTGTCATTAAGGCAACAAGGCAGCCACGGCAGAACCATCAAAGCACAGCTGATTTCATCAAGATAAGTCGTGAAACTAAAGAAAATAGCCTGCACCAAGAGTATCCGCTACTTTTCTTGAGGGTTCATTTACTCGTTGTGGTGTTCTGGGGGGTGGTGAAGTCCTGATTTAGTCTTGGCAATGACACGACTAACTTCGCCCACTGTGCTGCTACTGATACCGTGCGCGATCTCGATGCCACTGAGGCTGAGGTTCAGCCTCGAAGGCGAGGAATAGATAAGCCTAGCCAACACTGTCGATTATCTCCATCTCCTTTAAAGCAAGCATTATAGTTAAAACTATACAAGACGAGGGCGCGGATTATCGGTCATAAGTAATACATCAACATCCATGAAGAAATTGTTGCCCCCGAGAGATACTCAGAGTCTTCAAGGAAATGCCAGGAGTCCGGACGCGAAGCTGATCCGCCATGGCCAACAACCGCGTGAGGCCTCTTCCATCCAGTCTCCATTGTCTCCATTGAGAGCAATCGATCCATTCGATGCTCGAACGAGTGTAATTGCAAGGACGTTCTCATTGACCTCCCGCCGCTCCGTGCGCAAAGCTCGCTCCGCTTTCACCTCCAAGTCTCGAACACCGGCTAAGTTTCAGTACGCACCACTACCTACTCCAACGTCAATCCGACTTCTAGAAGTCGTTGAACCACTATCACCCGACGATATTCGCTGCTCTCTAGTTGTCAGAGATGTAAAGAAAGAGCCGTGGTACAACTGTCTCTCGTATACTTGGGGCAATCCTTTTCCAGTTGAGGCGAAGCGTTCGGAGGAGGAAAGCATTAACTGGAAGGCGCGAAATTGTTCAATAACATGCAACAACAGAATACTGCAAGTCACAAGAAGTCTGAGAGATGCACTGTGGGAACTTTCTCAAGGGCCCCAAAGCGGAAAACTCCACCGGATTTGGGTTGATGCCGTTTGTATCGACCAAGAAAACATTCCTGAACGTAATGCGCAAATTCTGCTTATGTGTGACATCTACAGGCTATCACAATCAGTCGTTGTGTGGCTAGGCCCTAAGACTCACTATTTGGGACTAGCCATTCAGGTTATGGAAAGACTCGCATCGTTATCCCCAGAGAAATTTGACAAAGCACGTGCATTTCACCCCAATCAGGACGCGCCGTACAAAGTATTGGGTATCCAGAAGATATTTCCAATAGAGTGGCAGGCTTGGGTCGAATTTTTTGCGCGGTCATGGTTTGGGAGAGCTTGGGTCTTTCAAGAGGCCGTGGTCGCCCGGGATCTCCTGGTGATATGTGGATCGACGGAGATCTCCTGGGACCTTATTGCACATACATCCTGGTTCCTGAATGTTAGTCAATGGGACACAAAGATTGGAGATGAAGAAGAGGGCTATCGAAACATTATCTATACCTCCAGGTACATTTCAAGGAGTCGACAGACGATACAAATGTCAGGAGACAAACGTTTCCTGAGCGATGGTCCCACTTACGACTTCCTTTTGGAGCGAGGTCGATCTCACTTCCAGGCGTCAGATCCTAGAGACATGATATATGCTGTTCTCGGCTGCGGCTTCCCAGGACTTCGACGTTATATTGTTCCAGACTACCAAAAATCAGTAGCAGACGTCTATACCGAGGCCACGTGGGCGTTGATACGCTGCAGTCACGACCTTGGATTCTTAACCGGCGTGGAGGATGCTTCAAAGCGAAGAATCTCAACACTACCTTCATGGGTACCGGACTACAGCGTTTCCCCATACCCAATTCCTCTACAAGGACTGTATCAAGATGGTGGTAAAGGCACGTACTATGCTGCCGCCGGCCGTCCTCGCATTGTTACTATCAAAAGCCAACCAGGGAAAATTCTCAGGCTTTCAGGGTTGCGCTTTGATCAGGTTGTCGACGTTGGGGAGAGTTACGAGGAGCTATTCACGTCTCTTACGCACACCACCTGGGCAGAGAAAATCATAAGTCAGCTGGACTATCGTTTCATTACTGGAGAAAGTAATATCGAAGCACTCTGGAGAACCTTGGTCGGAAATACAGAAGAGGGCAACTTTCCAGCTCCTCCTACTCTAGGGCTATGCTTCCGTTCTTGGGTTACATGGAAAGTGGCTTCGTTGGTTTACAAAGCCAGCTCTGGGGGATGTGCAAAAGCTATCGAATTAGAACATTATGAAGCTGCCTTCAAGAGTTTGAGCATCTCGGACAGCTTGAGCAAAACAGATGAGAAAGGGTTGATTCCAGAAGCCGAAGAGATCCAGTCCTGCGCAGCGTCTCTCGAAACGTTTCGACGAGATCCTAGCTCCACACCCACTGTACTCTACCGTGCTACACTGTTTGACGACGAGGCTAGCATTGTTTTTTCTGAGCGCCGTTTACTGAGAACGAAGAAACGATACCTTGGCTTAGGGCCGATGAGTATCAGGATCGGCGATGTAATATGGATTATTCCCGGCGCAAACGCTCCCGTTATATTGCGTAAAGTTTCTACTCACACCTATCGTCTTGTAGGAGAAACTTACATTCATGGTATCATGCGTGGTGAGGCATTGAGAAACAAGTTCGAACCATGGAACCGATCAAGATCGTGTGACATATATTCTGGCTAGGGCATTGAAGGATCGCTAATATCCTCTCTAATTCTCTTATTCTTGAGGTCTTAAGTGTAGTTTTGTAAACATAATCTTGGCTACTTCATTTTTTCATTTCAAATCAGGCTTATGTTTACGCGGTAAATAACGTACCGGGAGGGTTCATCTAAGGTGATAAGTAGAGTTCGTCTTTGTATCAAAGAAAACTTGACATACATGTAGAAAAGCAACTACAATGCGGAGACGCTGCCTCTACTAAGTGTAGGAAATCTCTCCCGGTGGCTTCAAAACATATACTCCAGGCATACCTAACGTAAACTCATTATGGTCTGAGCTCTCGACATACACCCACAGTGTACTTATTTCTCACTAACTAGGAATTCTCATCAGCTCTTTTCCCTATCCAGCAATACTCTCTTTCCTATTCTATCTCTCTCCTTCATCTCAACGGAATTTAGACAAATCAGATTAAACAAACTCCGCAACCTAAATATCCTGCCTGGCGCGTTAAGGTATTATCTTGAGAACTTAGTCCTTGTAACTTCCAAGATGTTGCAAGGTGTGAAAATGCTAGTATTACTTATTCTCGATCCTACACGGCGCGGACCATCTCGAGCTGCTTATAGAAGATTATACTTGCCAGTGATTCGAATATAGCAGAGCAGATACTAAGCGCAGATCCCTTTCAACATAGAAACGTGCTCGTTTTTCTTCAGCTTATTCTGCAGTGCTTTGATCGTTATATCATCCCAATGTGCACACTTTATACCTCCCTCTATGACGGGACCTTCCTCATCGTCATCATCTTCTCCAGCCTCACTCATTTTCATTACATCCGCCGCCACCTTATCCATCCACCTTCACTTGCTGTTGCGCCTTGTACACTGCTAGCCTGTACATAGCTCCAAGTCCCTTGGCTTATTAGGGATTTGCCTCTCGATCACGTTACACGATTACAACCAATTCCAGCTTCAGGACCTCTGTTGTGCTCTTTCCTCTTACAAAGAGCCACGTATTACAAGCACTAGAAGAAAACAGCACCAGAAACTAAGCAGCGAAGGCGTAGAGACGACCGAAGCTTAGGGTGAGGGATTGTGCGTAGCACGACGATGCGCGGGGTCTTGGTTACATAAGCAATATGCTCGCAGTGCTCTCAACGGCTGCTAATCACGCAGACCCCCCTCCGGTGTCTCTAGGAGGCCGCCTTTAGGCGAACAAGGGTTCTAACTCCCCCTCAGTCTCAGCTCAAGATCCGCTCACCCCAGCTTAGCCACAGCTCAGGCTGGAGCATAAGCAGCTCAGTTCTCTAAACGGGAAAGGAAAGGGCTTGTGTGCACGTTGTGGTGTTGTACTAGCTGTTATTGATTCTAAGCTCCAGTAGATGCAATTCAGGATGGGATATCGAATCCAGCATCCGCCCTCCTCGCTAACAAATGCTGCTAAAAGAACAAAAAATGCAACTAAGAACCCTCCAAAGCGCCAGATAAATGCTATCCCAAACACCCTTTTTATGCATGACCGTAATGACAAAAGAAAAAAAAAACCAAGACAAGAAACGCCTGTGAAGCTGGGCCAGCAGCTCCGATGCACACCCCTCTATCGCGCCAGTATCGCGCTGATTACAACCAAACCCCCTTCCTTTTTCTTGCCTTTTTCCAATCTCCTATACACCCCAAAGTCGTCGTGGGCAATCTCTACCCCCTCGACCGCGCCCTCTTCCCCCTCCCACACTCCTTGCGACTCAGCGGCTCCTCAGGCATCACCCACCCCCTCACGCGCTTCGCCTCGCGCTTCTCCGACAGATTCGGCTTGGGCACCCACGCGTCCTTCTCCAGGCAGTTCTGGCGGCTCAGCGCCGCCGGCCCGCCGACGTCCATGCGCCAGCTGCCCGACATGCCGGGCAGCGGGTTCTCCTTAGCCAGCATGTGCAGGTACCACAGCGCCAGCCCGGCCGTCATCTGCAGCGCGCCCGAGTCCGGGTGGGCGCCGTGCGTGCTGAGGCGGATGGGCGCGCTGAGCTCCAGGTAGCCGAAGATGGGCACGGCGGCGTTGGCGTTGACGGTGGTCGGGTCGGGCGTCGTCGCCGACGACGGCCCGCCGCAGCGCACGACGAGTAGCTCGATTTCAGTCAGGATGAAGCCGTAGCGGCAGCCGTGCTCGCGCATGACGCGGTGCAGGTGCGCGAGCCCTTGCAGGTAGTAGACCTGCTTGTTGGGCGCCTCGGAGCGCATGCCCGTGTTCCACTGGTCGTAGGCCTTGACGAGGCCTACGACGCGCCCGCGACCGTCGCCGAAGATAGTCTTTTCGTAGTCGGATTGGTAGTTGGAGATGAACTCGGGCTGTTGGCGCGAGCCGGGCGGGGAGGGCGTCGCGCGCATCATCATGTGCGTGTTGCCTTGGGAGACTTTGAGCGCGGCGTTGACTTTGGCGGCGTAGTGGTCGCGGCAGAGGTCGTGGAGCTGGGACTCGGTTTCGGGTTGCATGTTGGGGCGGGCGGGAGTGGGAAGGGCGGTTGAGGGGACGTCGATGGTGAGGAGGGAGAGGAAGCCCGGGACGGCGCTGATGGTGTCGATGTTGAAGTCGGTCCAGCTGCGGAGGTTGCGGATGTCCCACCAGAAGTGGGTATGGATGCCGCGAGGGGCGCTAGCGATGCGACGGACGAGAGCCGGAGAAGGGTTGGATCCGGTCAGATACTCGAGAAGGGTGGTCGTCTGTGTAGGCTGGGTGAACATCTCGTACTGGAGTTCAGCCGCAAGCGGGTACTGAACAGCAGGTGCAGGAGAAAAGTCGGTAACTGAATACTCTGACGATATAGTCCGCGACATATGAGACACTTCATGAGCCTCCGACGGGTATGTGGTTGGGAGCGCAGTGACGAGATTCAATGCTGGTGGTGCGGCGCTGGAAGCAGTCACGTAGCTGGGCATCTGACGGTAGGTAGGATATCCAAAGCGCCCAATAACAGACTCATCGACGCTTCCAGAGGAGCTAGAACGAACATGGCCGCGAATAGCGGATGCAGAGTGGGACCGTCCATGGCCGACCATGGAGGGACGACGCGAGGAGGAAGGGGTGAAGGTAATAGGGGAATTAAGGGCTGAGTGAAAGGCAACGTCATAAGGAGAGGCCACTGTAGAGGCAGGAGAGTCAAGGCCGCCGTCGTTAGGAGGGCTAGTTGCGCGACGTATTAAAGATTGTGGGCGCGAATATGGGTTGAAGGTTGAGGCGTATCCAATGCTAGTGTTAGACGTCGTCCGGCGATGTCTGACTGGACCACCAGTGGGCTCGGTGATTTGGTCTTGCGGTCTGACCTTGGGTAGGAGGAGAGGGCCATGCTGTCTGATGGGGGAGCGCGGCGGAGTAGTGGAAGAGGTGTTGACAGAGTCAGGTGACGAGTCGTGGGACACGTAGGTGCCATCTGAAGAGTTGCGGCTTTGAGCACTGTCCGGGATGTAGGCAAAAGTCGCCGAGGGCGGCGTGGTTTGACGAGAGTACATTGTGATGGGATTGCTACCAGACTAATTGAACCATGAGAAAGGGTACACGGTCGAAGTGAGCCAAGGACTTACGCAACGGTGAAGTGCGGCGTTTGAGTTTGAGGATTAGGAATATGGATTAAGTGGAGGCCGGCTCCGAGTGGACAAGACAAGAGTGGAAATGGAAATGGAAAGACAAATGAGACTCGTTGTCTCGTAAGGCAGACTCGCAAGATAAGTGATGGGGGGAAAGGCAGAGAGTGCGGCGAGGCTCTGTACTTATCCCCGGGGAAATGAAGACCTGGCAGCCAAAGAATCACGACGAGCAGGCGTTCGAGGCTAGCGGCAAAACACGCTGAAACAGCAGCACGAACGGCGGCCCGACAGGCCCCAAGGCGACTATCACGACAGATCGGAGGCAGCGCGTGGTGCCATCCCCAGATCGGGCGTGAAACGGAGCTCCCCCGAGGACGAACAGCCGGGTTTGGGCTAGCATTGAGCGGGCCCGGGCCTGAAACGACAGCTATTCTTGCACACATGCGCTTAAGCCGTTGCGGAGGTGGCCAGAAAGCATCGTGAGTGGCTGTATGGGGGGAGGTCAGTCGGGGGGAGGTCAGTCGGGGGGAGGATCCGGGTGCCAAGGTCTGGCGATGCGCTCTTGCAGGCGGCTGGCAAGATGAAACGGCGTCGCGAGGCGCCATGAAGTGCTCGCCCGCGGAGGTCATATTTTTGGCCTCGCGGGAGAAGCAGAGCGGTAGTTTCACGGGCGGGCAGCGACTCAGCGTCGTGGAGTTGAGGTTTGGCGGTTAGGTGTGGCGGTATGCAATTGGACGGGTGAACCGACTCTCCCGCGCTGTGTGGCCAGCGCTGGGCCGATCCGTCTCGGCAACAAGGAGCAGGCCTCGCTGTGGGCCTGCCGAAGCTTGACGGGAACAAGCTGCAGGAAGCGTGCAGAACGACTGAGGAGTCATCGACTGCCGTGGTCGTCATTGGGCCGAAAACCACACTGTTTCGAAACACCTGCATCTCTCGGCCAGCTTGCAACGGTGACTCACAACGGCCTTCACGACTATAACACGTCCTGAGGGAGCACCGTCTTTTGACCGCTACAACGCGTGAGCCGACGCGTCGCTCGCTGGAGCTTTCGGGGTCTCGCCGCTGCCCACCTTGCAACACCCTCAGCATTCGGCGCCGGGCCTCACGCGCTGCGTCGCCTTGAGAACCCGGGCTCGTGTCCTCCCGAGTCTCCGCATGCGATTCTCGTCGTGGCAGCTCCGGGCGCGCGCTGCGATTGGGCCTCCCACACTCTGGGCCCAGCGGCTACTGCACTCTGGCTCTGACATTGCACCCGTTGACGCTGTGGGAGGGCTGTCGTTGGGATTTGCTCGCTGCTAAAAACAGCGCTTGAGCCTCACGATGCCCCCGACGTGGGCCATTTAGCGCCCGCACCCGTACCAAACAAAAATGGTTCCAAATATACCTCTGACTAGCCACGCGCCCGTCCCTTAATGCCACTAATCGGGCCTTGTAAAGTCCCCTAATTCCCGAATTCTCCGCGAGAGCCCCTAATATGCCTGGAAACGGCTGTCGTCGCCGCCCGTGCTTCACCTCCCTCTCAGGCCTCATCCTCGCTCCAGCTGAGTTACAATGCCATTTCACTCTCACGACTCCTCCCCCTGGCATACGCACCCGCCGACGAAGAGGAGCTGACTGACGTCGACGTTGTGCCCATTTCTTTTACCGCTGGTGCAAATGAGGCTCCACCTGGTCCGCCCACCACTGCTTCCAGTCGACCACTTTGCGCTGCTTGCGGGCGTCTTCTGCCGCAAAGACGACCGCGTGACTGAGGAATGCCTCATCGAGGTCGCACCCTAGATACGTCCTCTGCGCCTCCGCTGCTGGCATGCCCTGGTTGTTGACCGCGTCCACTGCCAGGACGAACTGTCTTGCCAGTCCCTCGTCTCCGCCGCCATGTCCACCGCCAGTTTGCTTTGGGCTGTAGACCTTTGTCTTGCCCGTCTTGAAGTTGTGCACTTTGATGACTGAGCTGTCGTACTCGATCTCGCCTTTGGTGCCGTAAATTCTGCCACGGCGCTCACAGATCTTTTCTGTGAACGCAACCATGTGGAACTGTGCTGTCTTCGCTCCTCGCCCCTTCAAGCTACTCTTTCCGTTCTCGTCTGGCGCAGGGTCGTCGTCCCAGGTAATGGTCACGCACTGGTCGTCGCAGACATCGTTGTCAGACTCCCAAACGCAGCGGCCGAACCAAGGTCGTTTCTCAACCTCCGCGACCGGCGTGTCCGCTGTGTAGTCCTCGCTTAGATTTTCCAAGAGCTTGTCGGTGGCCGGCTTCAGTCCAGACGCCTTGTAGATGTCTTCGATCTGGGGATTGACAATCTTGACCGGCCAATCGGTGTTACCATGGCGTAGTTGCTTCTCGAGATAGATGTTCTTAGCACTGTACTCACAGTCCCCCTCAATCGGGCACTTCAGACAGTTCGTAGCATCGCCCGCCGCCTCAGGCTTCCGTGACTTGTTGAAGAACTTCCGCGATCCCGTTGACGTGATGAATGACGGTAGATGTGGCGCTCGCATGCTGCTAGGCGGTGGTGAGCAGAGCATCCACATGATGAAGTCGAGATCATGGCAGGACTTTGTGAGCAGCGACGGTGCTGTCGTAGACTCCTTGCGCCAATTGCCCCTGAAGGACGTCAACACTCGTTTCTCTTCACTCCAACTCAAGAATAGACATCGACCATAGCCGTAAAAGAAAGAGAACCCACCTCACATAACTATGCGAAAAATGCCACCACCCCACCGGTTCCACATGCTCCATACTCAACACCTCCCCCACAACCTCCTCCTCTAACATCAACCGCCTCAGCAGCATATTATGCGGCGAATACCTCAACACATGACAGATCCCAAACACCTTCTTCCCATCTCCCCCCGCCTTCCCCCACCCCTCCTTCAACGCATTCACAATCCCCACACACCCCGCCAACCCCGTCCCCAGCGGCTTCTCGCACAGCACATGCACCCCGACCCCGCTCACCCCCTCCACCACCTCTGTGTGCAGCTCGTCTAGCACGCACACCAGCACCGCATCTACGCCCGGCTCCACGCTCTCCCCGGCGCACTCCCGCGCGCGCCGCGCCCGCTCGTACGCGACCCAGTCCCGCCAGTCGGCGAACTCGTGCGCCGGCAGCGGGTTGCCGTCGGGGGTAGGGTGGTTGGCGCCGGCGCCCCAGATGTAGCGGGCGCCGAGGGTGGCGCGCGCGTGCGGCAGCGGGTCGGCGACGCAGGCGATGATGGTGTTGGTGCTGTGGGTGAGGGCGGCGGCGTAGGCGTGGCCGCGGGAGCCGGCGCCGATGATGAGGAGGCGGGGTGGGGAGGGGAAGGTGAGTTTCTGGGGGATGATGTCTTTTTGGGGGACGTCTTTCTGGGGGACGGGAGGGGGCTGTGAGGGGGTGGGGGAGGTCGAGGTCGAGGTCGAGGAGTCGTGCTTGAAGAACTTGCGCATTTTGGATGATGGGATGATGTGGATGATTGAAGGGGGATTGGAGTTGAAGGGGGCTTGAAATTTAGGAGGTCCTGAACACTGATGACTGCGATGCGTTGGTTATCGGGTTGTCTGGAGGGGTATGGGAAGAGGTGACGTTGAAGCGGACCTGCTTAGAAGTTCGTTTAGGCAGAACAATGAACGTTCTTAAGCTTCGAAGCTGCCTGGAGCTGAACGTTTAAAAACACGGCTAGTCTTGTATCTGCTCTACTGATCGGCCAGACGAAGCGGGGGATGTGCGGCGATGGGATTGTGGAGTGTAACATCACGATAACATTTTACCCAGGTTGCATCGCTTGATTCGTCGATCGTCCTCCCCACAGTACCAGCAGATCTGGAATCAGATAGCTGGATACGAGATGAAGGCAGATACATGTTAGTATGGAAAAATTCGCCAATGAGAAAGCGAGAGTTTCTCAGCAGAAGCTGCAGCAAATCAGGGCTCTGCTTTTACTGAGCAAGTCGAAGATTTGGCTGCACGTGATTCTCCTGGTGTTGTGCTCTTGGGGTTCCATCTTTAACTCGTTCATTTTTTCATGACTTAGCTGATCTATCTGCAGCCTTCATTATAGAACGGGCCACTGGCTAACAATATTATGGAGGTCTAGGTAATCTCTTGGCCCGTCGTGGCGCAACGCTCGGACTGAGGATCTTGGAACACCTCCTGAGTTTGTCGTAAACAGCAGGCGAACTTCTTTGCAGTTCTCATCATTTCAAACTTTCCATTGGTTGTATCCTTATCGATAATGTATAGCGAAATGCGACAGGCCAAGGGATATCACCGTTGTGATTTAAGGTGTCATCAGTAACGGCCTCTTTAATGCAACCAGACCAATAAAGACTGGTATTATCTAGCCTACCCAAAAACCCCCAAATCAGCCAGATGTAACCCATGAGTCCTGCCAAAGCGAATTCCAAAATGTATATGTCTAAAACGGAAGCGTCATGGCACCACTCCATTATTTCCATGCGTAAACCTTAATTTCGACCTCGCAGTAAGATCCTCCGTTGGAACAAGCGCATAAAGAATAGTATGCGCAATATTAGCCATACTTAAAAGAGAAGAGGAGGAAGAGAAAGAGGAAAGGGATGTAGAATTTAAGAGAGATATACGTGTAAAATTTGTAAGATGGAATAGAGATGACATATAATAGTAGCATGGTTAGTAGTATAGTAGACAGAAAAGAAGACATCATGCGGCGAATCAATGAGAAGGCGCAGCTTAACACAGGAGGCGGATGGGGGTTACGGCAGGTAGTAGCCTAGCTAGATCAAAGACGTGTGTCCATGGCCTCTCTCATCGCGAGGACTCTGAGCAGCGGAGAGGTATGAGCAATTAGCCCGGCAACTACCGGAACATAAGTTTAAGTCTCATCCAAAGAACAGAAAATGTCAAGTACTCCAACTGATGTCAGAACGAGGTCAGCAAAATAATGTCCTAGAAAGATATGCCATCATTGATCGCGAAATAACGCTCTATATGCTATCTTCAATGTCCCACGCAAATGCCTCATAAAACATACCTATCCGTCAATCATGAATCTAGCGTTGCGTCCTCATCAATCCATCCCCCTCAAACAGCCTCCCCCTTCATCACCATCCCCTCCCTCATCCAATGCCCAAACCCCTCAATACTCTTCGAAATCTTAACCCAAAACTTAATGTTCTGCGCCCTCACAATCGGACACTGCGCGCCTACACTCTCCACCTTAACCACGCCCGTCCGTGCGACCCTAATCCGCCTCGCCTCCTCCGCCCACAGCATATCCGCCTGCGTGCTCAACCCCCAGTCCTCGCGCCGAATCTGCGCCAGCAGCGCAAACTCCTCGGCCGTCGCCGGCGCAATCAGGTCCCACGCCGAGGGGTAGCTCGGCTGGTCCGCCGTCTCGACCGCGAGCGTGAAGTGCGTGAGGTTGAGCATCGGCTCCTGCGCGGGGCTCCCGTCATCGCGAACGCTCGCGTCGTTGGGGTTTGTGAGCGCCGTCAAGCACGCGCACGCGGCGCGCCAGTCATCCTCCCGGCTGCTGCTGACGAAGGGCAGCGCCTGCTTTGTAATGGAGAGCTTGCGCACGGCGCGCTTGCCGAGGGGACTGAGGTCGCGGAAGAAGGGGCTGATGGCGTCGATGTTGGCGCCGAAGGAGAGGGTGTAGGTCGTGTGCAGGACCGTGGCGGCTTCGTTGTAGATTTGGCGGTTGAGGGGGAGGAGGGAGGGGAGCGTTTCGCGGAGGTGGGCGGCGGATTGGGGAGGTTTGATGGTCCAGGTGGTCGGGAGGGAGGAGATGGGGAGGAAGCCGCGGCGAGGGGGGTGCGTGTGGTATATTGTTCGGAGGGGGGCTATGGGAGCTGCGGTGGTGCTGGGGTTAATGGTTGCGACGCAGAGGGTGTATGGGTCGTCGTCTTCGAGCGCCTTTGTGGAATTGGGGAGGATGAGCAGCTCATAGATCATGAGCCGGATCTCCGCGGGGAGACGCAGGAAGGGTGAGGGTGTTGAGCTCGCCATGTTGGTGAGGATGATGGCTTCAAACTGATAAATTCTAAGCTTCGTCGATATAGACTCTCTGAGAGGTAATTGATGATGTTGAGGACCGAATTGTTCTATTCGCCGTCGAATTGGCCGCGTGAAAGACGTTCCAAATGGAGGTTTCTTTGTGTTTGAAAGAACCTCGCTGTAATCTCAACAAAACAAAGAGCGGTGACGATTGAAGGACCCAGGGACCGAATCGGGTAAACAGTGATTCTCCGATTAGTCGTGACGCCTAACACATGATGGACCGTTAGATATCGTATCAGGATGTATCTGAAGTGGTAGTTGTGAATTAGGTTGTAAAACAGGAAGCTTGTAAGACGATAGGATACCCTACGCTCCTCGCGACGTCTGACTGGACTTTATATTTACCATCAAGGTACCAAGGTACCCTGATGACCGCTATCGTCAGGGAAAAGCACGGCACGCCGGTACACGCCGGCAGCATGCACTCCGCGGCATCTCACGCGCTGGAACCTTGGCACGCTTGGGAACATATCGGCGCTTTGCCCCATGCTGCTAGAGGTTGCTGAAGCGGCCGATCTCGGGATTGCGTTGGAACGTCAAGTGGCAGACGAACACCAGCTGAGGTAGCCTGGAAAGCTCTCTATCAGGCTAGCCAGATTGTCGGCTTACAATTGTTCAGCAAGGTACTGGAGAACCTCAAGCACTGCTAGGTAATATGTACCTTTGGCTAGAAGGCCGTAGACTAAAATTCTTGTCTTGGATTTGAGAACTGCCACTATATGATCAAGGGAACCTGACGTAGCCCTGTCGCCGCTTTCTCTCCATCAAAATGGGTTCTTCGGAGCAGGCTCGGCAATAGCGGTGAGGGTGTGCTTTACTTGACGTGTTGCATTGTGGAAATGAGTGAGTACAGTCATGGCCGGGTAGATAGCAGATGATTAGGGCGCCTGAGCTGACTGAGAGGTTGGAGACGTAAGTCCTCGGTGTCTGATTACTATTGTGAGATTCTGTTTTGACGATGAATGTGACAACGAGATGAATGCACTAATAAGCAGATAGGCCCCCAAAAGTGGAGATTCATCTCGCTCATGTACAGTACTGCACAGTAGGCCATAAGTCTGGGCACACGGATTTATCATTGCTTGACTTTAATTTTGCTCATTAGACACCACTGTGAGGAGCAAGCCAGCTAGTACGCAGCCACTCAGTTAAGGGGCAGTCTAATTTGCACTACTTGAAACTTGACATCGCACCTAGGTTTTTAAAGTTCTATGGGGGCACCCCAAGCAGCGGTAAACCCGTGTGCAAAGACTTATGACCTGTCACTGTAGTGCTATTATATACAAGTTCTCTCCAACATCCTCCCTCAATGAACTCTCCGCGATCACTCGAAGAAATAAATCCAATAGTCTATTCCCAAATCATGACAACAGGTTCAGCTCAGGGTAGTCCGGAACTTTCCATCCAGCCTTACTTGTATCCTCAGGAAACACCCTATGCATCATCTCATTGATCTTGAACGTAGACAGAGCCCACATGCTGTTGCGGAAAATCCAGACCCCTAGCCGGGAGGATGGTAGAAACATCCCAACCAGCCCAGTAGGCAAATGCTGGCATTCGTCAATGAGAGGCCGCGCGACCTTATCGTATGCCTGCAGCGCCCTAGGCACATCGTTACCATGTCTTGCCAGTTCCCCCGCGAGTAAGTACGCCCCAACGATCGAGAGCGTAGTCCCCAGTCCCGTGAAAGGACTCGGACAGTATCCCGCATCTCCAAGGAGCGCGACGCGGCCCTTATACACCTCCTTCATCTTCACCTGCGCTATTTCGTGCGTGTAGAAATCATCGCAGGTATCCAGGCCGCTCACAAACCTGTCAGCCTGCCATCCGGCGTCTTTGAAAGTTTCTGCCCAGACCTCTTTCTGCTTCTCGATTGGCTCTTTGTTCATCTTCTTCAGCCTCTCAGTGCTTGTAGCGTTCATGTTGAAGAGGTACACCTGCGTCATCGGCCGGTCACCCATTCGTGTTAATATGCACCTACGTCCTGGGGCAGTATAGAGATTCGCGAGCCCTCCTTCGCCCTCGAGCCGTGGGACGCTGTAGTAGGCCGTGTGGATACCGAGAGATTTGAACGCTTCATCACTGGCCTCCTGGCCGAAGGCTTGGCGTCTTGTCCGCGACGTCTGCCCGTCTGCGCCGACGACGAGGTCGTAACGCTTCTCCTGTCCGTCCGAGAAAGTGACATCAACGCCGTCGTTGTCTTGTTTGAAATCCATGACAGTCTTCCCGAACTCATACGTCAATCCGCCCGCTTGCCCTAGCTCTTTCGCTTTCACTCCCTGGGCGAGACTGGCATCGTAAAGCACCTGCACCAGATCACCCCGCATGATCTCATACTCACTGGTCAGCCCGACAGTGCCTTTAGCGGCGTCGACGATGCCGAAGTGCGCGATTGGCTTTCCGTTTGGGTCGACCATGGCGAGGCCGGTTTCGGCAACGAGGGATTTCTTGATATTGTCCATGAGGCCCATTTTCCTCAGCACGGGGAGACCTTCGGCTTTGAGGTCGATCTGTTGGCCTGCCATGCGGAGCGAAGGAGAGCGTTCTATGATGGTGATGGTGTGGCGAGGATCGGCGCTCTGGAGGAAGTATGCGAGGGCAGGCCCTGCGACACCGGCGCCGATGACGAGGATGTTGAGAGGGTTCGCGAGGGAGGACGAGGGTCTGAGGGCCGGGAGAGACATTGCGGTCTTGGGTGATTACAGGGTGCTTCGAAGAGGTAGTGCTTGGGTGGAATGGTGTATGGAATCGACTAGGCAGAATAAAGTAGTGATAACGCACACCGTTGATAGGTGTCAAGAATGTGACTTGGGGGAGACAGAAGTACAATAGGATCTGCGCGTAGGGCAAATATATCTATAACGGGCTATTGACGCTGAATTGCGGAGATATGAGCGCTGAATTGCGGGGATACACGATGATTTATACGAACAAGAATACGAGTAAGCGCAGTACAAGGCCGCACACGGATTTATCGTTCATATCCGCACGCAAACACGACTTAACGTCTGGGAACCGGAAATCGTAGTGTCTGAAGGAGCTTGCATAGGGCGACAAGACAAGGATACGCTCTCCGGTTTTGTGATCCGTCCAATTAGCAAAGGAACTCACCCTTGCTACTCCCTCGCGAGCGTGCCCCTTTGGGGCCATTCTATGAGACTTTACAGTATGAAACGCGGATTTCAGCTTTTCAGTGCGCGTATGGCGGAGACCGGTCGGTAGAAGCGGAGGGGGGGGCGGAGAAGAGGAGCGGAGCACCGCAGAATCGGAGCTGCGATGCCGACGTGAGCCTCAGGCATCAAATCGCAACCTTTAAGGAGACGAGTCCCCAGAAATGAACGAACGCCTCATTTTGAGGGTCTCCATCTCGCAAACGCCTGGGTTGTTCTGCAGGCCAGGGTTAAACGGACAAACCATGCAGCATTCGTAGCTGCTCAGCAATGGCATCATCAGCCACGTCTCGCCGCCCATGAAGCATGAAAGCCACGCAAAACTTCCCAAGCCAAGTCTCCTGTGCCATGGCGAGCCTGGCGATTCTGACGTTGCTTTCTGTTTGAAACTTGGTCGTCGTCATCCGTATGCTTGGAGTCATTCTTCTGATTATAAAGTCGTCTAGCAATCCCTCTTCTTCCATGAGAACCATGAATAGCAGGTTGTAGATTAGCCTAGAAGAGATAGGAATGCTGAAGTCCTCGGCAGCTTGCTTCAATTCAGAGTTGAAGATGATTGGGGAGGCAGAAGTCTGTCTCTGTCCATTGAAGTCGTGGCCAAGCGTAAGGTACTGTAAGCCTCTAATGAGGGTTCGGCGCATGTCGCTAAGTTGTTGGAAGGGGGTGCCAGGTAGACAGGCTTTGCAATGGCATATGAAGCGCAGTTCTCGATGGCGCTCATCTCTGGTCTTGCAGTGGAAAGCCGTAGGGTAACAGAAAGTAATCTCCTCGCCGGCGTCAATGGTTCGGGTCGCAAACCTGGAAATGGACTGCCCACCGGTCGCCGGAATCTTGGAGTTGGGTATACACGAGTGGTCGAAACGTGACTGAAGCAGGAATATACCACGCGTTGGAGGGTGCGCGGATATTGAGAAGGAGTTTTCAGCGAAGGCGTCGATTATACGTAAGAAAGGCCTGGAATCGTTGTCGCGGAGGCACAGAAATTGTTTTTTTTCTTTGGGCTGCAACTGGTGAAAGGCTGTCCAGATGTCCTGCTCTGTAATTTCGTCATGGGCTTTTTGGATAACGAAGAGCGGCTTCTCCCTCAAGATCAGGGTTCCTCGCTCGATTCGTCTGGTGGCAAAAGCACCCCATCCTTTTCCTTTCGAGGGACCTAATGCGAAGGGCGCGTCGCCCGGCACTTCGAGGCAACGATAGGCTATAGGGGTATTCTAAGTCCGACGCACTGTTAAGCAATAGGCCGACTTACAATGATCTTGAGACATCGCTGTTTACCGCTGCGGAACGTCTTCGCAGTGCCCGCAGTCTCATGTATGAAGGGATCCTTTGATGTGTTCCGGATAATTGTAGACAGCATTTGGGTGGCATGAGATTCGACAAGGAATCTTGCTATATGTCGGAAACTGAGGAGTAAAAATGCTTGTTTCATTCTAGCAACACTAGACCCCCACCTGCCCCACGGTGTTGGGATGACGGATCCGAGACTCAAGCGTGTTGGTTGAAGATGTCTACTCTGATTTTGTAGAAGCCTCGGGCGGTGCCATATCATAATACTGTACGACCTGATTTATGGAAAATGTTGGAAGCCACAAGACAGCAAACCACGAATCGGCTAAAACAACTCTATCTGCACAAGGCTGGACAGCGCCATGGTTATGGACTTCAGCCTCAGCCTTTCTTAGAACTTCTTCCATCCTCTCTCTTGTGAGAAGAAGCAACTCGTAGGCTTCTACAACTCCAGTACCTCACCGAAAAAATATTGCATGCCGATCCACACTCCAAAATGAGCCGACTTCCACTCACATATTTCTCCGGCATGTCAGCCTCGTCAGCCTACCAGTCTAACGACTTTCCAGACGAGCCACCACCAGCTTACGACTCCTCTTACCGGAACACGACGAACCCTTTCCGGAACGAGTTCACTACTTACCAGAGCGAGTTCACTCCGGACGATTTCGCTGCCTACCAAGATGGCTTCGACTACGAAATCGAAGGCCCGCCGTTCACGTGTGGCATCTGCATGGACGACAAACCACGATCTGACTCCTACGTTTTCGACTGCGAGTCAAGCCACACCTTCTGCCGTGACTGCTCTCGCGAGGTCGTGCGAGGCGACATCGAAGGCAACAAAGTCCCCAGATGCCCTGGTGAACGTTGCAAGCACGAGCTCAGCGAGCAGGAAATGAAGCAGCTTCTTCCTGAGCAACTCGAGAAATACAGCACTATGCTGCTCAACCGCCTCGTTTCCCAAGGCCCGTTCCTCGTCTGTAAATGCAAACATGTCATGGCGGCGCATTCAGCAGGCGAGCAGGAGCGCGTCGAATGCCCAAAGTGTCGCTACACGTTCTGCTCGCTCTGCAACGAGGACTACCACTACCGCTGCACTTGCCAGGAGCTCAAGCAGTACCGCAATATCTGGACGGCGTGGCTGCGCAAGGGGAGGAACGACTACCAGTCGACCGTCGCGCAACAGGAACGGCGGCAGAAGCAGCAGTACGAGAAGCAGACGAAGGAGTTCGTCGCCGCGCAGAAGAAGCACGAGGAAGATCGCGCTGCGGCCTTACGAGCGTTCGAGACGCTCCAGCAGGACGAACAGTACAAAGCCCGCAGCGCTCGCATGTGCCCGCACTGTGGCCGTGTGGTCGAGAAGATCACGGGCTGCGACACCATGACGTGTGGGCAGGACGCGCATGGTGGAAACGTCCAGAGTGGATGTGGGAGGGGTTTCACCTGGACCAGTGCACCGATGTATCGGGCCGCTGCGGTCAACACGCCAACGATTGAGGCTTTCGTGGCCCAAGCGCCGCAGCAGGCGGGCACGCAAGGGTTTCGGCATGAGTATGCTCGATGCGATAACTGTGGCTCAGAGGAGATCGTCGGGCTTAAGTTTGAGTGCCTCAATTGTCCTGCGTATGACTTGTGCGGGAAGTGCGAGAGGAATGGGACCAGGCATGATCAGAGGCATGTCTTTAGGATTTGGAAGAACGATAGGGATAATGGGCTTCAGTAGGGATACTCTCGAGGGGTGGAGCGATTTTCTTCCTAGTGTTTGTAGTTCTATGGGCCATTCTGATGGTTTCGATGGCGTTTGCTGCTTGGAGAAATGGAAGTGGAAGGGAAAATATGAGAGCTTTGAGCCTGTGTCATGCAATCCCTACATCGATCATTTCATGACTCATGAGCTTAAGGTGGCGCCTACATATCGACTTCAATTTCTAGCAGGCAGCAACATCAAATCACAAACTGTAACGTAGGTGATGGGGTTATTACGCACGAGGTAGTTATTACGTTGGTCTAAGCTTCACACGTATTCCGAATCTGTGCACCCGCCAAGCTTTTTTTTTAATGTTCGGAAGCGTAATAACTACCTCGTGCGTAATAACCCCATCACCTACGTTATCTCTTTGAGTCACTACAGAATCTTATTTAGATTACATCATATCCAAACAAACCCAGACTCCAATCATCCAACCCTACAAGCAAAAACATACGCTGAACCACTCCCAGCACTAGTAAGTACCATTTCCAAAATCACATTTCAACGACCAATCCACCCTTCATAGACTCAAAGCCTCTCACTATACCTATCACTTTTCCACCACACCAATCATGCTCACTCGACCCTTGTCCCTCCCCACCCCCCACTTCGTGGAATCATGCGGCGCCCTCCCCCTCCATCTCCCCACCCGCACAATCGCCCTCATCTACTACAAACGTAAAGACGAATACCTCCTCGCCAAAGGCCGCCGCAACGTCGCCGAATCCCGATCTGCTGCCGCCCTCCGCGAAGTGCGCGAAGAAACAGGTCTCACATGCACGCTGCTCCCCGTGATCATGGACACGCGGGCACCGCCAGCGGATGAGAAGGCTGAGGACACAAATGCGGGGGATAGGGTGAGGGTGGAGGAGGAGTGTGTCGAGCCGTTCATGGTGAGCATGCGGGAGGTGGGGCGGAAGGGGAAGAAAGGGCAGGAGGGGAGCAGGCATTTGAAGATTATTTGGTGGTTTTTGGGGGAGATTGTAGAGGGGGAGGGGGAGGTGAGTGGGGAGTCGTTTGAAAAGGGTAGATGGGATGGGCCGGAGGAGCAGTTTGAGGTTGTGAGGATGGGGTTCGAGGAGGCGGTGGAGAAGCTGAGTTTTGAAGGGGATAGGGAGGTATTGAGGAAGGGGGTGGAGTTGGTTGAGGGGACGTATTGGAGCAAAGAGGGAGATTCGGGTGAGATATTGGTCGTCTAGTTTTTAATACACAGGGGGGGGGGGGGGGGGGGGGGGAAGCGCTGCCCCTAATACCGAGCATCCATATCCTCCAGATTAGTATCATCCTCGCTCTCTACATCCTGCATATCCTCTTCTGACTCGTCACCTTGCAATGCTTTAATCTGTGCAGGCGTTAAGTCCACGACGACCGGAGCGTACTCTCCGCTTTCATCGTCTTCGTCGAAACCGTTCACTTCCATCTCGACCTTCTCGCCATCCTCGAGTTCCAACATGCCTCGCTTGACAAACGAGTCATCAAGCTCCCATCCAAACGCATCCTTCAAGAACTCCTCCAACTCGACCAGCTCTTCAAAAATCTCGTCTTTACCAGCCCAGTCCAGTTCTTCCAATCCCTTTCGAAACTTTCGTAGCAGGCCTTTCAGAAATCTACCACCCTCGTCTGTCATATCGAAGAGCCCGCTCTCGGCATATTGACAATGGCTCAGCTGTATTCTCAGCACTTGCGGTAGGTCTTTGAATAAAGTCGGGCGGTCTTTGATAGCTTGTCGACTCGTAAAGAGAAGCTCTAGTAGCCGCTTCCATTGCTCGAGACAGGAGTTGTTGTTGAGAGTTAGGAATGTGAGAAAGGCGAACTGCAGCTCGCCGATGATCTCTCGCTCCCGCTCTTCAGGTGTGTTTCCGGAGCATCGCTCCGTAATAAGATTTTCCAACGCCCATGATCGGTCCTGTGCAGCAGTTGTGCGTTCTCGCCCTGTCGCGCCCTCTCGCCATGTCTTCTTGAGATCGATGGGAAGTAGATGTAATTCCTTTTCAGGCTGAAATTTTGACTCTAGCTCAGCGAGCCCGGGAATATCATCGACATCTTGAGCGGCCGACGACGCAGACGTAAGGCTCCAGTGATCCGGCGTTGGTCCAGTGATGCGGGATAGTAGGGCTGGGGTGATTCGACTCGTCAGATCCTTCCAATCACCTTCTCGTTGTGTTTCGTTCTGTTCAGTTGAATCTTCTGATCCAGAACTCTGTCGATACGGAGTCAACCCGTCTCGCCATATTGATCCTAGATTGGCCCGCCATCGCATCACCTCCGTCTCGGACTGCTCAGCCACGAAATCTTCAGTAGCCGGGTCCCATTTCTTAATGAAAATCTGGGGCGGCTCTTTATTTTCATCGACAAAGAACCACGCTCCGTGTCGAACTGACAAAGACTCGCTGCTGGATGTGAAGGCGAAATGCCATCCCGGTGTTAAGTTCTTGATGCCCTTGAAGCGAGGAGTCGTTGTGAAGGAGAGGAGATCGATCCCGCCTAAAGCGGACGGTGGAAGATCAAGAAAGAGGACACATGCGGTATGGCTTGCGGAGTCCATCTGGGTCTCGCCACTGAGAGCGGAATATTTAAGTAGAGGAATTGCCAAATAAAGGGAGATTTTCAAACTCTTGAAGAAGATAGTAGAAAGGGCTCTCGAAGGTTGAGGTTGAACTAGAGCTACAGATTAATCATAGCATCTATTTGATGCCTTGGGAGTAGTGGTGAATGAAAAGAAGATCGCAGCTCGTCCTCGTTGATGTAACTCGAGACAGTCCTTTTGCCCGACTCGATAGTCCTATAGGAGCAGATTATGAAGGTCTTTCTAGCTTTTGATGTGTTTTGAGGCAAAGGAAACTCGATGGTGTTGGGTTTTGCGATATGAAGCTACCCCGCATTTGGCCAAGCTCCGCCAAGCAAAATCCTCTGCTTAAATTTCGACAAAGCGCGATCCTCTCTGACTCTCATCCACCACCTTTTCTCCCACCAATTTCACAGACTGGACGGCCATTGCCTCCTACGCACCTGAAAATGGAGGAGGAGAAGTCGGTAGGCATCATAGGCATGGGCGACATGGGGAAGATGTACGCTCGGCGGATCAGCGACGCTGGCTGGAGGTACGAACTACACTTATGAGATTTCTTTTCTCGAGGGTGCACAACACTCAAGTAAGTCCTACATTCCTTCTTCAGCTCCTCCCTTTAATGATGACTTGAGTGCATTTGGCTCGAGTACGACCTGTTTTCCGTTTTCCCTGCCGTTCTGGCTCTGAAGATTGGAGGCGGGTTGTCGATGATGTAAATTCTCAGCTACCTTAATACAGTTTTTGTCTGAACTTTGTTCACAGCTTCTCTTTCTCACTCATATTATATTTGGGAACGCAAGCTAACCGTACCCGTAAAGATTAGGCATTACCTCCCCTCCCTCGAAGCTGAACTAACAGCTCGCGCATCCAGAGTCAACGCTTGCGATATCCCAGAGAAGGCAGACCTATTGAAGGAAGAGTTCGCTGGAAGAGTAGGATGATACTTGTATATACTTCATAGACAGAACAATCGCTGAAGAGCAATTTCCAGGCAAACGTTCACATTTTGCCAAATGGTCATCTCGTGTCACGGTGTAGCGACTACATCATCTACAGCGTGGAAGCTAAGAACATTGGTGCTGTCGTGAAAATGTTTGGACCATGTATGCCGTCCTGATTGAGGCATCGAAAGCTCCATCAACTGAATTTTCTTAATAGCAACGAAGCTGGGCGCCATAGTCGGTGGCCAGACATCGTGCAAGGCACCAGAAATGGCAGCCTTTGAGCAGTATCTACCTAGCGACGTCCATATTGTCTCCTGCCACTCTCTTCACGGTCCTGGCGTTGACCCGAAGGGCCAGCCATTGGTAGGAAAGGAATGCAGAAATGCCATCCGAAGCTAACTCTTCCCAGGTCCTCATCAAGCACAGAGCTTCTGATGAAAGCCTCGCACTGGTAGAGCGTATGCTGTCGTGCTTGAACTCGAAACATGTCTTCTTGACCGCCGCACAACACGACCGTATCACCGCAGACACGCAGGCAGTCACTCACGCAGCGTTCCTGAGGTAGGTCACCTTATTTCTTCAACAACCAGCTTACTGAGGCGAGTCAGCATGGGAGCCGCATGGATGGCCAACAAGCAATTTCCGTGGGAGATACCTCGCTATCTCGGCGGCATCGAGAACGTAAAGATCAACGTTACCTTACGCATCTATGCCAACAAGTGGCACGTCTATGCCGGGCTGGCCATCCTGAACCCTTCGGCTCAGAAGCAGATCAAGCAGTACGCGGAGTCTGTCACGGAACTTTTCAAGCTCATGCTCGGTGGGCATCGTCAAGAACTCTCAGACCGCATCCACAAAGCAGGTGCAGCTGTGTTCAAAGACAATAACGACCATGATCTCTTGTTGGAAGACGAGGTCCTGGATAGGTTTTCATTGGGCGAGTTGCCCGAGCCTGAGCAGCGTGTAAAGAACAACCATCTCAGTTTGCTGGCCATGGTGGATTGCTGGTGGAAGCTGGGCATTGTGCCATACGACCATATGATCTGTTCTACTCCGGTTAGTCCCACTGCCTGCCATCAATCCGTCCATTTGCTAATCTGAGTCCAGCTGTTCCGCATGTGGCTTGGGATTACAGAGTATCTTTTTCGCAAACCCGATCTTCTCGAAGAGTGCATCGATACTGCGATCAACGATAACACATTTCGAGCTGATGACCTCGAGTTCACGTTCGCAGCACGAGTACGTCCATAACTCCGTGTTCATGATCGCGTTACTGACTTGTATAGGACTGGAGCGCGCGCGTGAGTATGGGTCACTTCGACGGGTATAGAGAGAAATTCGAGGAGATCCAGGAGTATTTCGCGCCGAGATTCCCGGCCGCTACGAAATTGGGCAATGAGATGATTAGGACTATCCTTGAGAAGACGAGTGAAGAGAAATGAGAGGTCCTACGGGTGCTCGTGCTCTTGTAAATGTTTGGCGTATGAGCTCTGGGTAATATATGGGTTTCTCCTGAAGTTTAGAGCGATAGGGCCAAATGGGTTTGCCTCGACACTTGGAGCTTGTCTGTACATGTCGAAGCCTTTTAATCCCTAATGTGTGTTTATTTGATTTTGACATCGGGTGGTACTTGGCTTTGGATGGGTACTTTAGGAACTCCCAAGCTCTCCAATTAGGTCAATAAACGGCTCTTTCTTGATACTATACCTTGCAATGAGGAAATAATAGAGGGCGTAGCGTGAGCCGTTCCGTAGAACCGTAATAGAGGTTCTGGATAGGTTACATTCCGCTGTCGCACAACGTCAAAACCTCCCACTTAACTAGGCAGCAACTCGCACACTTTCCCCATCCATCTAAAACCAATCCAAAATTCATCAAACCCCCCTCCACACCATCATCAGCGCTCTGCCATCCACCTATTCCCTTACAAATAATCCATCTCCACACATCTCTCCAACCATGGGCCATTTCCAAAGCACACCCACCAACCCCTGGCCTCCATCCGCCGGCCACCCTCAAGCCTCGTCCTTCCGAGGTCTTTTCTCCCCAACTACAAGTCTTGAAGTCAGGAGCGCTCAAAACCAAACTCTATATTGGGGCAGCAAGCTCCTGACGGTATTAGCGCTCTCCGGCATTGTTAAAGTTGGCATCGTACCAATCACGAAATTCGGTCTCATCGCCACGAAAATCTATCTCATCCAGCGGAGGCGGGCGGGCAGGTATATACCTGATTTCTGGGTATTTGCGTGGTTGATTGATGGAGAGGGTAGGAATGGGGATGATGAGGTGAAAAGGGATGATGTGAAGGACGATGGGAAGGAAGAGAAAGGTGATGTGAGCGATGGTGAGACGTATGGCAAGGGTGTTGGTGATACTGTGGTCTTGGTTGGTTGAAAATGCTACTAGCTTTCAAAGGCAATGGGTTAGAACTTGTCAAATGTTGTTGTTTGTACGATACCTACTCTGTTCAATTATGTAGCGCGAAGAGCAACTTTTATTCCTTAAATTCTGTACAGTACTAGGCCATAAGTCTAGGCACATGGATCTATCACTGCTTGACTTCAATCTTGCTTGCTCGACATCACTGTGAGGAGCAGTGTAGCTAGTAAGCAGCCAATTAGTCAAGAGGAAGTCTAATTTGCTGAAACTTGACATCGCACCTAGATTTTTGAAATTCCATGGGGGCACCCTAAGTAGTGGTAAACACGTGTGCACAGACTTATGACCTGTCACTGTAACAGTATATTGATGTCGGGTTTCAGTGAGTAGACGCAATGTGAAAGATAGGCTTCATAAGGAGCACTTCGAGAGCCGATGGAAGAGATCGTAAACACTTCATCTAAGATGTAACATTGTCTCTAGCAAAAAAGCACAAGCTTGTAATACATTTCCACGCTATGCATCGCTCGATCTACCCATTCATTGGCGTTCCGACGTACACCTTTCCATCATTACACACCATATGCCTTTTCAGAGTCCTTCCCCAACTCCCCTCCCTCTCTCCATGACCTCCGCCCGAAGTCTCTCCACAACAGCTCGCCCCAACCATCTTAGTTTCCCCCCACTGCTCTGCGCCCGCTCCGCCCACTCAAACAGCACTCTCAGATCCCACAGATCATCCCGTCTCCAACTCCCCGCCTGCTTGCGTAGAACTAACCGCTCATCAACTACCGTCCCGCTCATCTCTGTATGCACGCTACTAAACGCATCAAGCGGAATAATCAACCCTACATCCGGCTTCTCAAACTCCCGCAGCGCCGGCAGCGCAAACAGCCAATCCCACATGACCCGCTGCGTGCGCGCAGCCTGGGCGTCATTGAGCGCGACGAGGGTAGCGCTGAAGGTAGAGCCGTGCATATCGTGCGCTGAGCGCTTCCGAACCCGCATCGTCTGGTTGTGCTTGAACGCCGCGAGATGGATGGGGTTGTTTGCGAAGTCAAGCGTCGCGGGCCAGTATTCTGTACTGGTAGTGCGAATGCTAGAGATGATGTCGAGCTCGGGGAGAAGAGCTGGGGCGACGAGGGATTTCTCAGCTCCGTCTTTCAGAGTCACGATGATGGGCGTCGAAATCGCGCGGTGGGTGTCGACGTCGCGGATTACGGCGCAGCGAGGCTCGGCGGCCAGGACCCAGAAGTGGCGGAAGGCTTGGAGGTGGGCTTTGTTGTCTAGGACATCCATTGGGAAGAGAGGGTAGAATGAGCACATCAGGGATGCGATAGATAGATTAGAGGTGCTGAAGGTGTGGGTGCCGCCTGCGAGGAAGAGAGCACCGAACGCCATATGGCCGGCAAGATGGGAGCCGAAAGGTGTATCGGGGCCTACACGGCCGTGGAGTGCTCGCAGTCTGCGGAAGACGTTCAGGTCTCCGGTTCCAGCCATGACAGTAGTGACAGCGAGAGCTACCAGATCTTGACAGTTCCGCACTGTGTGTCTTGTGAGTTTGGCATCGTATCGTACGGCGGGCAAGCGGCATATGCGCATGAACTGATCGAGATATTTAATCAGGAAATCTCGGACCTGAGTGTCACCACTACCAGCATACTTAAAACTAATGCTCCATAAGAGACCAGCAATAATGTTGAAGAAAGGCATGTGGTCGCTGCGGAGCGCCTTAATCTCCTTCAGCTGATGATCGTGTTGATATTCCTGAGGCAGATTTCTGATTATCCACCGATGTTCTGCTTTGATCTTATCCCAAAGGATGAGATGTTTGGCTAAAGTCCTGAGGAGGAAAATATCGGGTCGAACGTAATCGAATTGAGGAAGTGTGTCCGGAATGTCGACTTTGCGGGCGACAGATTCATCATGCGTCTTCATGAAGATGAGAGCTATTGCAATCACAGCGCCGGCTGTTGCTTGGTCCAGTATATGGACGATATCGACAGGTTTCGGTCCCACGGCAACGGCTAACAGCCGGTCGACCAGTCGCAGATCATGAAGACCTCTAAGATCTCTTCCTTTGCCTAAGTTGATATATCCTAGGGCAAAACCAGCTGCTAATCTGTACCCTTCATCGCGAAGAGTATCCGGCGGTTCTGACGGGTCCACATGGTCGACGTGCTCAATCTCAGACAACATGATCTCACTCATACGCCGATGTTGAGTGTTGTAATATAGCAGCCCTATACCCATCAAGCCAGTGGTCTGCGTGTACGGAGAAAGATTAAGCTCGGCGGCGCCGGGAGGCAACATTCGAGTAACGTGAACAGAGAGCAGGCGCGTTACCAAAGTGTCCATGGTTCCTAGATAGGATGCCGATAAACCAAGAAGGAGACCAATTGATGTCATGGTGTGCTTCGGGGTCAAATACTTGAATGACAGCCATTTGGCGATCGTTTTCAAATGACCATTGAGACCTAGTCCTAATAAGAGCCCGGCGTGTTTGTTTGAGAGCTCCGCGGGCTTGTTGTACATGATCCAAGAAGTATCAATGCCTTGAGCATCGCGAGAAATGCTTACACCTCCAGAGACGCCTGCATGGAAGAAGGCCCAGCCGAATTTGTCTTCGGAATAGTTTGTTCTATCCGCTGTTACCACGTTGCCCATTGGTTTCATCAAGCATGATGTCGTAAAGCCGTAGAGATTGAACTTCTCGGTTAGAAGAGGCTTCTTGTTGCCGAACTTGATCATACCGCCACCCGTAGGCAGAGAGAACGTGCGGACCATGACCCATTGCATAAGGTTCTTCTGTGCTTCTAGGATCGCTGTCTCATCCGAACGGCTATCTGGTGTACACTCCGCAACTGCCTGTCTAAGCGGCTCGAGCAGCATTAGCGCTTCCATGAAACGTCGATCTTCGTTGAATATAAGCCTTGTTATAAGACCTCTCTCCATTTCAGCCGAGGATCGAAGAAGAGACTCGGGCTGCTCGGCCATTTGACAAATTGTATGAACATCTCGTAATCCAGAGGGACTTGGGTGAGCATTGCTGGATACAGTGACCTGCGGAGTGTCGATTGACTCGGATAAGGTGGCACGTATATCGAGGTCTTCTCGCTGAACCAGTTTTAGGAGATCGGACGTCCACGTGGTTGGCGGATTTGCTCTACATCTAACGATAGCTTCCCGCAGTGGCGCCTTAGCAGCTTCTGGGAGCGTATCCAGCATTCTTGCAGTTATGCCCGATCTCGCTATCAACTCAATAGAGGCTGCGGGTGATTTGGGGCTGTCCCGCACACTTCGTAGATATTTGCCCAGAGCTATTGTTCGAGGTGTGATTTCCGATATACGGTGCTCGATATCCTGAGTTCCGTACGGAGATTGCGTTGGCTTATTGATGAGCAAACTAAGTGTCGGGAATGGTGGACAAATATCCGGACGGACAGCTTTTTCTAGCCATTCGTATATTGATGGCGGTGCGTCCCAGGGTTGCGAGAAGGTCTCGACGTTCATGCTTGCTAGTCAAGTCAGTTTCAATTCTTGCTTATGTGGGTAGTGGGTATGGTTCACTGCCATAACCGCGTCTTCTATGCACCCGCAATATGACTTGAGACAGTTTTTTTTTACTTACAGTCTTCGAAAATCCACTCCGCTACCCCAGCTCCATCCAGGTCGTAGTAGGTGCCTCTTTTCCAGCTCCAAAGCTCCCACCGCAACCAGTGCCCAAGCTGAGCAAGAACTGGGGCAAGATTGCCAACATCGGTCGTAATTTGATCTATGCACAAAACATCGAGCTTTTGCTCTTCTCGCAACAGATGCAGTGCTACGAGTATTTGAGGGAGGTAGGTGCATCGGACGTCTGAACTTCCGGCAGCTGAGAGCCGCCTCCATTGATCATTTGCAGCGATTCCGATTGGTGACTGGTTGAATTGGCGAGCAAGCTTGACGCAGTCGGCGATAAAGTCTCTTCTACCCTGTAGTTGCTGAGAGATGGTTGCGAATCCGTGTGAGGGTCTGTTTCTCGGGTTCTTCGACGAGGTGGACTTAGATTCTTGAACCCAAGACCATGGAGAAGTATGCCAGCTCTTTGAAACAGGCCTAGCAGCTTCGTGGCTCCACATTAAGTCCCAGGCGGAGGTAGAGTCGGTCGATCTGCTCGCGGAGGAAGAATGGCGCAATTTGTGGGAACGCTGTGAATCTTTCGGGGATTCTGTCAAGCTAATCGAACTGTCTTCGATGAACGGAACTGCAAGTGTGAACAAAGTAACGACCAAAGCTGTCCATTCCACGTTTGAAGTCTGATCTTTCGGTAATCCTCTGCAGACACTCCACCATATGCCAAGCAGGAAGTCACCCACATGGTTCGGGAGGACGGCCAAGCACATTTCGAAAACCTTTGACACTAGTTCGATCCTTGGAGCGAGTTGCAACTGGAAACGGTGTCTACACCAGTCTCCATCCAAAATGTCAAAAGATCCATTGAAAGTAGATACTGTTAATCTTTGAAGCGTTTTTGGGACACTTAAAGTCCTCTTCAACCCCGCAGATTTCCTGAAGGACGAGGAACTGCTAACGATTTCGAAAGGATTGAAAAGCTTAAGAGGGCCGATTGCAAGCTTCGTAGGGAGCTGTCCGCCCCAGCCAGCTTCGAGTGAGAGAGACATCTCGCCAGATTCATCCTGTACTAGAGTAATTACTCGTTCAGTGCCACCATCAATTACTTTTGTGGCGTCGATGCAGGATTTTAGCCATCGCGTCTTTTGAAGTACCGGTACACACATATAGCGAGGTCCGGAGGTTTTACCATTTTGTGTAGTTGTCGAACTAGTCGTCGGTAGGCGTTTTCGTGAGACAGATAATTCGCATTCGAGATGGCTCTGCGACAGGCCATGCATGATGTGAATATGGAGCTTGCGCTCGTGAAGCGCCGTAGGATTTATGGGAGCCGACATCGTGAATATCTTCAATGAATCCTGTAAAGTGGTATTTTAGTCTTTGGCACTGCCATGTATCTTCACCAACAAGGGCAAGAAGTGGATCTTACCTTGAATTGACCGTCACTGCCGTGTATAGAGGTGTTATGTTTAGCCAGTTCACTAACCGGGATTTCGCCTACTTTGCTCATAACCATCTCTTTTCTTAGCCCATTCATTGGTTCTTGCTCGTAGAGACCCCCGTATGTCCCACCGGAAAATAAGTCTTCAAGTTCGTCATAATCTTCGAGCGTGTCGTAGCTGTCTTCGTCCATAATATCCTCAAGTGTATCATCTACGGACATGCCACCGAGGCTCATTCTGGAAACGCTTCCTGGAGTTGACGCTCTGTGTCTCGTTTGCGAAGCACCGAAACTGGCCCTCTCGTTGTAGCTTCCCATGGATTGTCCCCTGCGAGAGCCTGCTCCGAAACTTGTTCCTAAGCTTGTGCGTTGGGTCGCTAGACCTTGGAACGCTGACTTGTCGAAACTAGTAGAGAGCTCAGCTCTTGAGAGAAGGGAGCTGACACGCCGAGACTCCTTCGGTTGCCGTGATATCTCGAAATCAGGGTCGAGTTGAGAAGCGAGGGCATCTTCTGCATTCTGATCTGAAGATTTCTTATCTTGGCTTCCGCGCCCGTTGAACGATGCAGGGACTGTTTTGCTCCTATTGACTCCACCAAAGCTTTCTCTCACGTTATTGCCCCCTCTGAGAGCAGGCGTGGTGGTCCCGGTTCCAGCAGCAGTAGGCCCATAAGAGCTTCGACGTCTGAGCTTGTGACTGTGCAATGTTGGATTGTGGCGTCTTGCAGAAGAGATCAATTTGGGTTCGATGTATGAAGTTGTCCATATGGTGAAACCACTCGTCTGATTGTTCGTAGTGACGACCAAGATCAGTGGCTTATCTTCAGTATCTTTGTCGAAAGTCAACTCGTTCCGCGGAGAGACATAGAGGATCTCTTCTGATTTCTCGATCGGTTCCAACCTGCGAGAACTAGATCCATTGACAGACAGAGACCCACGTGTAACAGGAGTCACAACGTTGACTACCAGGCCTAGCTCAGACAATGGATCTGTAAAGGAAAATATTCGAGGGAGGCCGTTTGTATTTGGGAGGGAAGATCCTTTTATCAAGTCCTCCAAAAATAGGGCATTCGTTGACCCTGCCTTCAGAGTCTTGGATGTCTTCTGCCCAGTTCCCAACGAGGACCCGAGTCTTCGGCCTGGTTGAGAGAACGACTGCGATGAATACAGAAAGGAGTTCTGCGGCGGGCCGGGTATCACTGGTGTAGGGGGAACGATCTCGGCCTGTGGAATCTTTCGTTGCAAAATTAGACCCCGTGGAGCTGGAAATGCCTTCTCAACCTCGAAGGGAAGGTTCACGATATGGGTAGATCCGGAGAGAAAGAAGACATGAGCCTGGGACTTGAGGAATACCACTAGAGCTCTAGAACGTCCCTCTTGGGGTCTTGAATATGAGCTGTCGCTATTTGGATCTGTGGCCGGCTGTGTTCCTTGAGCAAGGGAGGCTCTCAGTTTCTCACCCGACCCAGACTCCAGCCCATCCTGAGTCTCTGAATCCGTAGCAGGAGCTTCATCGGAAGGGAACCAGGTCAACACGGCCTGGACGACCTTCTCCTCTTCAATTTCAAAATTGAAGACCTTCTGGACCACTCCGCCGCGAGACCACACTACACAGTAGTCGGTTGTCACCACTTCATCTTCAAAGGTTTGTCCCGACTCTTCGCTGCCGTATGTCTCCCATGTATATTCTTTTTCGGTGGTGTCTTCGGAGAGGATAGATTCGGCGGCTAGATATGCGAGCGCGGAGGGCTTGTGGACGCCCAGCGACCGTAGCGATGCCATGAATTCGTTGGTCGTGACATGGAGAGGAGGACAGCGGAAGAGTCTGGCTTCTAAGGCGTGCCGTGAATTGATCTGGGGCCCTCTGTTGAGAATCTCGCGATTCGAGGCGTGTCGACGCGATGATTGGTCGCCATTACGAAGTAAACCTCCGCGCTTTCACCACCGCTTGAGGTCTACAACACCACCCACACACCGCGCCCTCCGCGACCACCACAACGACAAGCCCGAGAGTCGCGCAGGCGAGATGAAATTCCAGGTGTCAAACTTTGGCCGAGCTACTCAACTGAGGTTTGTTCCTCTCATCTCAACTTCTAAAGCCTTCAAAAATGTGCATGCTAACAGCTCTCCGCACAGCTACGAGCTCCCCCACCGCATCCACGACGCCAAAATATATCCCGTCAAAGCACCCAATGGCTCGACAGTAATAATCTACGCCCATGAAAATGGGGTTCGAATCATATGGAGGGGTGGACGACCTTTGAAACAGATTGCGCCGCCGAAAGAGCAGCCAAAGCCTGCAAAGGTCAATGGCACGGGCAAAGATGTTATTATGATTGAGTCAGACGAAGACGAACCACCCCAAAAAGCAGCAAGCCAAGCTCTACCCACCGAAACAGAGTTTGAGGAGGAGGAAGAAGAGCTCGACCCGGAAGCGCCATATCCAACCTTCATCCAACAGATTGACCTAGCGCTGAACGTCGAAGTCCTTCATATCGCTGTTCCCAAAATCCCTGCAGTCACTCCTATACGCCCGGCCGACTCAATGCCCTTGATCTTCAGCGATAAGATTGTCTTTGCAGTTGCCTGCGTCGACTACGATGTCCGCATCATCACCCTGCCTCTAAGTCCCCCCTCACACGCGACAAAAACAAGTCCCACTACCAAGAACAAGTCGAAATGGGGGGAACAAATTATAGATATCAAGAATGGCCACCAGAGTATACCAACTGGAATCTCAATGACTTGGACCTCGACATCACAGAAGGACCTGGTGGATGACTGGGTAGAGGATATGGATATGGACGACAATGACGAAGAGGAGTCTACTCCGCGAGTCCGGCCATCTCGGCGCCGCTCTCGCACACGGAGTGGGTCCAGAGCGGGTGACGATACAGAGAAGTGGAGTTTATTAATTGCGTCTCATTCCGTAGAACGTGGTGGAATTCTTCGCATATGGCGATTTCCTGTCGCTCCAGGTGGAATAGTCGTCAAACCGCCCGTCATGCCCTATCGGACTGAGTATCTAACCTCACCGGCTGAGCGAATAGCTTTCAGTTCCGCGCAGTATCCTAAGAGGCGGCATTCTCAACTCCTGGTGGTGGATCCCACAGGTACCGTCAGAGTCTACGATCCACTCGCTCTATCACAAAAGCGGTCCCGATCTTCTCGTCAAGAAGATACAGAGACTGGTGCCTGGCTGGCATCATTCAGTACCACTTTTGAAGTGCCCAAAAACTACTCGCCTACAGTACCTGGCCTAGCGCATCGTAAGCGTATTTTGGACGCTTCTTGGGCTTCTGATGGACGCAGCATTGTTGCGCTTTTGGCTGATGGCGAATGGGGAATATGGGATTTTGATAAATCAGGCCCTAAACCTCCAGCCGACCCTTCCACGTTTTCTCTCCGTGGTTTCATTGGCACTTCATCCGCTCATTCGGCCACCTCTTCCAGCCTCAAGTCCCGCAACACCCGTTCTAGTCTGGCACCTATGACGCCCAACACACGCCGAACAAAAGAAGAAAGCCTTTTCCAAGGCTCCACATCCAGCCAGCCCAGTGTCTTACGCGGTGGGATTACAATCGAAGCCCTTCACTCCACTACTGGAGGTGCGCCGGAAGAATCGGTCATCATGTGGTACGGTCTTGATACCTATCGGATACCCAATTTTGGTCAATTCTGGTCGCGGAGTGCTGCGGGAGGTGGCGGCTCACTCTTTGGGCCGGGGCTCGCGAAAGTCCAGGGCCTCAACCTACTCGGCGAAGCTGTTACTACCATTCAGCAATTCGATACCACGACTACAGCCGCGCGAATGGCTATCCCACGTGATATTCTGGTTGTGGCAGAGCATAGGTTAATCATTCAAACCAGCACGACGGCACCAACAGGGGCGCTTGGATCTATCTTCTCAGATAGGGAGCGGGACGAATACGAGCTCACACTAAAGAGCGATCAATCGAAGCTGTCAAGTCGTGAACTTGATGTTGGAGGAATGGATCGACTGTTGGATAGCATGGAATTCGAGCAACCCCGGGGTACCGGTGGTAGTCTCGTGCTAGGGAACCCGAGGAAGGTTCTTTTCGCCTCCTGAAAGCCGATTACGGCCCTATTACTCGTACAGGAATGGAATGATTGGGAGCATGGTTGATTTGGCTGGGTACGTCTCAATGCTAGAGCTTCCACCCCTACCTTGACACTAACAAACCCCATAGCGTAGGATACCCTTAGGCGTCTTGACATGACACAGGTTAAAAGTTCTTCAAGTAGGAAAAACTGAACTCCTAATGGCTAAACCTAGGTTGCGTATTATTAGTGATATCCTTCCGCTCGACCTTCTTGGTGAAGTCTGCCCATTCACCTATCTTGCTGTACTTCAAGGCGAGCCTCAATCCCGCCCGATTCAGCCTTTCATTTCCTCAAGTCTAACTCTCCTCCTCATCTCCTATCCCACTTATCCTCCAAAATTCGTTCGCGGTGTCAGGTGGAGCTCAGGGCGAGTTCCTTCCCTGTTGCTCAGTATACACTTCGCGATATATCAAACCCCCATACGTTCTGGACGGTCTGTAGTTGGTCGGAAGGCTGACTAGGACCAAGCATGTTCGGAGCCTCCGTAGTAGACCGCAAGGTCGAACCGGCGGTAGTGTGGACTCTTATACCGGGCCCTTGATCCCCGCAATTGCCGGGAGAGAGGGACTCCTGGCGACTCGAGCGGCTATGGCTGTGAGGACGGTAGCTAGGGCGTCTGCGTCGGCGCGCTTCTTTGACCGGACCTTCGGGAAAAGGCGGGCAGTGTGTGTGATGTGGGTGTGGGCTGGTGCGGAGGGACATCTTTTTAATTGTTGTTATGCGTGATGTGATCGGTCACAATTTTTTTTTTGTACAATCCATATCATTTAATTCCAGGTTTTGCTTTTCCTTAGCAGATAATTGATCCAAAATTTCATCGTGATTAGCCCTACATCTTGTCCGAAATTTAAAGCTCGAGTTGAAGGACTCCAGACAGTGGCAGAACAGTCTACGCAGGCATGACCATGGGGTGTCGGTTCCTCAATAATTTCGAAAAGGGCCAACGGGCAGGTCGAATACTGTCCCTTCAAACAGCCTCGTCATAAATCTGTGTACACTCGTTCACCACCGTCTGGAGTGCTTCGAAACCTTTTCGGAATCTAGATCAAACACAAAATTTTCATTTTGACCAGCATGATACCTCTCCATGCCACCTCAGACGGCGCGGTTTACTACTGAAAAAAGTTTGAATAGCTGTTGCGGCAACTCACCGCTACTCACTTGCAGGTCACCCAACTCCACTATCATCACGCTCCTCACTTCCACCTTAACGTCTCAACCTATCTACGGATCTTACCTTGACACCTAGAGTTCAACTTCTACCTACGCCTCATATTTTTCTTCAAATCAAAGGCTTCAAACTTTGATCTTTGGTTCCAATCGTAATGAATTTCGCCTAAAACGGTCAGAAAAGGGCAGAGCGTGCCAATTTTGAGTACAAAGGGAGATGTTGGTGATCCAATATTCGTCTATTGAGCTTATCTTAGTTGCTACACTGCTAGTTAACGCCCCCATAGCGTCATATAGAGTTGCGATGCAATGTTCGAACGACTTGGTTATGCCTTTCATTGGTTCTACCGCAGCAGATAGAGACGTGATCGATAGGGACCCGGGGGACTTCGACTCATGCGGAGGCAAGTCAGGAATAACAGAAGATTCTGTCGTCGACGATTCACCATCACAATGCGAGGACTCCCCAGCAGCGTCAAAGAAGGGTACTTCGCCATATGCTCAAGGTGAAGTTCTAGTGGCGGCTAATCTCCATCTCAAATCTAACGTTGTTCCTCAGCTGTAAGGGCACGGAAGATACCCCACTCCGCAAATGAGGCCAGCACCCAAGACCTCCTAATACTCAAGATGATGGACGCGGGGGAACCTTGGCCCAAGATCCACGCAGCATTCGAGAATCTTACTCACCACAAACCAAGCAGTGCTGCACTACAGAAGCGCTACAAGCGCATGAAGACGAACTTCGGCCAAGCAAGCTCCAAATTGCATGGCGTAGTTGAACCGAACGCCAATCCAGGAAAGGGCTCAAAGGGCCCCACAGCAAACTCAACACACTCTACACGAGATGTAATTTCCGTCGAGGTGGAACTCGAGTCGGAGAATACAGCAGTCGGTCCGACCAGTGAGGTCCCGAAAGGCGCGCTCGACTTTGCATCCTTAGCGCAAAGGTTCAATTGCTACGATGAGGAATCGCTTCACAGCATCATACTGATCCCAAACTTCCTCAATCCTTGGGCTGAATTTCGAGACATTTTTCTCCTTGCCACAAGCCCTTGTGGACCCCCTTACCGAGTTACCGAAGAGCTAGAGCGCACTACATTCGGATATATTAAGGACGTCGGAGCTACGCCTTATGATTGGCCCGACGAGGATGAAGTCAAGCATTGGGGCCCTCTCGAACACTACGGCTGCGTCATTTACAAGATTTGTAAGACCTTTGCGACCAAATTGGGCCCACTGCATAACGCCTTCCGGGGAAAGAATGGACTTGAAGCTGTACAGAACGTGGCTGCGCTCGTGCATTGCGTGGAAAGAGAGTACTACGAAGCGTTCCAATCCAAGCCTTCTGACCTTGTTCGTGGCATTGAAGAGCGAAAGCCTACCAAGATTCCACATCTATCGCCTATTCCGTATGTGAGAGCTCTCGAACGACTTGGCGGCAATACCACGGAAAATGCCCGCCATTACACCTTGATGACTACGGAGAGGTGGCTCAATAAGTCAACAAAGAAAGAACTTCTGCGTTTCATCACGGATGAGGAGACGCTGCTGGAAGAGATACCGATCAAAGACTTGAAGCAATTCGCCCTGAAAGTGCTCATACGCACGGTGGAGGAGACCAACGATAGGGCGGTACTCTATGACCTTATTGAAGGTAATCCCACAGAAGTGGAAGAAATGAAGGAACTTGCCTTGAGGACGCTTCCGGGAAGACTAGCGAGTGTGCCGGATAAGACCAAGTTAGAAGCTTTCATCAAGGAGCATAACTTGGAGGATGAAGACGACGGTGCTGGGATGCCAGTCATATCTCTGTAGACTCCGACGCCAAAATGCGGAGGCAATGTCAAATCTTATGGAAGTGGATTGAAGGGCAGACTGGAGACGGTTATTTTGGGGTTCATATTGGAAGCGCTCTAGGCAGAGTGTGCTCAAGTAACACGGCCGTCTAAGTCACTCCAGCCTAGTGCGTGGTTCTGCTGGTAAAAATTGGGACTGGGGTTGACTCGAGGTGGCTTTTGGGGATGACTGATGTTTCTGCTTCACTTCACTTCACTTCCCATTCATCTGAGCTCTACTAGAGTAGTCCACTACTCCTACATCCGTGATCTTTTATCTCTTAGTCTAGTACTCTTATTCTACTCAGCTCATGGGCGCATGACCATCTCATCTGACTGTGAGACTTTCTTCAAACTTACAGCTCGATTCCATTCTTTCCCTTTACCCACAAGCTCGGCCATCTCTCCCATCCCTTTCACGTTCACCATCAGTCGACTCTTGTCTCGAGCTTGTGTTTATCCAAAGCACGAGTCTTCACAGTCCCCAGATATGTCAGCCAAACTGGCGCCCGCGGAGTTCGGGTTCAAGACGGATGCAGAACTCGAAAAAATGCTCCTGTCCAGGAGCATTCTTCTGCCTTGGGTCCAATTTCGGGATCAGAACCACCAATCGCTTCGATCCCCCACAAGTCCCAGGCTCCAAACTATCATCGACAATGCAAGCCCTCAGCATTCCCTGATCATGGCGGCCTTGCAAATAACTGCTGCGTCAATCTATGACTGGCCCGAGGAGAGTGAACTTGCCAAGTGGACTATCGAGACCCACTTCGAATGTGTGGTTTACAAAATCTGCAAGAGACTTGCTCGGCCCAATGAACCCTTCCAAAAGGCTTTCTTCGGTGCGTGGCCGCGTCGCGACACGAAGGCATATGACATGAGAGTCGGGAAAGTTGTGTCGGTCATGAGATTGGTCGTGTGGTTGATCCAGTGCTACATCGCCTCGTACAATCATAGGGAACCTTTTCAGCTTGTTCGACAGATCGAACATCTCTATCCATCTGCCAACTTGGAGAACTCCCCTATTTTCTGGATCCGGCGCCAGGCGGAACTTGGAAAGGCCAGCCGAAAGGACTTGCTCGTCATTGTTGCCCAACTACTGTCTGAGGTAGCCACTAAACCAGAGCTCATCGACTCCATTATGAAGTTGGAAGCAACCAAACAGACTCAACCACGCCCGACGGTCGATCTCACGACGATAAAGAAGGATCCGAAGACTTAGCATGCTCTCGCGGCTCCCCGTGTCCTACGAACAAGAGTCCTTGGATGCGGCTTTGAAAGAACAACGTCAGTGGCACAGCAAATTGGACCCAAAGCCATTTCGACCACCTACTTCATGTCAACCTTTCAGCATTTCCCCCTCAATCACCCGAATTCCAATACCCCAAAACTCTACATAATTCTAACTCATCATCTGCAACATCCCCGATACCAAATGTCTCCCCAGCAACACGGAAGAGAGTATCACAGCATACGGAGAGGTATAGCCCATTTCCTACAGTTTGATATTCGATCATCTATCTGAACATCCACGAATTTTCTGTTATACTGGTCTAGTTCCATACACATCTCTTCAGTCCTCAAAAGTACACCATTAACTCCCATACTTTGATTCCACTTCCATCCTTCCCTTTCCCAAGAGACTGTCCATTTTTTCACGATCTTTTCAATTCAGCATCTACGGACCTAGCCCTAAAAGCATGATCTACCCATTCTCTCTCATCGGCCAAAGCAAAGCCCCTTTGCAAATCCCTCGCAGCACGGCGAAATTCAAATTGGTACAAATGTCCCCCAATCAGCCTTCTACATCTCCGAACCCTTCACTCTCCACCCTTCTACGTCCAAAAGGCGATACCAAGATAGCTGAAATCCAATGAAACTTCTGCAAACCCTTGAATTCCCTTGCTACGCGGTGATGCTTCCAAATCCATCGTGTTCAATTCCGGCAACTAAGTCTCACCCCTGGTACCCATTGTCTAAACTATGCGTATCCTGCCTAAGCTGCTCGCTCAATTATGGACGGTCTTGCTCAACTCTTGAGCGCGGCCTAGCCTTACCCACGATAACCCCCTCGTGCTATCAGGAAACGGCGCAAAGACCCAATCTGAGTTCTCGCAACGTCGAAGTCATCGTAGGCTAGCCCGGACATGATCCACTTTTTGAAAAAGCCTCTGCGCTGACTTCAGAGTCGTATCACGACACTGGGAATACCGCGGCGGCTGATGCGAAGAAGGATGCGACTGTGGGATGGGGATACTGGGTGGTAGAAGAAAGCAGACACTGCGGAGCAGCTCGGGGAAAGGTTGTCAAAGTTTGCAAGGTTTCGGGAAAGGATTATGTGCACGCGACATTGAGAGAAGGGCGGGGGAGGCGAGGGCCTAGAGGGAGGTATGATTACTGGTCAAGGTGAACTTTCTCTTGCGTCTTCGTGGTCGGTTATGAGCACCGGAAAATTTGCCTAGTTTCTGAGTTCGAGAGAGTGACAACTAGTCCAAAAATTTTGAGTATGCTGGAGCGCCTCAAACAGTGGCATTTAGTAGGGGTTGCAAAGGCTTTGTCGTTGTCGTAACTCTTGCGGCCATGCCTCTTACATACTGCCTAACTTCTTGAAAAACATGTCGAGTACTCGAGCTCGAGGCACCTTGAACGCTGTCCAAGAAATGGAATTTTAAAATGTTGAAAGCCAGTATACCGCCTACAGTACGGGGCCTTGCATTCTACCTTGAACTTTGAAACTATAGCGAAGAGCTCGGACAGCGGCAGGCACTTGGATATGAGAGTTAGAAGACGCGCTAGATGAGAGCTGCATTGCTGGGTGATTGGTTCCCACTACTACTCGGCCGGTGCAGTCTTGTGTCTATGCTAGCGGCCAATTCAGAGGCTGACTCTCTTATTCTGAGGATGGCAGTTGCTGGAAGGCAGTGTCCGGGGGAATGAGGTCTTCTATGAAGTGTTACGCCACGGGCACTCAGTACACTGCGATATACAATGTAAGAGACGAGGATGGGTGCTGATGGCCGGTTTTCTGGCGTCTGAGCAAGCATTTCGCGAACTATCAGAGCGAACAATGGCAACGCAGACTTTGCCCTCCATAGTTGTTCTGTAGCGAGGAAGTCGTAAATGTGGTCGAGATCTTGATAGTACCAATTGGTGAAGACATCAGAAATCGGATGGCATAAGACCAAGAATATTTCCAGGAACACGCATCCGAGAGAAAAGACGTCGGATTTGGAGTTTCTCTTGCCCCAATCTGCAGCTTCTGGGGAGCAGTATTTTCGAGTAAAGCCTTGTGGATTGCCGCTCGTTGTGCTATTTCCGACCAAAGTTGAGTCATAAGACAGTCCAAAATCAGTGTAGATAGCCGAGCCCATGTGGATGAGAATGTTTTGGGGTTTTATGTCCTTGTGCCTAATGGTGTGCTGGTGTATGAAAGAAAGGCCATCCACCAGACAGCCAAATAATGAGTAAAGTGTCCAAAATCTTGGAAACCCTAAAGCAGTCTTGGAGTGGTTCAAATCCCGACACTCTGCAAGAAAGGCGGCCAGGTCTCCGCTATCGGCTCCTGGCTGTAGGATCAACCCAAGCTCTCGGCCTGCCGTATAGGTCGCAAAAACACGAATGATGTGGCGATGTGACGCTAGACGTTGGATGATCTGCACTTCGTTCTGGTAACCTTTCTTCACCTCCTCGAGATTCCGCGTTGTGACGTTTCGAAACACTTTCCGAGCGTATACGGATCCCGAGATAATATCTTCAACCATTTCAACGGATGCGCTTGCTCCAACGCCCAGGTTCTTCACCGGTTTGTATGGCAGGACTTCCTTGTCAAGAATATCATGATGCTCTCCTTCTTGAATGCGAACCTTGTTCACCACTTCGTTGCCATCCACTCCAACTAGTTCCCAATCATCAGAGTCGGACGCCATATCGTTCTCTCACACCAATCGCAATTTCCGATGAAGCTGGCGTTCAAGGTCTCCACGGCACCGCAACAATATATTCCTCGCTGGCCTCCTTTCTCTTTTCTAGGGGTAAAGGTATCAGAATTCGAACGAGAATGGCGTTGAAGGTTTCAATGAGGCGGCTCTGGATAAGGCCAGCCAGTACACTCCCGGTGGAAAGCATGTAGACTTAAAGCTTACCTTCGTCGCCTCCGAACACTGATTTTTGTGGGCTGGGCAAGCTATGAGGACGAAACATGTGCTATATCTGTAGAATCTGAAGCGTGCCTGAGAAATGTGAACGAGAAGAGGTGAGTGTGCTGGCAGTCGGAAGGTTGAATGCGAAGCGCCAGGCTGAGGCTAATGCTGAACATATTGGACATGGCGTGCATTGCCGCATCTTGTCTAGAGCGCCCAAGTCATTGAAAAGAGCATTGACTAGTGCAAGAAAAGATGGTCTGGAAAGCCACGATGATAGATAAGTGACATTTGACTTGTTTTATTGTAAGATCGGTACTTTCTACGGTTGCCTAGCATCCTGATATCTGCGTTTGAACAGGGCCTTGGGCCATAGCCCATCAAGTTTACTTGTAGGGTAAATAGGGGATCATAGTCTCTGTGGTGCTACGATTGTCTTTCTGATATATCTAGGTGTTGTGATGTCGTCCGGGAAGCTATGGTGAACAAGACGAGATGAGACCTCGGGACAAGCTTGGTGCTTATCGATAACGCACCTGACTAGTTCACTAAAAACAAGGTGTGGTGTCAATGGCGACCAGTAAAAAGCAATCCTAAGCAATACGTCGCAACAAATACCTATAATATCCCCTACATATCCCCTTTGACCCTGTTACGTAGCATCCTGGACGCATATAATCCTCTCTACAACACCGCCGTGTTTCTACTTCGGTAGCAGTAGCCAACCTACCAATGTCACCCCCAATATCTATCAGCGAAGCAAAGACCTCGTACCCCATCTTCGCGGCAACATTCGCCCACAACCACGCTGGGTATCTCGTAGTAGGTGGTGGCGGGGGCCCTGGTAAACATTTCTCTACTCGCTCAAGCTTCATGTCTCGAGCTGACAGCTTTTGAACAGGGCGCAGTGGAGTCGGAAACAAGATCACTGCCTTTGATGTGAGCTCGCGGGCTCCAAAACTCGAACCCTCCGCCGAACTAGAACTCTCTCGTGATGAAGACTCGGTTACCTGTCTGGCCAATTTGGCCACCAAAGACGGCTTGGTCCTCTACGCCGGCCTCAACTCCTCCCCCGCCGACCGCGACGCGAACAAGAACGAACACTTCCGGTCCTTTGAGTTGGAATACCCAAAGAAAAAGCAGGCTAGGAAGAACGAGAAGGTTACATCTCAATTGTCTGAGGCGAAGATATCTTTTCTCAGCAAGACGAGTCTGCTCAAGTCACCGGAGTCGGTACCTGCAAAGAAGGATGGCTACCAACGATTGCTGCGCCTATCTCGCCCAAAGCGAAGTGCGAATGGAAGCAAACGAATAGGCGCAATTGCATCAAGTCTTGCTGGACAAGAAAATGAGATCGTGGTCTTCAATGCCACAACGTCATCGCCGAAAGCACCAGGCGACATAATACAGCGTATCTCGCCGCATCACGGAGAGGAAGCGAATGATCTTGACATCTTGGAACCCGAGGATGGAGAATTCAAATTGGTGTATTGCACGGACTATTCTGTGTACACAGCGGACATCTCATATGACTTTTCTAAGAAGAAATCGCGAGAGAAGCTCGAGCCGCCCCGGTCCAAATACTCAGTACCTTTCCCTGACGTCTTCGAGAAGAAGGGCAGAAACAAGATTCGTTGTGTACGATGGCTTTCTCCGTCACACGTTCTACTCCTATCGAATTCTCCAAACCGCACCGGAGCAGAGCTTCAGATTCTGAGGCTCTATGGAGACACGATGGGAAGCATCACATACCGCAAAACTCTTCCCCGGCACATAAAACAAGCTACGGACCTGGACGTGTGCGTTTTGGATGCTGACGAAAATGGAGCCTACCAAATAGTTATAGGTGTGGCCGGCGCCGACTGCTCCACCAGCATATTCACTATTGATTACAAGGGCACAGCAAAGAACAGCTTAAGTGGCTTCTGTCATTACAACACTGTCCGCGATGTCCACCCCTTCCAGATCACGAAGGTGGTCTTCTCCCCGTTCTTCTCGCCGTGGACGGCTCCCAATGCCGAGAAGATAAAACAGCTTGGACCGCAATATCTCCGCCTCGCTTCTACTTCTCTAGGGAACACCATCGTGGTCGACACCATGACACTGCAGCCCGCCTCAAATAAGCCGCGATCCCGATTTATCCTCGGGGCTCTTGGATCTCGAGCGAACAAGTTCGCGTCCTATTTGTTAGCGCTGATTGTACTTCTAATCAGCATCATGCTTGCTCAGCCCCTAGTTGACCCCGAAGGTGTCTGGACCCAAGCTCTGGTCCCAGAGAGTATTCGCAATGTGGTCAACAGCTTCAATCCTATAGAGGTGCCCATTGATGATGCTCGGGCTGCGGCACACTCCGCAATACCCGAGGCCGTCCGCGAGCCCATCGCGCGCACGTCGCACCGCCTCCGCGATCTCCTTCACCTCCATCACAGCGACAAACACAAGGAGGAAGGGAAGACGAAAGCGGTGATAGTCCGTGCAGACCCGGAGTCGGACTACATGGTCTCTACTGAGGTCCATGACGGCCCGGAGGCGGTCATCCAGCAACACACAGAGGCGAAGCGCTGGGACGAGCTGAACCATGAAGAGCGAAGCTGGTGGAAGGAGAAGTTGACGAGCGCGGGCGCGTGGACGGTAGAGGAGGGGGAGACTGTGCTGAAGAGCATTTTCTTTGGACAGATAGGTGGCTTTGTGGGGCAGATGGCGCAGGAAGTGCTGAACGGTTGATGGGGGTGTGAGACATTGTGTCTTGATCGGGTGCCGGCCTGGAGGACTGGCGGTGTGGTAGTGTAGCACTGTAACAAATTGTTCTTGTTCGTTTCCTTGGATATGATGTGTCTCTCCTTTGATGTTTGCGCGGCTGTGATATCCGTACATTAAAGGCCCATGATGTACATTTCAATGCTGTTGCTTAAGTGCTTCAATACATGAAAAGTAGCTAGACAGGATGCAAACTATCCCGGCTTGATTCAGGTTCGCCTTTTCTAGTGGACAACCGGTGACTTGAATAGGAACAGACTAAAATAGAAGAAATGCACCTCTGCATCCGATGTAAAACAGATAGAAATCCCGCTGAGATGCAATAATTCGCGCCCTGTGATTGGCCTCCGGTGAGGCGGCGGACCGTGCTCGTGACCCGCGTTGCGTTGCTGAAAGTGAGGTCAAGCGTGGAACCGCGAAACCTCCAACCTCCAGAGCTTGTCTTCACGGCACAGCTATCCTACTTCACCTCTGCCTCTACCCTCTACCACCCTCACCACACTGCTCCAGTCTATGGCTGGCTTCCTTCCTACCTCCCAGCCCGTTCTGCGCTTCCTGTGAAGCAGCAAACATGGCGACCACGCAACCTACGAATGCGGTCCTGGACCGCATCTTTGCTCAGCTGCGGTCGAAGTGCTTACCCTACCCCCTCAAGTGCTATAGAGACTTATATGAACGCAGAAACGACGAAGCCCGCATCAAGGCAGCCCACACGCTACGTCAAACTCTCGAAGCAGCTCATCGGGGTGCGCGAGTCGACCTCCCCACGACGCCCTCATGCACTAATTCGGATTGCAGAATACCCTCCTGGCCAGTTTGTAGCATACTACAATGAAGTCAACCAGCGCATCTCCGCCCTTGTCGTCCAAGGCGAGACCACGAACGACCGCATCGGCGGAATCCACGCCCTCAGCGCCCTCATCGATTTCAAAGGCGACGATGCAGGCCAGAAGACCACACGCTTCGCGAGCTACCTCCGCTCCGTCCTTCGGGGCCTGGACACTACGGCCATGGTGCCAGCTGCGCGAGCTCTTGGACGACTGGCAAAGCCCGGCGGGACGCTCACCGCGGAACTGGTTGAAGCAGAGGTCAATGGTGCTCTGGAATGGCTACAGATGGAGCGACAAGAGAACCGTCGATTTGCCGCAGTGCTGATTCTCCGAGAACTGGCCAAGAACTCTCCGACCCTCATGTACAAATGGGTCCCCCAAATATTCGATGTCATCTGGGCAGCCCTGCGCGACCCCAAGGTGCTCATCCGGGAGTCAGCCGCCGAGGCTATCAGCGCGTGTTTCGAGATCATATCGCCACGAGACTCAAGTATGCGACAAGACTTCTTCGGACGAGTCTATAAGGAAATCCTGGTTGGCTTCTCAATGAATACCAACGACTCAATCCACGGCTCGCTCCTGACGATGAAGGAGTTGCTCGAAAAGGGAGCTATGTTCATGACTGGCCCGCGATACAAAGACGCTTGCGATATGGTGTTAAGATATAAGGACCATCGGGAACCTCTTATTCGGAGGGAGGTTGTCACTATAATACCGATCCTAGCCAGCTACGCACCCCAGGAATTTGCCTCGCAATACCTGCATCAATGTATGCTTCATCTACAAGGCCTGATCAAAAAGGACAGAGATCGGAGCATTGCCTTCATTGCTGTCGGACAGATTGCTAGTGCCATGGGTAGCTCGATTGCGCCATACCTAGATGGTATTCTCATGTACATCCGCGAAGGATTGGTCGCGAAGTCGTAAGTCCAACATATATATCTTCAAGGAAGCTATGCTAACACATTCTGAAGTCGAAGCAAAAACATCAACGAGGCCCCCATCTTTGAGTGTCTTAGCATGATCTCGGCCGCTGTTGGTCAAGCATTAAGCAAGAATGTCGAACCTCTCCTTGACCCAATCTTCTCATGCGGCTTAAGCGACTCTCTTACACAAGCTCTTGTCGACATGGCGCACTACGTTCCTCCTTGTCGGCCCATCATTCAAGAACGATTGCTAGACCTAATCAGCCAGGTTCTCTGCGGACGCGGTTTCTTACCTCTCGGAAATCCATTCCATGCGTCATCACCTCCACAGATCTGGACTCGAGATCACAAGGACCCGCAGATTGTTGTACAGAAGGAGGCTGAGATTGCCCTCGCCTTGCATACTCTCGGAAGCTTTGATTTTGCCGGCCATGTTCTCAATGAATTCGTCCGAGACGTTGCAATCCGCTATGTTGAGGCCGACAACCCCGAAATTCGCAAACGCGCAGCTTTGACTTGCTGTCAACTGTTCGTCAACGATCCTATCGTGCACCAAACAAGTCATCATGCCATCAAGGTCGTGGGCGATATCATCGAAAAGCTCTTGACCGTCGGTGTCGCTGACGTGGACCCTGATATTCGATGGGAGGTATTGATGGCACTGGATAGTCGCTTCGATCGCCACCTTGGGAAGGCCGAAAACGTCCGCACTCTGTTCCTCGCTATCCACGACGAAGTCTTCGCAATTCGAGAAGCCGCGATGACCATCATTGGACGACTCACATCAGTGAATCCTGCATACGTTTTCCCGTCGCTACGAAAAGTACTTCTACAACTACTGACAGAAATTCGATACGCAAATAGTGCTCGCAACAAGGAGGAGAGCGCTCGATTGATCAGCCATCTCGTTGAAGCATCGAACGACCTTATTAGGCCATACGTTGATCCAATGGTCACAACCCTGATGCCTAAAGCCCAAGACTCGAATCCAGAGGTTGCGTCAACATGTTTGAGGGCCATCGGTGATATCGCGACCGTTGGTGGAGAAGACATGCGGCAATACATCCCGTCTTTGATGCGGATAATATTGGATAACCTGCAAGACCTTGGCTCTGACTCCAGGCGGTTTGCTGCGCTGAGAGCTCTTGGGCAACTGGCGACTAACGCCGGATACGTGATTGAGCCCTATTACGACTACCCCGAGCTACTCAACATATTGGTCAACATTGTGCGGACGGAGCCAGAGGGAGAATTGAGGCGTGAAACTGTCAAGTTGATGGGCACACTCGGTGCACTCGATCCCGACGAGCATCAGAAAATCATGGAGCAGTCCCCGGAGAACGCTCTTGTGGCAGAATCCCAAGCCATCACCGATGTTTCGCTCATCATGACCGGAACGACACCCTCTAACGAGGAATATTATCCTACTATCGTGATCAGTACGTTGATCGGACTATTGAAAGACACTTCATTGTCTCAGTATCACTCCGCAGTGGTCGATGCGGTCATGAACATCTACGCTACGATGGGCCTCAAATGTGTGCCGTTCCTCAGCCAGGTTGTGCCCGGATTTCTGATGGTGATTCGAGGAGCACCACCAGGCCGTGTAGAGGGTTACTTCAATCAACTGAGTCAGTTAGTTCGAATTGTCCGACAGCATATCCGACCATACCTTCCCGCCATCCTGAAGACCGTCCAAGACTTTTGGACTGCCTCGCCTATGCTTCAGGCCACCATCCTTTCCCTCATTGAGGCTATAGCCCGTTCTCTCGAGGGCGAGTTCAAGATATATCTTGCAGACGTTCTTCCTCTCATGCTGGGCGTTCTGGACCAGGACAACTCGAACAAGCGTCTGCCGTCGGAAAAGGTTCTGCACGCTTTTTTGATATTCGGGTACAGCGCGGAAGAATACATGCACCTTATCATACCAGTCATCATCAAGATGTTCGACAAACCCGGCCAGCCACAAGAACTGCGACGACAGGCCATCGAAACTTTGGGTCGGTTGTCTAGACAAGTGAACATCTCCGAGTTCGGATCCATCATTATTCTACCCATCTCCAGAGTTCTGGCAGGGAACGATACGTCACTCAAACAGACGGCGCTAGAGACTCTGTGTGCACTTATCTTCCAGCTGGGTCCGGATTACGCTCATTTTGTGCCAACAATCAACAAGATTCTAGTCACTCACAAGATTCCTCACTCCAATTACGCTCTTATCGTTTCCAAGCTCCAGAAAGGAGAGCCCTTGCCGCAAGATCTCAGTCCAGCTGAGCGTTACGGAGATGACGATGAAGACCTGATGGCCGCCGAAATTCAGACAAAGAAATTGGCCGTCAACCAACAACATCTCAAGACTGCCTGGGAGGCTTCTGCGAAGAGTACCCGAGAAGATTGGGTAGAATGGATGAGGCGATTTAGTGTTGAGTTGCTTCGCGAATCGCCTCAGCAGGCACTTCGAGCGTGCACGCCTCTAGCGAGTATTTACAACCCTATTGCCAAGAGTTTGTTCAACTCTGCATTCGTGTCCTGTTGGACCGAACTCTACGACCAATATCAAGAGGAACTAGTGCGATCTATTGAGACTGCACTGACTTCAGACGCCATCCCACCAGAGATCCTCCAGATTCTCCTCAACCTCGCAGAATTCATGGAGCACGATGACAAAGCTCTGCCTATCGATGTCCGAATCCTTGGTATGTATGCTGCTAAGTGCCACGCTTTCGCAAAAGCTTTGCACTACAAGGAACTTGAATTCAACGCCGAACAAAACTCCAGTGCGGTAGAGGCATTGATAAGCATAAATAATCAGTTGCAGCAAACTGATGCTGCATTCGGAATCCTTCGGAAGGCGCAGAACTATAACGATGTCGAGCTTAAGGAGACCTGGTTCGAGAAGCTTCAGAAGTGGGACGAAGCCTTGCATTCGTATGAACGCCGAGAGGCGGTTGACGGAGAGTCGTTTGAGATCACCATGGGCAAAATGCGATGCTTACATGCACTCGGAGAATGGGATCTACTATCCGAGCTTTCCAACAAGAAATGGGAGGCGGCCACGCCGGACGTCAAGAAGACCATCGCTCCGTTGGCGGCGACTGCAGCATGGGGCCAGGGCAAGTTCTCTGACATGGACAAATATCTTGGCGTAATGAAGGAACACTCACCAGACCGAGCCTTTTTTGCTTCAATTCTCAATATTCACAATAACCGGTTCGACGCTGCCCAAGAAGAGATCTCGAAAGCCAGAAAGGGATTGGACACCGAGCTCAGCTCTCTCTTGGGAGAATCTTATATGAGGGCGTATCTACCAATGATTCGGGTTCAAATGCTTGCTGAGCTCGAGGAAATCATCACATACAAGCAGAATGATACGAATCTGGAGAAGCGGGCCAGCATGCGCAACACCTGGATGAAACGTCTAAAGGGTCTCCAGCCAAATCCAGAGGTTTGGCAACGCATGATGAAAGTTCGACAGCTTGTCATTCAGCCAAAGGAGAGCACGGAGATGTGGATCAAGTATACCAATCTCTGTCGCAAGAACGAACGTCAGGGTCTTGCAGAGAAAGCGCTCCAGAAGCTCCTCGACTGCGAAGGCTACGACGTTTTCACATATGCGCATGAACATGCGAACGAGATCCCGTATCATGTATCATACGCAGTCTTCAAGTTCATGTGGTCGACTCCAGACCATCAGCAAGAAGCCCTCGACGTTCTGAAGGAGTTCACTTCAAGAGTTGGGGACGAGCTACAAGTGCGTGCTCAGCGGGTGGCGGTCAACCCGATGGTGTCGCCCAATGGGATCAATGGAATGCCCAATGGCCATCTTGCTAATGGGCTAAATCCCTTTGCGGCCACTAATGGCATTAACGGAGCTCATGGTATGAACGGATCAAGTATGCTAGCCGGATCCGGTGGCTCGATATTTCCCGCGGAATTGGCTGAATGCCACAAACTTCTCGCCAAGTGCTACTTGAAGCAGGGAGAATGGCAGACGCACATGCATGGCGGCGAATGGGATCATGAACACGTCCACGATATTCTGTCGGCTTATTCTGCCGCAACCCGGTACAACCACGATTGGTATAAGGCATGGCACGCTTGGGCGCTTGGCAACTTTGAGGTCGTCAACTCAATCTCTTCGCAATCAAGTCGCGAGAATACGGCAGTTCCACCCAACTTGATCCACGATCATGTTGTTCCCGCAATCCAAGGGTTCTTCAGGTCGATTGCTCTGTCTACCACCAGCTCACTCCAAGACACCTTGCGTCTACTCACTCTTTGGTTCGACTATGGCAGCAACGAGCAAGTCAGCCATGCTATCTCTGAGGGCATCAAGACCGTATCTATCGACACCTGGTTGGAAGTTATTCCCCAGCTTTTGGCCCGCATCAACCAGCCACACGCTACCATCAGAAACTCGATTCATTCGTTACTGATCGAAGTTGGCAAAGCCCACCCTCAAGCACTGGTGTTCCCTCTCACCGTGTCTATGAAATCAGATGTGTCAGGTCGTTCAAGGTCTGCTGCACAACTTATGAACGCCATGCGCCAGCACTCGCCGATATTGGTTGAGCAAGCCGATTTGGTCAGTCATGAGCTCATTCGAATTGCGGTCCTGTGGCACGAACAATGGCACGAAGGCCTCGAGGAAGCGTCTAGGCTTTACTTCGGTGATCACAACATCGAGGGCATGTTTAATACCCTTCAACCATTACATGCGATGCTCGACAAGGGGGCTGAGACCTTGCGAGAGATTTCGTTCATTCAGTCATTCGGCCGAGAGCTTCAAGAGGCTAGGGATTGGTGCAACACTTTCCGGACATCTGGTGAGGTTGGCGATCTCAATCAAGCTTGGGATCTGTATTACCAAGTGTTCCGAAAGATCGCCCGTCAACTCCCATCGCTAATGACTTTGGAGCTCCAATATGTCTCACCAGCGCTCAAAGACGCCCGAGACTTGGATCTGGCAGTTCCTGGAACCTATCAAGTCGGCAAGCCAGTCATCCGAATCATTTCCTTCGATCCAGTTTCGACGGTCATCCAGTCCAAGCAGCGGCCTAGGAAACTGGAGATGAAGGGTAGTGATGGCAAGACACATATGCACATTCTCAAGGGTCATGAAGATATCCGGCAAGATGAGCGAGTCATGCAACTGTTCGGATTGGTCAATACTCTCCTCACTCATGATGCCGAAAGTCGGAAGAGACATCTCAACATCCAGCGATACTCAGCCATTCCGTTGTCCACGCAGTCAGGTCTTCTGGGATTCGTTCCCAACAGCGACACTTTACACGTTCTCATTCGAGAGTACCGTGAGAGCCGGAAGATCCTTCTCAACATTGAGCACCGGATCATGCTTCAGATGGCGCCTGACTACGACTGCCTCACGCTTATGCAGAAAGTTGAAGTCTTCGGATACGCACTGGACAACACCACTGGCCAGGACCTTTACCGCGTGCTTTGGTTGAAGAGCAAGAGCTCGGAATCTTGGCTCGACCGACGAACGAACTACACCCGGTCTCTAGCAGTTATGTCGATGGTCGGCTACATTCTGGGCCTTGGTGACAGGCATCCCTCCAATCTTATGCTCGACAAGATTACTGGAAAGATCATCCATATCGATTTTGGTGACTGCTTCGAAGTTGCCATGCACCGCGAGAAATATCCCGAACGCGTTCCATTTCGGTTGACTCGCATGCTGACCTACGCCATGGAGGTTAGCAATATCGAAGGAAGCTACAGGACGACTTGCGAGCATGTAATGCGTGTATTGCGGAGCAACAAAGAGTCGGTTATGGCCGTCTTAGAAGCGGTAAGCTTTCATATTCCTTTGGTTCCGTTTGAAGTTATCGAGTCTGGAGACGCGGCTTTGGTTTCCACGAAACCAGCAGGTGGCATAGTATCGCACGAAGCACATTCTCTAAAGTGACCTTCAAACTAACGCTTGAACAGTTCATCCATGACCCCCTTCTCACCTGGCGCCTCGGCAACCGAGAATCGCCTCCCGAGCCCTCGTTCCCATCAGCCCGCCGCCAGTCGATCATTGGCGAAGCAGAGCGTGATATGAACCCGCGCGAACGCGACTTGAACTCGCGCGACATCAACTCATCCCTCGCACGACCACGACATCGGTCTAGCGTCGCACCTGCTAACGATGCGGAGGCCAAGGAAGTGCAGAACGCGCGTGCCCTCCAGGTGCTCAGCAGAGTCAAAGAGAAGTTGACCGGCAAGGACTTCAAGCCCAGTGAGGAACTGAACGTCAATATGCAAGTCGATCGACTGATCCGGGAGGCGACGAACCTTGAGAATCTCTGCCAGCATTACATTGGATGGTGCAGCTTCTGGTGAGGAAGAGTCGTCTGAGATGAAGTCTTGACCATTTGGAGTGGGTGCTAGACTTGAGCATGAGCGCGAGCGTGTGATTTTGGTCTTTTTGCTTTTACAACTATCAACTTTTCTGCGAGTTCGGATGGCATCTGCCTTGGCGACGCTGGCTAGCGTATATTCATGGACCTTATTTAGGACTCTTTGGCGTAATGGTAATGGATGGGATGGGAACCTATGGGTGGACACACGGAGTCAAGAAACACGGTTTAGCTGCTGCATAGCGACATGGCGACGGCGCTGGGCTGGACGCTTTTTTTCCGACTGACTTTTGGGTTCGTCTGGTTTACTAGTTTTTCGGCTTTATAGATGAAGCTATAATGGATCCTATATATCGATGACTAAGGACTTCATCGTGTTTGTTCTAAATCTCTTATACTGGGAGTGTCTTCAGGCTATTATTAGGGTGCAAGTTGGAGACTAGGGGGCTGTGATTCACAATGGCGGCCCAAACATCACTCCAACTTCGAAGATATGAATACGATGCAAGGTATATAACAGTCAACCAAACGCTACGCTACGAACACACCATAAATCCCAGCTCAAACCGAAAAATTCCTCTCATCCCTCTTCCACCACTCCCTCCCCCGACTCCTCCCCATACTCCACGCCCTAACCCTCCCGGCCACCGTCCCCTCCTTCTCCTCCTCCTTGACCCACCCCCCTTCCTCCCGATCCTCCTGCTTCTGCGGCCACAGAATCTGCTTCCCCACCACCGCCTTGACCATACACCCGGCCACAAACATCCACACAACCACCAACGCTACACTAAGCACACACCCCACAATCTGAATGGGGCGGTTGTTATTCAGCGACCTCGCCACGGCGAACGTCGCCGTCGTGAGCGCCGTATTCGGAAACACGAAACTAAACCACGTCATGCCGAAATCCATCTTCCAGCGCGTGAGGGGCGTCCAGTGCGCGCCGACGCTGACGATGAAGAACCACAGCGCGAGGCCCCACAGCCACAGGCCGGCCCAGTTGGCCATGATGCGCGACACCTCGGCGGCGAAGAGGCCGGTCGTCATGTGGGCGTCGGCGTCGCTGATGACGAAGGTGAGGGTGGACGGCGCGGGCGAGGCGTCGCTGGCGGACATGAAGCGGCCGCCGGTTTCGGCAACGATGCGGGGCAGCTGCGCGCCCATGGTAACGAGGCCCGCGATTGTGAAGCCCGAGGGCCCGACGGAGATGAACATGCCGGGGCGCAGGGACTCGGCGGGGAGTTTTTGCGTCATCAGGCGGTAGAGGAAGGCGGAGTAGATCATCAGGGAGACCATGAAGCCGATGCCTTGGAGGGTGTACCCGGACACGATGATGGAGAGGGCGGTGGTGGAGGTGGTTTTGGCGGAGAGGACGCCGGCGAAGGGGCCGATTATCAGGAGGGGGTAGGCGGGGAAGATCCAGATGGGCGTCATGCGGGAGATTGTGTGGGTTTGGGTGGACCACCTTGGGGCGTGTGTTAGTGGGGAGAAGGGGGTGGAGAGAAGCGTGAGTTGGTTCAGGATGAAAGGCCTTGAAGGAATAGGGGAGGAGGCTTACATGATTAGGAAAATCCCGCAGCTTGCTATGACAGCGAGAGCACAGTAGACCCAGTAGCAGTATACCATGGCGTCTTTGAGCCAGGGTCCGGCTTTCCCGACGCCATATTGCGAGATATTAATGAAGATGGTGCCGAGTGAAATGATACAAGCTGGGATGAAGAGGGATTCTGTGGGATGGAGGAAGCTGCCTTTGAAGGTTGCGGGATACAGATAAAAACGCGTGCTGATCATGCCGACGTTAAACAGAAACAGGACGATATTGAGAAGAAAAAACATGCACCCGAGGGCGTAGATGCCATGGAAGCGATAGGGTACTGTCGGCGAGAAATCAGCAAGCGTCCTTTGAGCATTCCAACATGTCCTCGTGACATCTAGCTCCTCGTTGACATAGTACGAAGGTGTGCGAAGTAAACTGTAATGACTTGATTGAAACCCCAACGTACCAGTATAAATCACATTCGCCATCCCTCCTGTCGCCATAGTCATAGTAAACCACGTCCATGTGAAATGTCGCATGCGCTGTCTGAAGCTCAATTCCATCTCTTGGGCGTCACGCTCTGCTTCCACCCGCTCCTTCTCCCTCTCCCACTCCCTCTGCCTCTCTTTCTGCCGTGTCCTAGCTGCCTGCTCTTTCATCTTCTCCTTGTTCCCCTTTAGGCCTCCGCTAGCCAGATACTTGGCTTGCTCCTTAGTCATCGCGACAAATGGGGAGATTCCGGTCACTGGTGAACCTGGCATTGGTGTCGGCAGCGCAACGGGCGTGTTGGCGCCTGCCCGTTCAGGCGAGGAAGGCGAGTTCCATGCGTGTCCTTCGGAACTAGACTTTGAAGACGAAGAGACAGATGCACCAGAACGGGAACGAGAATGAGATTTGGAATAAGACAGTTGTGCCACAGAAACATCTGTCCTGGGCACATCGACGCCGAGGCTGGGAAATGGAGCCATTGCGACGTCGACGTGTGCTTAAAGTATATTTGCCGTGAAACGCGCGGGGTCTGCAAGATGAAAGATGGTGGCTGCGCCGGCGACTGCTAAAGGGCCGAAATGCATATGCAAAACCCGATTACGCGTTCTTTCTATATGTACGACTCTAGAGGGAAAAAGAAACTGCTATCGCGAGTGCCGGCACCCCGAAGAAGTTTTCGACGGGCAGCAGCGAGGGGGGGTGGCCGCGAGGTGTGATGTGCAAGCTCTGGTGCCGCTTCCGCCGACAGCGCTAATGACGATGGTGGTGGTGGGACGTGCAGTGATCAGCTAGGTCCGATGATCTGGAATGAGACATCTACGTTGTCGTCCATGTTGCAGTCGCTGCTTATGAGCTCGTAGCAAGTGGAGCCCAGTCATGAGTGATACAGCCAAGCAAGATTCTAATACTACCTTTGTAGGAAAAATGAGTAATCATCACGTGATCCGTACCAGAACCAACGCCAAATTGGTCGTCCAGGAACGTTCGGCTGCCCACGCGTAAGTAAAATGATTGAGTCCTCCAGATGCGAAACTAGATCTTGAAGCGTACTTGTCACCTACTATCATGGTAATTCCGTTATATGCCAAAGATTGAATCGTTTCGTTGAGCCTACGTAGATTACGAAGTACGGATCGATGTCTTGGACCTCAATCGTCTAACTCCCGCCCGAAGTCAATCAGTCGCAACTTCCGAGCGTCCTTTGGATGGAACTGCGCGATCCTCGCTCGTATAAGAAACCTGGAAGCTGCCGATTCCCTCTCCAGTTCGATATATGCATCCGTGCTTCTACTCCCAACTAGAGAAGTGAAGAGGTCTTCAATGAGCTCTCGAAGCTCTCTCCCAGCGGCGTCGATCTCGGTCAGCTGCTGGCCTTCTTCGGTCGTAGCTGTGTCCCCCCATATCTCATCCAGCCGCTTCTGCCTTCTGGGCTCGGAGATGTGCTTCTTGGAGGTCTTCAGCCTCCCCTGCTGGGTGAACCCTATTGCGAGCACATCATCGTCTACGTCCATCATATCGCCGACAACGGGACCTCCGAGATCCTCGGCTGCTAGCATGCCAGCAAGTTGCTCGTCAACGAAGATCTCAAACGCCTGACCGAGTTTCTTCATCTCCTCGTCATATCGTTCTTTCTGGCGCTGCTTGGCATCGATCAAGTCTTTGGCAACCTCTTGAGGGGTCTTTTGCGACTTGGCTTCTTTCTGAGATCGGAGCCTTTCGATACGGTTTGCCATGGCGGTGGCAATGAGGTTTGCGTCATGTAAGTTGCTCTCTTCTTGGCGCAGGAGCTGCTCGGAGTGTTTGAGCTGCTCTTTGGTCGCGGTGATTGCTTCCTGGGTGCCAGACACGGTTTGCTGGATCGTGCGGGCCGCCAGAAGAGAAGGCAGCAACGAATTACGAGATGGGAGGAACGGCACGCTAGGCTTCAGGCTTTCGTATGCATCTCTGAGAATCTGCAGCTGAGCCAGACGCTCGCGGGGATCATCCGAGGGCTTAGTATGAAAAGAGCCTTGAGGCGCTGAGCGTAACTGCCAAATTGTTAGTGAATCTGTACAGGATGCAATTGAGACTTCCATGTAAACCTACCTCCTCCAGAGCAATTCGATGTTGGGTCACCCGCTCCTCAAGCTCCCTTCGCGTTGCATCAAGACGCGTCTCAATGTCAGACGCGTCGACGTCCATCTGGCTCTGCTGCCGCTCGTGCGCCTCGACAGCATACTCGCGGATGTTCTTGACGGCTGTCTCGTTGGAGCTTGCCATTTCACAGAATCTATAATGTGAATTGAAAGCGCTGTAGGGTGCATAGATGGTTGAGCCGACGTTTGCAGGTATTGGTGGCGTTTGGGGGGGCCAAACGGTGCAGAAAGCGACACGCAGCAGCAGAGGCGCAAAGCAGCTATCGTGGCGCCCTATAGACTCTCCTTAACGCTGCCACGGCGTCTGGGGTGGTTCTTGTGACGGCTAATCGCACCCCAAACGGGTGAAATCATTCGGCCACGTGACATGCGCCAAGCCGCCAAGGCCAGGCTAATCTTGGAAGGCCTCCGCTTCTGTCCTTCGTCGTCTCCTCGACGTAACCGGCTCCTCCTCACCATCTCCCTCCTCCAGCAGCAGCTCCTTCTGCTCTCTTTTCTCTTCACCGCACCTGTCTGGCAGGCGCCTTTGTTCTCAACAGCACGGGAGTCGCGAAGGTCCAAAGGTTTGAGCGGCGAGAGCTTCCACTTTTCAGTACTGAAGGCAATTTATTCTGCACCACGCTTCTCCAACAACACACTCCTCTTCCGCTCCACCACCGCTTCCGTCATCGTCACAATTGCCGGCCACTTCTCGATCACTGAGAAGGCGCTGCTTCTGAACGCTTTCTCTCTCCACCACCCTCGCCCTGCACAGCACCAGTCCAATCCGCGGCGACCGTCCTTCACCTCACTCCTCCATCACCACAGCCGCCCCCATCCCGATCGCCTGCACCAGCAAGTTTTCCTTGGGCAGCCCAACCCCGCTGTACATAATCGATTACAATACGAACGAATTGCGACCGACTTTCATTTGGGCAGCCCCAGGCTAAACAAGGCCATCGTGAAGACCTCTGAAGCCCCTTATTTGATACAGCAGGTACCCAGCAATCATGTCGGCCTCACCAACCACTGCTGCGCCCTCCACCAAGCGCCCCTTGGAGGAGCCGTCTTCTCCATCTGGACCTGGCGACCAGCCGGACGCCAAGCGCCCGGCGCTGGACAAGATGGTCAACAACGACGCCGATCCCGACATCGTAGAGTCTTCTGAGCATGCAGGAGCTGTGCAGGAGCCTTTCAAGACGGACGACGTGAAAGACGAGGCCAAGGCCGAGACCAAAGAGGAGGAAACCAAGCACCAGAATGGAACTAAAGATCTCGAAGGCGACACCCTCGTCCCAGATGCCCCGTCGGCCTCCGAGGTTCTCAACACGCAGCCCATCCAGTCGACCTCCGGCGCCAACGGCCGAGCAAACTCTCAGGGACCAATGCATCAGGACGAGTCGGGATGGCTCCATCTCCGCGCCATCATCTCGAGCGCCGAGGCAGCTACTGTCATTGGGAAGGGTGGAGAGAACGTCACACTAATCCGCAAGATGTCCGGGGCCAAGTGCACCGTCAGCGACTACTCTCGAGGGGCAGTGGAGCGAATCTTGACCGTGAGCGGCATGGTGGATGCGGTTGCAAAGGTACGAATCAGTGGTTCCACATTTTCTGACCATATACTAACTATTTAGGCATTCGGCCTGATCATTCGTACGTTGAACAACGAAGACCTCGACTCTCCCTCCACTCCTCAATCCAAGACCTATCCCCTTCGACTTCTCATACCCCACATTCTCATCGGCTCTATCATCGGCAAGGCTGGTGTTCGGATCCGCGAGATTCAGGAAGCCTCTGGAGCACGCCTCAACGCCTCTGACTCTTGCCTTCCCCTGTCTAGCGAGCGTTCACTTGTTGTGCTCGGAGTTGCTGACGCTGTTCACATTGCGACATACTATGTTGGAAGCACTCTAGTCGAGCAGCTCACGGAGAGATTCGGCGGTCCTGCTGCTTCCGCATATGCCACTCGAACTGGTGGCCCAGCAGGTGTTGTCCCCGGCGGTATGCAAGTAGTCCCTTACGTCCCTCAGCCTGCTGGCGGTCAATGGGGTGGCCCAGACCAGTTCCGCAAGCACAACAACCAGCCACAACGTGCTCCTGCCCAGTATGGCATGCCATATCTACATGGTCAGCCTCCTCAGCAAGCGGGTCAGGTTCCCATGCACTACGGAGCTGGATCGCCGGCTCGTGCCCAACAGCCTTATGCTGGCGTCGGTCCACAGCAGCCAACTCAGTATGGTGGACACGCCGCTCAGCCCGGTGGTCACGCAGGGCCTCCAGCCTCACAAGTTGGTGGCGCTATGCCCGGACAACCTATGACCCAGCAGATCTTCATTCCCAACGACATGGTCGGCGCAATCATTGGTAAAGGCGGTGCGAAGATCAACGAGATCAGATCGTTGAGCGGCAGTGTTATCAAGATCAACGAACCGCAAGATAACAGCAACGAGAGGCTGGTGACCATCACCGGCACGCAGGAGTGTAACCAGATGGCGCTCTATATGCTCTATTCCAGGCTAGGCTCGTCCACCTCACCCGAAAATACTGATCAGAAGTTAACTTGATAACAGAGAGTGAGAAACACAGAATTTGAGGCAGCGTGTGCTGGCAGCAGGTGAGCCCAGTGGCAGCCGCTGGTAATTCTCGATATGCAGTAGTCCAGCACTTTCTGATGCTTGCAAAGTCAAGAGTAGTTCGACGGTTGCGATTCAAAAGCATGGTTTAGGCGGTCTAAGGTCTCTTATACTTCGATGTTGTATTCTACTTTATTCCGGAACTGGAAACACCGGTGGGGGCTTTTCATGATACAGCGACGGTTTTGGGCATCTTGAATTCTCGGGCATCTCTGAAATTTCTCTATCGGAGGCAAGCAAACGGGGTTTTGCAAACCCGGATTTTCAAGTGCCTCGTAGCAATTAATGCGTGGATTAACCTATCGATGCTGTTCAAAGACGTCCAATGGTTTTTCGTTTCGGGAATGTGTTTAGCGTACCGCTTTCGGACTGCTGTGTTTGCAGACTGCCAACAGCCTGAACAAAGAAATCTCCACGCAACCGCCACATCTAGGTAGGTCTCCAAAGAGGTAAAAGATTTGCTATTGGCTTGCTGTCAGGAGGTCTTTTACTCCGTTGTCGCATTCACGCTGCCAGATCATCCGGGTGCAGCCGTCTTTGTGGGAACCTTCACTTTCCGATTCTCACGAATCTCGTGCGTTTACCTTCACATTACTTACCTAGACTTTTAGACAGTCTTGTCTACTACCCTTAGCTTGCTAGTTATTACTGCCTTCATTCACTCAACTTGTTTGAGGAAATTAATCGTCTTTTTGGCCGCGATACACAAGCGTGCCTTGCATGCCCAGGTGGTGCAAGGATACCGACATCAAGGATCTACAATTCGTTTCGAGATGACATTAGGCTTCATGCCTCTCCCGCCGCCGTACTCGCAGGCCGGGACGTCGTCTCAACGATTCTCCCTCGTGTAAGAATGCCTAAGCAAGGGATGCCATCGATCACAGACTGACCAACCACACCACGCAGGACAAATTTCAAGACCTTCACTACCATGGCAGAGATCTTCGTCGGACCAAAGGAGACGCGGTTCCTGGTGCATCGCGAGCTTTTAACACACCACTCACCCTTCTTCACGGCAGCGCTGAACGGCTCCTTCGCGGAAAGCATCTCGCAGACCGTGAAACTCCCCGCCGAGAACCCAGCCATCTTTGAGCTGTGCGTCGCGTGGCTCTACACCTCCCAGCTCGACCCCCTCGTCTTCTTCAAAGACGGCAAGCCCGCCTACTACACGCTCCTCAACCTGTACGCGCTCGCGGACCGCCTCGCCCTCGAGGCCCTGCGCAACCAGACCATCGACCAGATCTCCGACCTCGCCGAGCAGACCAACTCGGTGCTCACGCCGTCAGACACGCGCATCCTGTACGAGGAGATCAGGGACAACGCGCCCCTCCGCGCCCTCGTCATCGACCTCTTCGCCTTCAAGAAGACGGACAAGCTGCTCGCCGAGCACCCGGACGACTGGCACCCGCTCTTCTTGCGCGACCTGGCCGTGTACCTCAAGCGGCCGGGCACCGCGGCGCTGCTGCGGCACTCGCTGCAGCCGTGGCGGCCCGTGTCGTGGCAGGTGACCAAGGCGTGCGATGAGTGCTCGAGGGTACTGGAGCCGGGGGCGAGGGCGAGTGCGTGTGTCAGCTGTGCCAAGGTGTATTGTTTGAGGTGTTTGCAGAGGGGCGAGGGGAGGGCGGGGTTTGAGACGGGGACGTGTAGGCCGTGGAAGGGGGGGAGGTGTCGATTGTATCATGAGCATCGGGAGACGGAGGCGTGTCAGGATTTGGTTATGGGGAGGGGAGGGGAATAGAGAGAAGCGATGGGGTATGTGCTTGTTGAGGCCTGGAGAGGGGTGCTTGGCGAAGGAGCAGGACGGAGTATAGAGACATTTCCATTTGACTCCTGTGAGTGGGATGGAGAGTGTTGGCCTACGAGTGGATTTTTCTTTCATTCTGCTGATTCATACCCATTTATTGCTTTTTAGGAGTAGATTGTGTTTTTGTTATACATCTCTCAATATCATTCAACTACCTCGCTTAAATCGAGGGACACATATACAAAGAACTCATTTCGTCCTCCCGCGAACGTCGAATTGACGAGAGAGTCGTGTAAAATGCTATCAAAACGACGCAGTGTGTAGTAGACAGCATCCATCGGCTTCGTCGGTCAACTCGGTCGTTCAACCCAACTTCGACTTTCGGGTGTGAACGGAGAACAGTGAAAGAGTCATCCTCCAAAAAACACTTGATAGAGCAAATGGAACACTTTAATAATCCGCGCTCACCAGCCAGTCTACAAGACGCTAGGAAGCTTGAAGGATACCCGATGGGACCCCGCTTCCGCCCGTACCCCGCCACGTCGTCAGGCGTCCAGAGACTCGGAGCTACGAGACGACGCAGTGGACTTCAGTGGAGTTCCGCGAAACACACCCAACCCGAACCAACAACAAGACAAATCCTAGCACCGCTACGAAGCAGACATATGGAATCATCCTTGTACTAGCTTTTGTATAAAGTTTCGAGCTTCCCCCATCTCATTTGCTTATCAACCACTCTAAACAATTCACCGACAACGACGACTTATCTCCGAGCTTTATTTCAGTTCGCCCATACGCAAAGAATATGACGCAAGCAAGCGAAGTTGTGGTTGTGCCGCTGAAGGCGGGGATTGATCTTGAGTCTGGGGAGTACAAGACGGCGTTGGATGCTGCGCTCAAGGCCTTGAGCGAGGCAGAGGGTTCGCAGAAGGTGTCGTATGGACGGCAGGTCGAGAATCCAGATGTCTTGGACCTGAGCATTGGTGAGCTCTTCTTCTATAATCAGTGCCCTTTCATCAATCTGTGTACACGTCTTTGCTATTCTACTGCTTGGGGTGCCCCGATTCTACAAGACCTAGACAAAACGTCCTTCAACCGTTTTGCTTAGCCTGATATCTGGCGTGGCATACCGTTCAAAGAGCACGTCGTCACGCATGCCGGCTACTTCCAAGAAGAATATCAGGGACCCCCCTCAGGCCCCTGAGCAATATCGGACAAATCCACCCAAACGTGTTTCCGACCTTAAAAACCCCTCTCTAACACACCCCACAGACTGGGGCCTCCCCACCAACTTCCATACCTTCATCACCTCCCCCGCCTACGCCCCCTTCAGAGCCGTCCTCGGCACCCTCGTCGCCGGGCCCCCAAAGATCAACATCGTGTCCCGCCTCCAGAACGGCCCCTTCTTCAGCGTCATCACCGCGCCCATCACCGAAATGGTCACGCTCTTCTTCCCCGCCTCGTACGCGGAAGCCGACTTCAACGCCAACTTCGCAAAGTTCAAGGCGATTATCGACGAATCGGCCGAGGGCGCAAAGGGCGTTGTGGGCGGGTGGAGCGTCGAGGAGGTTCCGCCTGCGGAAGGAGACGCGAAGCTGTTCGTGGGCGCGATTGGGTGGGAGAGCATTGACGCGCATATGGAGTTCCGCAAGACGGAGGCGTTTAAAGAGGCGATTCCGCTTTTGAGGGAGGGGTCGGATAAGATTACGATGCATCATGTAAAGTTTGCGCAATTCTAAAGCTGATGAGGGCTGTACAAGGTGAACGAAGGACGTAGACTAAATCTCCACTATTTTATGTAAAATGGGTCGAATCATCTATGCTTGTGGTGAGTGTATTCATGACAACAAGACTAACGAGGGCAAGGCTCCCAATTGCAGCTCCTATATTTGTCAGAAACGATGTCTTTCAATCCATCACAGCCCAAGCCTAGTCTATGCCACTTTATCATCCATAGAAGGCAGTAATAGCAAGAAGTAGAGGCGGAATTTCGCACCCTTATTGATCGGAGTCAACACCCAAATCGTCATTACGCTCGTCATGATTATCCGCTCTCGCAAACGGCATCCGCCTTGTAAGACAACCGTAGCCCACCATCCAGCTTAATATCGTCATCCGTCAAGCCCATGCGGAGATCCTTCAAGTACTTCCCGAATCTCCCGCTCACTCCAATGACATGCTTTAGGTGGGAATAGCGAAACGGCTCGTCTTTGAACTGCGCCAACTGCCTTGCAGTCGTAATAGCGTTCCGGACCTCCTTTCCATTCATCACTTCCTTGCTAAGATCCTCTATGTGGTCCATGATATCGTCTACATCAACTTTAGATTCCTCGTCTTCAAGGGTCTTGATGCGATTCATAAAGTTTCGCCAGATTTTCCGCCTCTGGCTGATGCAGAGATTCTCATAGCGAAGAGCAAGTTGGATGCGGGACTTGAAAGCCTCGTCGAACGTCCCGACTCGATTGGATGTAACCTTTGAAGGATCAGAATACCGTCGTAGTATTCTAGCGCACGGAGAAAAAAGATGTGGGATTGTGGTATGGCTGCGCGCTTCCTAATTTTGAGACGCCGAGGTACTAACGGATGCTAGTGGTGCTCTTGGACGAGGTTGACGTCTTTCTTGAGGAACGAGACATGAAAGATCTTAACAGAAACGCGCTATTCTAGTGTCTTTCCGAGGTAAAGATGATCGAAGCGCCCCCTCAACTATCTCAGCTTGTGTTCCAACATCACCGCATGTCACCCGGAACAAAGGCGAGAAAATCAATAGGTACATTGACTTCAGGCAACTCAAACTCTATGCACACACGAATATTTCCCACAGTTCTATATAAGTCATGTACTATGGCCACTGCTGAACACTCAGAACACCTCCCACCAAAAAATTACATTCGCATTGTCGCCTTTACGCCTAATTTGCGGAGAGCCTTCTTTCATCGCGTAATAGATTTCCTTCGCCACAGCACCACTTTCAAGCTCTTATCACTCCTAATGTTTATAAAAGGGCCTCATCCGAGCATTAGAGCCTTATTAGAAGTCGTCATCAGCCTTGTGGCTTCTATCGCACGCAAATTTATGCAAAGTCGCCATGCCGATCGGTACCTCCAACCGAAGAGATCACTAATCCCAGCTAACTAACGTAGTCGGCAAGCTAGTGGGCCATGCAAGCTAGTGGGCCACCCAATTTTTGGTGCGATTTAGACCTTTTAGCACCCCAGCAATCTCAACAACTACGAGATATAAAGTATAGCTTTAAGATTGCATATACTATCTAGCTTATTTTAATAGCTAAGAGAATGTTTAGAGTAGTATAGCAGCGTAATCCTATTATATT